ATTGGTCAACATTAAACTAACGGTAGTGTGTTTTACTTACGCTACTGAATTACTTAGACAGTTGCGTTAATGAAAACTAAAGAGCTTACGTAGGTAAAATAATCCCTAGAATGAGTATACGTAAGCTTTTCATCATTTGACTAACGTAACTGTTTAGTAACGCAAGCGCTACTCTGTAAAATCATTGGATACTAAGTTTACGTTAGTGTTTCCTTATTGGTTACGTTACTAGTTAAGTTTATGGCGGCGATGGCCTTCCATACCTTATTCCCTTATCCATCGTTACCGTCACTACCATTTGAGTAGGGCCGGCCCCCACTTCAATAACGGCTCCCAAGCCATCGAGAATGACTCCAGAATTTAAAGATGACCATTCTGCCTTTCTTGGGAGGGGCCGGGCGCGGCCTTTTCAGAAGTGTTTCTACACTAACCTTTTTTCATGCACTACGGCTTAACATGAACAAGCATGCTAAGATTTTTTGAAAATAAGCATAATTCCGACTCAGTTTCGCATAACCTAAACATATGAATACGGCCAGTCACCCCTCCCCCCTCAATGCATCCGCCTTCACGCACACCCCCCCCCTTCCCTTGTCTTTCCCTTATTCTTCGTTACTGTCACTAATTTTTTAATGCCATTTCGTTGTCTTTCTTTCTCCCCGGATCCTTCTCTTCTTTTTCTTTCCTCTTTTTTTTTGAACTCTCTCTCTTTTCTTTTCTTTTTTCTTCTCTTTTCTTTTATCTTCTCCTTTTTTGTCCTTTTATTTCTTCTTCTTTTCTTCCGGCTCTTTTTTCCTTCTCAATTTGTTTGCGCCGCCAATAGGGGGGGGGGGGGGCCGCGGCCGTTTCGGCCCACCCCTGGATCCGCCACTGATACAGGCTGGGTCTTAATAGTTCGAAGATGTTGTAATTCTACATAGTGAACATGAGAAATCCTGAATAAGGTTGGGTATATTTTCTTGCCATTGTTTGTTCATTCTCGCATCAATAATTTGCAATAAACACCAAAGGGGATATGCCTCGCCAGGGCATATCCCCTTTGCGCATTACAGCATATCGTTCTATCGATATAAATTTAAGTTTTGAATTAATTTAATTTAAATTAACACATTGCCCCGCCTCCACTGCATACACCCTTATCAAATAATATGCTTTAAAATTTACGACAACCAGGCAAAAACATTATTACATTATTATCGCACTACGGCCACCAAATGCACCTCTTCCAAATTATTCTCTCTATCTGCTTTCTCTCTCCCTCTCTATGTTCTTCCATTCAGTCCTCTCCCTCTATCAGGCACGTAGCCAGAGTTTTATTTTATTATTTTTTTTATTTTATTATTATTATTATTATTATTATTATTTTTTTTTTTGGGGGGGGGGGCACATACAATTATTGTAATCGATCGAGGTCAAAATAAGGGGTCTAAAAAGTTCAACCGATCTTGGAATTTTTTTGTTTTGTTGGGGGGGGGGGGGGCACGTGCCCCCCCCCCCCCCGTGGCTACGTGCCTGCCCTCTATCCGTCTCTCTGATTCTCTCTTCTCTCTTCCTCTCTGTGTTCTTCCATTCAGTCCTCTCCCTCTCTCCGTCTCTCTGATTCTCTCTTCTCTCTCCCTCTCTGTGTTCTTCCATCCAGTCCTCTCCCTCTATCCGTCTCTCTAATTCTCTCTTCTCTCTCCCTCTCTGTGTTCTTCCATTTAGTCCCCTCCCTCTATCCGTCTCTCCTCTCTCTCCCTCTCTGTGTTCTTCCATTCAGTCCTCTCCCTCTATCCGTCTCTCTGATTCTCTCTTCTCTCTCCCTCTCTGTGTTCTTCCATTCAGTCCCCTCCTTCTATCCGTCTCTCTGATTCTCTCTTCTCTCTCCCTCTCTGTGCTCTTCCATTCAGTCCTCTCCCTCTATCCGTCTCTCTGATTCTCTCTTCTCTCTCCCTCTCTGTGTTCTTCCATTCAGTCCCCTCCCTCTATCCGTCTCTCTGATTCTCTCTTCTCTCTCCCTCTCTGTGCTCTTCCATTCAGTCCCCTACCTCTATCCGTCTCTCTAATTCTCTCTTCTCTCTTCCTCTCTGTGTTCTTCCATTCAGTCCTCTCCCTCTATCCGTCTCTCTGATTCTCTCTTCTCTCTCCCTCTCTGTGCTCTTGTCTGAATTCAGTTCCCCCCTTTGACGTTTCATAAAATAGAGAAAGAAGACGATTACGTAGTCGGCGTAGGGTAGCGTACGCTCGGCGTAGTCGGTACGCAACACTACGTAACACTTTACGCAAGGCCTGATGTGAAAGCCCCTTTAGAAGATAATTGCTTGCTTTATTGCAAAGGAAACCTAGGAAAGCTTAATTTAGGTTCCCTAACATAAAATATCAAAGTATTCGAAGTAAAGTGGGAAATGCAATGAAAAGAAAAGATGGGGGAAAATGGGACGATACAAAACAAGACAATATATGACAAGACGAGCAAAAACAACACTAGTACAAGCAGCTAGTCTTCACCTGAAATTATTGATCCCATCCAGGCGCGCCGGAAGCAGTTTGGGATTGGGGGGGGGGGGGGGCAAACATTCCAGGGGGCTCACCTTCCAGGGGCAGTGACGTAATGAGCAAAATCGTTTGGAAGTGGGGGGGGGGGGGCAGAAGAAAAATCTGCATCACCACCACTCTATTACACGTTACATGCAGGCCCCGCGGAACGTTTTTCAAAGTGGAGTATTAACAATCAGGTAGAGCGTAAATTGGCGTGGGGTCCAGGGCCTGAGCCTCAACAGGGGGTCAAAGGGCTGAGCCCTTATTTGTGACACTGGCAGGTCACTAATCGGCGGAGAGTCCAGGGAGCAGAGCCCCCGGAAGCTCTGGGGTTTTAGGTATTTATTTACCGTCAGATGAGCATCCGCGGGTCCAATTAGGGCCCAAGGTGGGGTCCAGGGACAGAGCCCCTGGAAGCTCTGGGGTTTTAGGTATTTAATTACGGTCAGATGAGCATCCAGGGGACCGCCTTAGGGCCCTTGGTGGGGTTCAGGGGGTAGAGCCCCCAGAAGATCTGGGGTTTTGGTTTTTAATAACGGTCAGATGAGCATCCAGGGGACCGCCTTAGGGCCCTTGGTGGGGTCCAGGGGGCAGAGCCCCGGGAGCTCAGGGGTTTTAGGTATTTAATTACGGTCAAATGAGCATCTATGTTCTTTTGGGTTAAAAAGCTTTATTCCTTTACTTCTTCTTCTTTTTTTTCCACTTTTTTTTTTTTTTTTTTTTTTTCCTTTTTTTTTTTTTTTCCACTTCCAGCGCCTATGAACACAAAATCAAACAATGAGCTCGGATTTAAAGGGCAATCTGACCAACAGTAGGCCCTCCTCGATCGCCTAAAAATGATTAGAGAGCTAAAGTCTGCAGGCTTGTAATAAAACGTTTCCGATTTTATAACCATTAATTTTGGCGGGTAATTATGAAGGCGCAGATCCGTTAGCTGCCAATAAGAAATTCGGTTTTTGTTTTTGTTTTAATTTGTTTGTTTAATTTCATTAAGGTTTTGTTTTGTTACAGCAAATCCGTATACAAAGAAGACAACATCACGAATAATTACAAAGTATTCAATATTACGAAGAGACGGGGGGGGGGGGGGGGGGGGGGGGGGGGGGGGGGGGGGGGGGTTGGGGGGCTCAACAAGGCTGTCATAATGAAGGGGCTCGTAGGATAACGATTTTAATTGGTGCTTGTATAGGCCCCATGTGCTGGTTGTTGTTGTTGTTTTTTGGGGGGGGGTGGGGGGGGGGCGGCTCATAGTTATAGGCCCTCTGTAAAGATAATATCCAGCGCCCACAACGCCGTGAAGTAAAGACTTTCGAATCGAATGCGGTATACAACCTTTGATTTTGGGTTGTCTCACTTTACTCTCATTCTGTCAATTTGAATTTGGGGGATAAAATAACGTAGGCCTAGCCCCTTTGATGAGTCATTCAATTTAAAAAAAAATATATTTCATTTATTCATCTTTAATCATACAGAAATTTCATTGGAAGCCCCGTTAATACTTATAATTAAGATAATATGTTATGCATGGACAATTACTACTTGGGTAACTTTTATATGGAAAATAGAAATGAAAGAAACTGAATGTTACTTTTGAATTTGTATTGAAAGTATTAGGCCTACACTTTAAACTATATTCTAAAGGGAACGCAAGCGAGGCGAAAGGCTTGAAAGATATTACAAAGGTGTGTGCAGGATATTACAAAAAAAAAGGAAATTAGATAATAAACATATAACTGTGCCCTCCAATTATGAGCGAAGAATAATATTTCATTTTTTTTTCCAATAATAATAATAAATAAAAAAAATTATTCCCATAACTGACCTAAAAAAGGCGACCTTACCCCCCCCCCAACGGAGTAAAATGTCAAATTTTCAATTTTAGAGACCAAAAAAAAAAAAAATGTCCCCCCCCCTCCCCCCCCCCCCCCCCCCCCCCCCCCCCCCCCCCCCCCCCCCCCTTGAAAAAATCCTGCGTACGCGCCTGTAATAAACTCTCTATTATGCAAGAGTGTCGTTATCAACAGGTGACCATAGTCATCTTACATGTAAGCTCTCATCTCTTTTGTCATTCAAGTTTGACGGTTTGCGTAAAATGCCATTAATACACAAACGCGTGAGCACGGGGAAAAAAAAGGATCTCATTGAGGTCTCGTAGCAACTACACGCTATGACGTCATTCTCCTACCATCAATCACTTATGTAAAAATGAGTTAGGTTCTTAACCCAGACTTTTTATGATATGTTATAAAATATATGATTAATAGTTCTCTAACTTTATCTAAAATTATCAATATATTTAATAATTTTAATTGAAAATAATTGTAACAAATTAAAAATATGAGTAATAATTATTTTTATAAATGTAAAATTTGACATTTTTAAGAGAACAAACGGGACAAGGCAAGCGATGATCTGTTGTGCAAATGAAGCTGTCACGGCTCGCCCGTGAGCACCCTAAGCTGACCTAGCGCTTGCCGCCGCCTGGTCCGCTGGCCTAGATTATATGTTCGTGTACCGTTAGTGTAGAAATTACGCGTGCCATTACGAAAGACCTAAGCTGCGACATTGAAACGGTCTTGAAACTTATGTGACTTTTATGAACAAAACAAGGAAAACCGTACTGCAAAGCGACAGTGGAACTGTATGTGAAGAAGGACGACACTATCGGATTTATATATTTTGGAATAATATTTGCTGAATTTAACTCGCAGATGGTTGATGTTTTGAAGTGAAAAGCGTGAATGACATGACGGCAAACGTTATCTTTTATTATTGATGTTGGAATAGCGAAGCGGCGAAAACACCGTAAGCTCGCCCAAAATCGCCCTAAAATGGCTCTGTTTGAGCCAGGAGGGTCTGTAAAGTGGATGCAGTCATCGTGGTATATGTATTTCGTGGTTTTTGTTCTCTGCCTCTCAATATCAGGTGAGATATTTAGGAAGAAATTAAGTTTGTTTTTGTTATTTTTTAGAATGAGGATATGAATGAAAGTCTGACTGCAGACTGGGTTTGCGTCCCACGGCCACCTGCAGCACCGATGAGGCTGGGCCGTGTCTGCTCGGGCCATACAAATTACAACCAACCTGTGTGGCTGTACTACTGGTCTAGATAAACACTGGCGTGCCAAACATATTTATGTAACCTGACATCCATGCATAAATTTATGTAACCTGACATCCATGCATTCTGCACTTCGTTTTGAAATTTAAGTCGCAAAAATACAGCCGACTGTAGGCCTAGACTATATCTTCGAGATTACTGGGAGATCTATAGGATTACATCACTCCCGTATATCGATGATGATCAAGTAGAATTTCTAGGCCAAGATGGCAAGATCTTGTCTCGTCTAGACTCATATACATGTATGACGAAGAAAAGTAAGAGTAACCTGTGTAGTACGTGTAGGCTGTACTAAAGGGCGGGCCGCACAGAAACGCTGTTAGTAGCAGGTTTGTTAGCGCTAACAAGTCACTAACAAATCAGCCACTAACAGCACAGGTAAAATGACCGTACAGGAAGCGTTGTTAGAGCGCTGTTAGACACGCACGCTGTTACAGCGCTGTTAGTTGATTTGAGCCATAGAGTTAAGTAAAATCTATGATTTGTGCGTAGATGTGACGTCAGGTAGAAAGAGGAATTATGCAAAACACACAAAACCGCTTGTTAGAGTATTGGGGTATAGAAATATCTTATTAATATTATTATTATTATTATAGGAATAATAATTAAGGATAACCATCAAGCAGCGCGCAGCCGAAAATGAATTTGTGTCATTGACTAATTTGATGATGTTACATTTTTATTTTACAGGGGCGACTGCAGAATGCAACTGCACATCTGACTGTGTAGTAGACTGTCCTAGTGGCCAGTATTCCAACTCATCGGGGGATTGTTTACAGTGCCCACCAGGATTTTAGTGAGTCATTATTTTTTTATTATAAATTTTAACCTAACTAATTCCAAGATGCTGAAAGAATTCTCAGCATTCAGGCTGTGTACTCGTTCTCCACATACAGTACAGGGATGATGGGTGCATCAGGAAATGTGTAAACTGGGAGGGGGGACTAGACTGATTTACCCCCCCCCCCCCACCTCCCTCCCCCTTCTCCCTCCCCCTTCTTCACCTCTCGTAAATGTACAATGTACATGTTTATAAAGACCGCTCAAGGAAAAACATGAAAAGTGGTCTTCATAGGCTGGTGTTCTTTGTGTCTAGGCTTCAATGAAACACCATAATATCCAATTCCAATGGGAACAGAAAAATGTCTTTATAGACAGGGGGTCTTTCTATTCAAAGAACAGGTGATTGCTACAGCAGGTTTGACTGTAAAAGTTTGGGAACAACAAATACCCCGGCCAGCACAAAAGTTGACCCAAAGTTAGGGTGCCATACGCTTCACCAATGAAGCGATTCAAATCTGAAGACTTAAAAGGTACATTACATGTAAACTCCAGTTCTGGTAAAAAAAAGAAAAATTAATTCTCACAGAATCAAACGAAACTTACACTGAATGTTCAAGATTACAAATAAATGACATGTGCCAAACAATTTTGGAAGAAAATGTTTACTGGCTGAGTAATAAACCTAATCCTTACCCTAACTCTCTAACCCTTACTCTCTAACCCTAACTCTCTACAGTGTATGCCTACACATCTATGTACAGTAACCCTATTGGTGGGGTATTCTAAAGTTAAGCCAAAGTTTGTTTCCAGTCTTCCATAATGATGAATAAATGTTGAATGTTAAAATACACAATTGTATTAAATTTGTATTGTACACTGTGCAGGATAATAAAGAATAGATTAGATTTCCTTCAACACGCAAAGTTGATCCAATGTAAACAGTTCACTTCACCTCCATTCTTTTCAATTCAGTTGAAATTGTTTCACCTTGCAACTTAAAATATTGACAAATTAAAACATTCGCAATTCAATGAATTGTATTGCGATAGAAACATAGAGACATACTCTTTAAATAAGGATATGTCATTAAAAAAAGTGAAATCATCATGAATAATGAAGCAAATGCTTGGTATTAAGAAAAGGGCATTGCAAGGATTTGTAAAGAGCCTAAATGTTATAAAACTCAAATTTAAACTTTTCCTACAAAATTAAAGTCTTTTTTAAAAAACAAATATGATTTTTGCAACCAGTGTTTTATCCATCCCATTTGTTATGACGCAAAATTTTGCACATAACAAAAGCTCATCTTGCTGCCGCATTTTGTGATAGTTTTTAAGGGCTTGCAAATCCCTGATAGGGGGTTTTAAGGACAAATGTACCTGTATTTCAGTTCAAAAAGAAAAAATATATCATCAAACAATTCACTGATGAAATGTGTCAGAATTTAAAGTGCAATTGAACCTTCCTTTCAAAATTACTTTGAAAGAAAATAGAAAAACAGAGAAACTGACTGGGTTGATGAACACAAAGAAAGTTGTGGAGTTTTTAGTTAATAAAGAGTATTTCTTTGATATACAGTACATTGTACATGTACATGTACATGTATGTGTATATTTGAACATGTCATGAGACAAATCTTGTATTTATGTATCTAGACAAGCTGGGGGGAATAGTTAAAGGTAGAGCGTGCAGGAGAGAAATCATGGAAATATCTATTGCAGTGTACATACACGTACATTGTACACCAATAGATCTGACTATAAACTTTACTTTAATGTATATATATTTCAATATTTGCACGTTTCTTACCCAAACTCTTGGTTATCAACTACATTTGTACATGTGTTTGATTCACCTGCTGTGCATAATAGTATCTCTGTGGATGATATTTAGTTGTTGCTTTGTCAGTCAAATCTCAGACAATTTTTGAGGAGAATTTCAAGTACTCATATTGATCAAGAAGTAAACAGGTCTATTGGGACTCTTAGGGATTGTTGTAACAATTATATCTGCACTGTATTGTCATAGTAAAATGGCCAACTAATTGCTTCAACATTGTTCAAATCTATCATCTTTCATTTGAATTTTGTTGAGCCTATTTATTTTGATTTTCCATTAATGTACAGTATACAATTACAGTACATTTTTTAATGTTCTTTTAGATGTCACCTTCTAATACAAAGGTTGCTTTTCTATCTGAAGATTGTATTGTTTGTAAATTACTGAGTTAAAAAAAAAAATAGTGCTCTTTAAATCTAGAAAGGTAAATTAAACCGGTGACAGAAATGTCATCACCATACACAATTACACATTGTAGTATGTCATGTTGGAAATTTGTCAGAAATTCTATGTTAAATTCAAGAAGACAGTTTATTGAGAAATGAGAATTTTTGTTTATTAGTATTGACTATTTATGCTACATCAGGGAATAATTTTCCTGGTATCGCATCGCAATTTGCTATGCATTTTTGCATGACTGCTATACAAAATATCTTTTGTGTAGCAGTTTTCTTCCATAGAAATGTACAGAATTGCATTTGAAATATTTATCCATCGGCTGAAATTGCGAATCAAAAAATTTGAGGAAAATTATTCCCTGTACATGTATGTTCAGTACAGTACATGATTTTTGTCTTGCAACAAACAATTTATGAGTGATTTCATGTACAATATTACAGGGGAAGTAAGCTTACATAGTCTATTTGGGGGTCAAAACTCTCCGTTTTATGTCTTAATTTCAGCTTGTGCAGTACAGTTGTACAAGCACATAGTAAAAGCCAGGAGAAGTTGCATTTTCTCCCTTTTTTCCCTTCATTTTTATTGTTCGCCTGTGTGAGCATCTTGTCCTACACTATCCCTGAATGTGAATATGATTTTGTCAAAAATTTGACTACATGTATAAGGTCATATTGGTGTGAAAACTGCAGTGTTTGAATCACCATTGAATCAATGATTAATAAACAACGCCTGTTGAATAGCTCATTGCCAATTGGAATGATTGATAAGAGCCTCACAATCGCTTGTATAACCTTCTTTATAATGAGCAGTCAATAAAGTTGACTTTACCGATCAATATTGTGCACCTGAGGCATGAAGAGGGGGGAAAAATGGACTGCATGTGCCCGCTGAACGAATGATCTATAGTCAATGATCCCGGATACTGACGCATTGTGCAACCAGACCTCATAGCCTGCTATGCCTACCAGCCCATAATAGTTATTGTTTCCTAATATAACTCTCCGTCTCGATCCTTCCCGAATTCTCGACTTTGTCATGCCTGTTTGCACAAACCCTATTGAAACCCTGCTTTCCGAGCCACAAACAATGCAGTTTATGTACCTTACAAGACAGAGTTGAGTACACAGTTTTTTAGCACACTGCATACTGCACATGTTGGTTTTCTTTTGACATTCTAGATGCGTTTACACTTGTTGGCGTTCCGTCGCCTAGCAATTAATAATCCACTCGTGGCTTCCGCAAATAAAGGGCACAGACATGGACTGTAATTAAGCGCTTTTGGTTGTAGAGTAGTCGGATAACAAGAGTCTGGGGTATTTTGTTCTTTTGAAGGGTTGACAAAATGAATTGTTGTGTAATGTGAGATGTGATAAAATGGTTGTGTAATTGTTTTAAACTACCCACATGTACACTTGTACAGTTCAGGCATTCATGATCCGTATGTAAAATGCAAGAATACTTAATATTGACTAATTAACAAGGCCTTACAAAATACCCCAACACAAATCAGCAACTTAATTATCAAGAATATGTAGTAATTTCCACTCAGTTTTCATTTTTCTAAAAGAGATCAGTATATGTACATGCAGGATTATAAAGAAAGGTTTTAAAAAGACTTAATTTTGTTCCTTTTACATTGTAGATAGAGTGTGTAGATGTACATGTATACCATGCTATTGGTTCTGCAGTTGAAAATGTATTATACTTGTATCATGTCTGCATCACCATTTATAAATGATTGAAAACACAGCAACAATCTTCTCAAATATAATACTGTACAGTACAGTGTAGGTTTAATTTACAATGTCCTGTTTTGAAAGAAGGTATAAAAATATATTCTTAATTCCTTTTCATCGAAGGATGCCTGTTTCTTTTAATGTTTTTTTAGTGATGCCATTTTATTGTTAAAAAAAGGATGCCCCCAAGAGTCTTCTAACTCTGCTGATATTCAGGTACCCCAACATTAAATTCAAATCTGTAATGGTTGCCCCCAATTAGAGCATCATTTTTGTTTGAAAAAATATGTCTAGAGATCAAAATTCCTGTCTGTCTTTTTAATAGCCCTGAGCTGTGTTTAACTTTAAGTGAACAATTAATTGTAGATCTGTCCTTTTCCCTTCTACAATGTAGCTGTTTTCAAATATACTCACAATGGAGGTACGTACATTGTACACCCCTCCCTCCCTCACCCTTAATATTATTTTTTCCTTGAAACTGATTACAAATTTTTCAAGACCACCTGCCTTTAAAGAAGTTTGCATTTCTTTTCTCCCTCAAGCAGAATTGAGTGTATGATTCTATGGTTTCAATTTGTAAATTGTACATTTGTCAGGACTGACTGCATGTTCTTCTTGTTCTACCTTTCTTCTCATTTAGTTGTGATGGAGGCACACAGGCTCCCTTGCCCTGTGGTTCAGGGACGTTTAACTCCGACCCTGGCGGATCAGATCTAATTGATTGCTCGGTAAGAAATCTTGATGATTTTAGTCATAAAATTAAATTATACTAAATTCAGATTTATTTCCTCTCAAACAGTAGAACCTGAAATACAACAAAGGTACACCTGTACATGTACAGTACATGTACAGTAGATGTACATGTACAGTAGATCAATATTTTCAAGCATACTGTCAACATTGATAACAAGTATTGATAACAAATTGTTTGATGTACACATGAGTACAGCTCATGCCATAAACTGAATAATATATCATTTTGTTTAAAGTAAACATTATTACTGTTGGCAAATTTTTGTTTGCAAAGTTTATCTGTCATCTTCTGCTATTTTCTTTAATGATATTTATTGTTAGGCATGTCCAAGCGATGGGTACTTCAGTCTTGCAGGGGCGGAGACCTGTACACTATGCCCAGCTGGCAGCAAATGCAATTCATCGACCGGCACCATGACAGCATGTTCTGACGGTCAGTACTCTCTGGCCGGGGATATGACCTGCTTGGAATGCCCAGATGGGTTGTACTGCCCATCGGTCTACAATGAACCCATGGTAAGATTTTGAGAATTTCCATAATGTTAAAACTATGATTATTTACTAGGGAATCTAACTTTTACAGCAAGTTGCTGTGAAAGTAAACAGAAGAATTAGAGGAACAGATTAGGGAAACTTCAAGTGAATTTGGATAATTTAGTATGAAGTTAAGAACTTTAATATGAATTTTTGAAAGTTTGAATTCACTTGTCATATACATACATGTACATGTAAAGTATGTACAGTACAATGTACATTTGTACAGTAACTTTATATTGGTAAATAATTAATGTTTCTGTGGTTCAGCAACTTTCACAATTATTCCACCACACAAAAGGAGTATAATTTAATTTGAGTAATTATGACTGAACAGAAGAGGCTTTGGAGAAAAAGAAAATTCATGGTATTTTAACAAATTGAAAAAGTTGTCCCAAGTATTACAACCATTTCCCAAAATTATGCACATAGAATGTAAATCAATTTTAAATTTTAAATTTCAAATTGAATAAACATGTACACTGTATGTGGCTGATTTCATTTTGAAATTTGTACTCACCTGTTAGTCAGTTTCTTCTGCCTTTACCAAATTCAAGTTACCATAGTTGGATTTTCCTTTTTTTTTTAAAGAGTACATAAATTTACATTTTTATTGCTAATTTGAAAACATAAAAGTACAACAAATTCAAATCATACATACATGTAGAGGGTACATATGTACATGTATGTATGTACATGAACAGTGCCTTTTCCAGTCTTTTAGTTTACACTCAATGATATTGCTGTATTGTACATTGTGCCAAATATTGGAACGAATTTCACAAAAAATAATGTTTTTTGGGAAATTTATGATTGATTGTATTGATTACTTTGTTGTTGTTTATTTCTTTTTTTGTAATGCTACAGTACATGTATTAATATTGTTATCTGCTCTCTCAAAAGTATGCATACAATATGGGCCAATGCATACCAGAGGTACATTGTACGTTTAACTGTGTAAGAAATGCAACTTGCACTATAAAATTCACCGGCTTCAAATATGAAAGGTTTTATTAGAGGGTTGATTCATGCCTTCCCTAGGCAACAGAAAGAACAGCAAGCAAGAAACACTTTTATAACTCCCAGCACTTGGAAGGTTTTAAAGACACACTGTCCTACTTGTAGCTACTTGCTCCCTCTACATGTATATAGAAAACTTCCCCAATCGGTGCCTGTTGGTCCCCCATGATCCTCTTTTTCTTATGTTAAATGAGAGCTGATCAATGAGATAGCCACCTGTCACAGTGACCTCGCTGGCTCGCTGGGTGGTCTAATCCCTTCTAGCTGAAGTAGTAAAGCCTGCCTTTAACTCTCTCTCACTTTTGATCTATATTTATCCCTGTTATTTGCCCATCTACTAGATGTTGATGACATTCTATAAAACTTCTCCATCTTATGTGTACACTGTATCAACATCCTTGTTTTATCTGTACTCTCAATTTCAATGTGTTACCTCCCTTTTCTTCCTCTTTAATCTTTTACTTTTAGCTACATCTCTCTTTTTCTATTTCTATATCTTTCTATCTCTCTCTCTCTCTCTCTTTCTCAATCAAATGCAATGCTTTCAGTGGCGTATACAGCTCTATTGTTACTTGTTTACTGATAATAAATTTTAAGAAGCAGGTCTGTGACCGAGTAGATGTTATGTTTAATTCACATGTTAATGAAAATTTCATGATCTAAGAAAAGCCCCATTTTGTTGCTGTCTTCAAAGTTTTCATTAAAGACACTTTTCAATAGTCTTTGGTTATGTGTCTGTGGATGTACAGTACTGTTAGTATTTTTTTATCACAGCGCAGTACTGTATATACATGTAGTACATGTAGCTGTGCTATATAAATTGATCAAATTATGATTATTACTATCTATCGGCTCTATTTATACAGATATGTCCGAGTGGACACGTGCCCTTTTCTAACCAGACTGGATGTGAAGAATGTGGTGCAGGCACCTACGCCTATAATGGAACAGTCTCGTGTCAGCAATGTCCACCAGGTAAAAGAACTTTGGACCAGTCCAATTTCCCTTCATTATAGGGGTGTTAAATGTAGCAGTGTGGTTTTAGTAGGTTAAGGTTTCATCTCCTGGGTATAGAGAGAGAGAGAGAGAGAGAGAGAGAGAAAGAGACGCTAAATGATGAAGTGCATGTGTAGCTATAAATAGCTGAAAGAATATTTTCATTCTGAGTTTGAATACAAAACTCTAGGTGAGGTAAATGGGTACCTGGTAGGATTATTCCTTGAAATGCACTGTGTGTTGATTACGGCTGCCTGAGCTAAAACTATGGTAATAATTTTCAAAGCTCTTTTGAAGTGCATAGAGACGGTGGATATGCGCTACATGTATACAAGAACCAAATATTGTTATTATTATTAAATCATATGCTCCTTGTACATATATACATGTACCATCTTTTCTTTGTGTTTTTCCCAAGTTTCTAAAATCTTTGAGGAAAATTGTTTTTTACTCATTTTTTTAATTATTGATTCTTCTTTCAATTTTTGATAGGCTACAAGTGTCCAACCGCTGGCCTTGATGGACCTATTCAATGCGCTACAGGTAAGCTGTAACTACACAATGTGTGGCTAGAAAGTAGAACTACGTGTAATTACATCCATAGAATCATTTGAAATGATCTTTCACCTAAAAACTATATGAATGTGTTGATTTTCATTATTTTGGACCGATCCATGTTTCATTCAGTATAGGGGTGTTTAAATGTAACAGTGTGGATCGGGTCCAGGTTTCATCTCCTGAGTAGAGAGAGAGAGAGAGAGAGAGTGAAGGGATTATTTAGCCTTTGATTTTGTCTTTATATCCATGATTGTGTTGATTTTCATTACTTTCATCTAAAAACCTTATACAGGTATATGAGTGTGTTGGTTCTCATTACTTTCACTAATTTCATAAATTGTGTTTCTTATGTTGGGTTGTGAAGTACAGGAAGGTATGATTGCATCTATCGTCACCATAGTAGGGTGCTATGAAAAAAAGAAAAAGAAAAAGTCGTCAAACAAATTATTTGGATCTTTGAGAATGAACGCATGATTTGACAAAATTAGGAGTTGTAATTTACATACTTCAATTTCTGAGCTATAGAGCATTCAGAGAGATACATGTATGAACCTATGAGAAAATCTTTGAAAGTTTTATTGATTACCTTTAAACTGATTTTCCAAAACAAAAGTACACTGTATATTGCACTCAATTGGGTTCAAATGTGGACAATAGAGAAACTTCAGTGGGGAATTACAGGTTCCACTTTTAGAGCAGATTTTATGGCACAATGCATAAACATTTGCTCTGTTGCCATAGGAACGATCGGGCATAGTCTGTGAAGACATACTTGAGTAGTTATGGCCTAGATGTTACATGTAATAATCAATTTGATTTTATAGATTTGAAAGATTAAATTATGATTTGATTGTGGGTGATCGTTAGTTTAAACACAGGTATGGTGTGATTGATTTGATCCACTGCTCCTCACTTTATTCATGGAGTACCGGCTTTGCCTGAATTGAAGGGGAAAATTAAAAATTGCGATTATGTTACATGCTGAATCAAAATCGATTTTCTCCATTTGTATGCCCCTATGGGTGCTCTATTGTCATGCATATACACTGTACAGTAAATTGTAAATGACAAATCAATCTTTTAAAAGTCTTAATTGAATACTTTTATCCCTGCATTTTAAAGATGACCATGAAGGGAGATTGTGCCATTTCAGGGCATTGAAAATAAAATCAGCCCTTTTAATACGACCTGCGGTTCAGCCGTGACTTTTCTATACTAAACTTGCATGATTATTACAATTTTCAAATATGATCTTATCTTTTAACTCCCATGAAATTGCATGAGTCTCAATCTTTTAGAATCACATTTCCTTGTTTGTAATTATTTAAAAAAACACGTAAATAATGACTTTCAACTTCTGACATTAAAAAATTACTGATAATCTTCTTGAAATTCTTATTCAGTATATTGATGTTTAACCTGCGTGCCATCTTACCATAACAGTTCCTTGTGTTTTCAGGTTACTTTTCAAGTGCGGCTGGTTCTGACACCTGTAGCCAGTGCACACAAGGCTATTACTGTAATTCCACAACACAGACAATCTGTGAGGTTGGGTATTATAGCAATGCAGGAGCTACATCTTGTACAGGGTGTCCAGATGGATATTCATGCAGTGGCCCTGAAGGTCCTGTGGAATGTCTGGCTGGAACCTATGCAGGTAGCGGAAGCGATAGCTGTGCAGCCTGTGAGGCAGGGTTCTACTGCCCTCTGAATGGAACAACCATGCATATTCAATGTCCTGATGGGTATTATGCCTCTGGGTCGAACTCTAAGGCCTGCACAGAATGCACTGCAGGATATTACTGCACACCATCATCAATCGCGCCCTGTGCCGCTGGATACTACAGCAATGTTGGAGCAGAGTCATGCTTGCAATGTCCTGGAGGCTACTCTTGCAGCGGAACAGCAGAACCAGTCCAATGCCTGGAAGGAACCTACAGTTTTAACGGAACTGAGAGCTGTACTCAATGTGATGCAGGGTTCTACTGTCCTTTGAACGGGACGATTGAACAGATTCAGTGCCCTGATGGCTACTATAATCCCGGAAGCAGTCCAGAATCCTGTATGCCATGTGCAGCGAATTCTTACTGTACACCTTCTAGCCAAGTCTCTTGCGATGAAGGGTACTACAGCGAGGCATTGGCCACTTCTTGCAGTTCTTGTCCTGGTGGCTTTGAATGTCCTGGAGGAGGTGCAGCTGCAAGCCAGTGTGATGAAGGTTTTTATGCTCGTAATGGCAGTGCTGCCTGCAGCCGTTGTGATGTCGGACACTACTGTCCTGTCAGTGGAACAATTGAGCCTATCATCTGTCCTGGGGGTTACTATTCTAATTCCACTGGAGCTTCGCAATGCGTCATTTGTGATGCTGGTTACTATTGCACCCCATCTTCAATTACACCATGTGCCGCTGGATACTACAGCAATGCTGGAGCAGAGTCATGCTTGGAATGTCCTGGAGGCTACTCTTGCAGCGGAACAGCAGAACCAGTACAATGCCTTAAAGGAACCTACAGTTTCAATGGAAGCGAAAGCTGTACTCAATGTGACGCAGGGTTCTACTGTCCTTTGAACGGGACGATTGAACAGATTCGGTGCCCTGATGGCTACTATAATCCCGGAAGCAGTCCAGAATCCTGTATGCCATGTGCAGCAGATTATTACTGTACACCTTCTAGCCAAGTCTCTTGCGATGAAGGGTACTACAGCGAGGCATTGGCTACTTCTTGCAGTCCTTGTCCTGGTGGCTTTGAATGTCCTGGAGGAGGTGCAGCTGCAAGCCAGTGTGATGAAGGTTTTTATGCTCGTAATGGCAGTGCTGCCTGCAGCCCTTGTGATGTCGGACACTACTGTCCTGTCAGTGGAACAATTGAGCCTATCATCTGTCCTGGGGGTTACTATTCTAATACCACTGGAGCTTCGCAATGCGTCATTTGTGAAGCTGGTTACTATTGCACCCCATCTTCAATTACACCATGTGCTGCTGGATACTACAGCAATGCTGGAGCAGAATCATGCTTGCAATGTCCTGGAGGCTACTCTTGCAGTGGAACAGCAGAACCAGTCCAATGCCTGGAAGGAACCTACAGTTTTAACGGAACTGAGAGCTGTACTCAATGTGATGCAGGGTTCTACTGTCCTTTGAACGGGACGATTGAACAGATTCAGTGCCCTGATGGCTACTATAATCCAGGAAGCAGTCCAGAATCCTGTATGCCATGTTCAGAAGGTTATTACTGTACACCTTCTAGCCAAGTCTCTTGCGATGAAGGGTACTACAGCGAGGCATTGGCCACTTCTTGCAGTTCTTGTCCTGGTGGCTTTGAGTGTCCTGGAGGAGGTTCAGCTGCAAGCCAGTGTGATGAAGGTTCTTATGCTCGTAATGGCAGTGCTGCCTGCAGCCCTTGTGATGTCGGACACTACTGTCCTGTGAGTGGAACAGTTGAGCCCATCATCTGTGCAGATGGCTACGTCTCCAACACCACAGGAGCCTCTGAGTGCACCCAATGTGAAGCAGGTTACTTCTGCGACCCGACCTCCCAGACCCCTTGTGACCCAGGCTCTTCCAGTTCTGCCGGTGAAACATCCTGTACAACCTGTCCTGGTGGTTATGAGTGCCCTGGAGATGGGGCTCTTGCTGCTATTTGTGATTCAGGTTACTACGCCCTTAACGGAAGCTCCTCGTGCAAGGAATGCGAGATAGGTTTCTTCTGCCCCGTCTCAGGAACAGTTGAGCGGATCGCTTGCACCACAGGTGATTTCCCCCAAACCCTTGTCCATGTTGCCTTCACCGATTTGCATTCTCCCACCGCATTTACCTGTATGCACTTCCTATGCATTGCTCGCATACATGCATTTCCTACACATTTCCCGTATATATGCACTTCCTACGCATTGCCCGTATATATGCACTTCCTACGCATTCCCCGTGCACTTCCTACACATTTCCGCATGGCATATATGCACTTCCTACACATTTCCGCATGGCATATACACTTCCTACACATTTCCGCACTGCATATATGCACTTCCTACACATTTCTGCATATATATGCACTTCCTACACATTTCCGCACTGCATTTGCACTTTGATACAACTTGGAATAGATATGCATGTAACTTAACATCTCATTTTCTCTAATTAATTATTATTGACATCGATCCTCTTCCTGCCTTCATGTTACCTTTTGCTGTTGTTAATGTTGATTTGTTTATACTGCAGTCACAATGATGAGACCGGCGCTAGACCGACGCCAGACCGACATCGTACCGAACATAAGTTTACATTTTGGCAAACAGCCAAGAATCGGTCGGTTTGGGGTCGGTTGGTCAGTCGGCGTGACTGAGGTATTACGTTTAATAATGGCACATTGTTGCATTTTATGCACTTTACTTATAATACTTCATCATCATTTTCAAGATTACAATTAGTATGTTTACAATTTTATTTATAAGAATGTGCATAGACCATGGCAAATCTATATTCAAGTCACATACATGTATTTATGCTTTCATTTTATTATATACTGCCCAGCTATGCATTTTTTCGATGCACAGCAGTATGCTGGTTATGTGCAACACTATGCAAGCTTCATGCAGCATTCTTGATCCACGCATCAGGATGCGTTCAAAGTCCAGACGCGATGTAATGCAAGGACATTGATGATGCGCACACTGAAATGCGCATTGTACATGTACATATACCACTGTTTGGCTACGCGCACTGCAGGATTAGATCATTTTGATGTAATCAAATAAAGTAATTATTGATAGCCTTCATGATTGGGCGACTCTTGGCTTTTTTTTATCAGGTTTCAAGTCATTTTCTAGACTCTATACTCATAGTAGACCTGTCTTTTAAAACAAATAATACATGTTAATAGCTCATGTGTAGGCCTACTAGTGATATGTATTATGCACTGCTCTTGATTATTAGTCACAATTTACAAGATAGTGAACTCGACAAGTCTAGTTCATTATCTTATTATGACTTAATCTGCATGCAGTGCATAATCACTTCTGCATTTGTAAAGGTGTAGAGATATCGTGATCGAGTGAATACATCACCGGACTGTGGATCACAAGGTCCGCAGTTTGAGTGCTGCAGCGGCACTAATGTCCTTTGGCAAGACATTGATCTACATTTTGCCACACTCAACCAAGGTGATGTAAATGGGTATACCTGGCAGGAATTAATTCCTTGAAATGCTAGAGCGCAGTAAGGGCAGCCATGCTAAAGCCAATAGGTAATAATCAGAAACGCCAGGAGTGTCAATATACTGACAGATACATGTATGAGCGCTATATAGAAGAACCCATGATTATTTGTATAATATACCACTTTGTGATATTAGTCTCTTTGCAATATTAGTCTCTTTGCGACAAGTCTGTGCAATATTAGTCTCTTTGGAATACTGGTATTTGTCTCTCAATGACGGTATTAGTCTCTTACAAGATTAGTCTCTTTGCGATATTAGTCTCTTTGCAATATTAGTCTTTTTGCGATATTAGTCTCTTAGCAATATTAGCCTCTTTGCAGTATATTAGCCGCTTTGCAGTATTAACTTCATTGCCATACAATTACTGATGATAAGCATTGCAATGTTCATTTGTATGTTTATTTAAAGGGCAATTAAGTCCAACCTATTTGCAAGTCGAATTGAATGAACAGATAAATATCAAATTACAGATAAATTTTCATCAAAATCATACAACAAATAAGAAATTAACGATGATGATGATGGTGATTAATATTATTATTATTATCATTATTATAATAATTATTAATTATTTATTTATGTAAAAAAATGTTTATAATCCTCTCTCCCTTCAGGGAGTATGTGGGAAGTATCCTTGTACATTATGTTGGTGGTGGGGTACAGGGCTTCATTTTATTTTACACCTTCATTTCTTTATCATTAAATATTTAGTTTACTACTGGTTGTTTTTTCTTTTAGGTACTGGGTTTGGCTTGATTTTTCTTTCATATTTTGCAACTGTTTGTCATATATATTTTTCTGTGTTTAATGAACATGTTTTAATGTTTCAAAAGAAGTAAAAAAGATTGTTGCAAGAACAAAATATCTTGCCAACATGTACATGTATAAATATATTTTGCCTCATATATATATATATATATATATCCCGTAATATTCATTACAGAAACATAGTTACATGTAAGTTTGAATATAATTAATAACATATATAATCAAGTCTCATTTATTGCAAAAATCAAGTTTATTGCTTGATTTATTAACTGATATTTTGCATTTACATCATACGGAACTGCAGCTTTATTTAATCGCAAACAGGCAGAAAGAATATAATTGCCTCAATAATACAATAAGACACTTTTATTTAACAACAAAAAAGTAAATTTGTTGATTAAATCTGTATATCACAGCTTTAACCTGCTTCTAGAGAAAAGCCATAACATAACACCTAAGAAGTGTAATTCATTTATATTTACATCACTATTGTTTTTATATCTTAATTCATACACGTGCATTGTAAATAGACATTATAAATGTTTCCACATTTTTGCTCAACTGATATCACATTCACATGCACTTTAAAGCACTGTACATGTGTATAATACTATGTTTATCTAGCTTACATGTACATGTACATGATTAACACATGTCTAGTGGCTACACTATCATTACAGAAGAATTTTATCTTCAGATATTACATGTACAATGTCCAAAGTACATTTTTTAGTAATATAGGTCAATTCCAAGCATTATTAATAGAATGTACTAATTAATGATATTATATAAACTATTAAATACATGTATGAGGTACTTTCATAACAGCTAAGTATCCTTTCAATCATTCATCAAATTCAGGGTCTATATTATTCCGTAACAAAAGTATATACAATTGTATGTTTCATTAATTTGATTAATAGTTCATAGGAAACCCATATATTGTGATAGTATACAAATATACACTGCCTTGAGAGGTTCTGGTTAAAACTATGTGCAAGAGGTGACTCCAATAGTACTATTTGCTGAGGGGCACAGCCCCGAAGCAAATGGTACTTTTGGAGTCACCGAGGCCCATAGTTTAACCAGTACTTCGAATAGAAGGCATGGTATATTTGTTTTATATCCTGCATCAAAAATTTATTTAAAAAAAAAAAATTAAAAAAAACATTTTTGGGAATTTTTTTTTTAGAACAAATAAAAAATGTTAATTTTTATCTAAAAAGATTTAAAATATTTTGTTTTCATTAAATTAAGATTTGAAGAAAAAAAATTGATTCAATTAAAAAAAAAAAATTCACACTTTTTTTTCAACTCCCAAATAGTAAACCCAAATAGTACTCTCATAAAGTACTTTCTAAAAATAGATCAAATATTTCTAGTCATGTGACAAGCTCTCAACCAATCAAAATCCAACACATTTTTGATGCAGGATATAATACTTCATATAATAGTTAGTAAGATATCATTTGATAAATTTTTGGATTCTTATTATTTTATGCCTGATATTGTTGATCAAAAATTGAAAATTCTCTGGAAGATGTCATTTTATAATGCTTGGAATTGACAATTAGTTAATGAAAGTTCGGTATTTAAACCATCTAGAGTACTGAACACAACCTTCAGATAATCCGGACACCACCTACAGTACAGTTTAATACATAAACCAATCCTTCACAGTACTGTAGGTATTTCTTTCTTGGAATTGTTTCTGACTTTTCTCCCACCCTGATTCCTCCCATCATCAGGTTACTATGCCAACGAGACCGCATCACAGTCTTGCGAGCAGTGCCCTGAGGGGTACCGTTGCACCTCATCCCACCTGAGTCCTGTCATCTGCCCTCGCGGGTCCTACGCACTGGCAGGGTCCACGTCATGTACTTCATGCGGGGATAGCGAATATGCAGATAGTACAGGTGCGTATATATTGTTCTGCAATATACATGTACAGTCAAACCTGCTTTAGTGACCGCCTGTCTATACAAAGACCACCTGTCTACAAAGACCACTGGTTTCGTATTGAATCATGTACTAAAGCAAACTGCCTACAAAGACCATTTTTTGTGTGTTTCCCTTGGGCGGTCGCTATACATGTAGACAGGTTTGACTGTCGTATTTATGGTTTATTGAAATAAAAATATATCGCAGCTCAATACCGAATAACAGGTTTGTACAATAGAAAAAGCAAACATCAAAATAACAGGAAACAAAACGTAATAATTGCAGATGCTTTATACATGTACATGATCTTGACCTGGGCCCCCATAACGTAAAAATTGATTTGCAATCAGTCGTGAAAATCTATTGTATCTCAAGTCTTGCTGAAATATACCATTTTGTAAAGTCGTCAAATTTAATGCACAAATCCTTGATAAGTGCCTCGTAACAAATTGTTTCATTCGCCTGTTATGAATAATTGTATTTCAATAGTCGGAACGCAATTTCCATTCCGTCCGATGAAAGAAGATTATTTGTAACACTAACCGGCTAATGAAATAATATGTATCAATTTAAGGCACTTCACAAAGACTTTAATGTACATGTATGCATAAAATTGTCTGACATTACAAAAATAGCCTAACGAGGTGAAATGGTCTTGCTTGAGGGATCTAGAGTCGTTAGATACCGTCTGAGCCACTCTAAGCCATATTTTGAAACACGCTCAAACAAAATAATAACCAGTGTTTCACAGTCAAACCTGTCTATTAAGGGCTGCCCAAAGGAAACTCAAAAGTTGCCACGGTCCTTTATAGACAGGTTCTTCAGCACATGCTTCCTCCTTTGAGCGAAGCAATAAAGGTAACGACTGTAAATAGGTGGCCTTTAAATAGAGGTGGCCGCTAAGACGGGTATACCTGTACTGAATGTTGAGAATGAATTTCAACTTGTCACTGATTTTTTAAGCCTGTAGTATCAGAATTCAGTTCTATGTTCAGGTAATGTGATCTATCAAAACAGATTTGACCGCCAAAAACTCAGTCCCTACGCTCCGTCTCGCAACCGCAAATTTTTTTGTGTTTTCGCGTACGTCCGACATGGTAAGCCAGGTAAGGTATAGATCAAGTTTTTTTCCCTGTTCAGAAGTCATGTTAAAATCCCTCGTAGACCGCCCTGTATGACATAATAATAATCATTTATTAATCAATTTCCTGATATCCCTTAATTGATGATGTTTTGTTTGTTTTCTTTACTTATTACACTGTAGGTCTATCATCGTGTATGGCATGCCCAGAAGGGTACTCTTGTAACAGCACTATGGCATCACCTCAAATATGTGCACCGGGAACATACAGGTATGAAAATGATCTGAAAGTCTTCCTTTTTGTCCTTCTACTAATTTAATTTTGATATTAAAGGAGTCCACCATTTTGCCAACAACAAAAAAGTAAACGGGCTCTTCATATTCCATAACCATTAAATTCAAATTTAATAAACATGTTTTTCTTCAATCTATGAAGGATTGCACAAAAAGATTAATTGTGGCCAATTTGAGGAGGGAAACTGATTGCTTTAGAAAATCAGAAAACTCTAAACTACTATGGGGTAAACCACCCAACCAAGATACCTCTTATGACATTTATTTTGATTTTATGTTTTACAAAAATACACAGCCCTGAAGCCAGCAAGTATTGTTTAGAATGCCCCGATGGAAGCTACATGGATTTACCAGGCCAAGCGTCCTGTGCTGCATGCCCTGCTGGCTCTGCGTGTTTGGACAAAACATCAGGTAGGTTGGTTGGTTGGTTGGTTGCTTGGTAGGTTGGTTGATTTTACCTTTTTTGCTAAGAAAGCAAGTGTATGCTTGTAAGTAGGCAACCAGGGGACCGACGGCTTTAATTAAGTCTTCTCTGAGGGACTTGGTAAAGAGGATTTCAACTGTTCCGAATAAACGTTATGCTTTTTGATGTAAATACTGTATGTTCATAATTATTCAGGGCCCCATGGAAATAAATAAATAAATAAAAATGCCTTTAATACCAAAGGGCACTAGCGCATTGACTTGGTTTTGAACCCGGAACTTCCCGGTTACGAGACCACTGCTCTACCACTGGGCCGTCGTGCCTCCATGTCAAGATATAACTGTTCAAGATAGTTAAATAAATTTCCTTAATTAAAATTAAATTAAATTAAGTTCTTCCATCGCCCGATTGCTGCAATGGCCGTTTCATTAACAAGGGCCAGGTCTTCATCTGTGCAACCCGTTCCGCCGCACTGCAAGATGTGGTCTATTGTACTTATAATGGGATATATATACATAAGGATTCAAGATTATTTAGCCGTTTCCAGTGCACGATTAGTCAACACCAGTGTTAAAACGGTAATCTTGGAGCTAAGACTGGAAATTAGGAATTGTATGTACTTGTGTTTATAAGATATACCACAAGATTTTAGTAACTTATTTGCCTACCAATAACGGTTAAAGTGCGCATGATTTTTCGTTATTTTAGTCATTTTGTTTTCATTTTACCATGCTAAAAACCTATTTACTGCAAGATTAACGATGCAGAATAAGCTTTAGACAGTTTTAAGTCGATACGAGACTTCAGAATTATATATTTTTTGATAAATTAAACTAATCATTATTGTTTGTTTAATCATAGACATGTTAATATGTAATATAATAATATGTTTCCTTTCCATTTTCATAGCCTGTAAACTCTTGTCTTAATATACCTGTAGCCTTCAAACTTGATCTAGCTTTTGGATAACCTATTTGTGTTCAATTTTTTGTAATTTTGTGTACCTTTTTCGGACATGAAGCTGGTAAGAAATATTACTGGTATCCAATCACTTTCCCTTTGATTTAGCAAATTGGCAACAAAAAGTGATCTACTCAAAAGTGCATGTACATGTATTTGCACCCTGTTTTCAACGACATTTTTATTTTTATTTTTTAATTTTTTAAATGAATATTTCTTATCATATCTTAGGATTTAAAAGGCACATTTCCACCTTTTAATTTTTTGTTGGTTGTTTGAACTATTGCAATAAACATTCAAAGGATTAATGAAGCTAAAATGAACAATAAAACAGAAATAATTAAAAAAAAAAAAAAGTTTTGGTAAATAATTGTTTAGTCAGAATATGGTGCGCTTAGAGACACCAGTATTAAGCGCCTTATAAATATTGTGTATTATTATTATTATTAAATAATTGAAATGTTTCCCTCAAAAAACAAAATTAAGAGGTACTTTTTATTTGCCCAACTGCTTTTATGAAATGCACCCAATAAACAATCTGAACTGAAATTAAGTATTACTTATTATTCAATTTGTGTGTGTGTGTTTCACCAGTATACATTGTAATGATGAGGTTTATTTGTTCATAGTATTTTTATGAGCATCAAGCACATTCTTTTTTGTTTCAGAAAACACATTTACTTTTGTAACAAAATTATGAGTATTGACAATTGTCTTTTCTTATATAAGTTGTCACCTCTACAATTATGTGTATGTAAGCCAGTTCACATCCCTTTTAAATTCAATTCTTTCCTTTTAAAGACATTTCATATCCCTCTTCCTTCTCCCCCATCAGCCAAAAACTGAGAAATTTAACATACATGTACAACAAAATCCTTATAATGCCTATTTGAAGTTTTGTTACATAAATTTCTTGTCTATTTTTCATCAAATTTTAGAAGTCTTGTGCAAAAGACCCCCTCTCTTGTCAACATTTTATTCCTAATGAAATTATCTAGCTGTATTTCTCACAAATAAAATTGATTCCTAGTTACTTTTCCACGGATGCTTTAACTATTTTGCCTTAACACTAGTCTTTCTTTTATTTTCCTCCTTTATCAGAAATATTTTTGTTTTGAAGTAAAATGCAAGTTCTGCATTTGTATCCGGGTCAAAAGAAAAGAAAAAAAAACTTGTGTGGAACTGACTCCATTTACATAATATTTGTAGTAACTATCTGGGAAAGTCATAACTGTGTCACAAATTGCATGATATGCATATGCACAGAACTTTTTTCTTCTAATTTTAAATCTATATCGAGATCAGAAACAAGCGGTCATTTTTAGTTGGCCCTATTTGAAATTTTCACAAAAATATGTACCACTTTTAATACAGCATGCCATTGTTTCAATTTTTTGTGGGAAAAAAATAATTAAAAATGATATAATCAAATCAACCTTGATGTTTTTAGTCCCCAGCCCGTGTCCGGATGGCTATTACTCTCTGGCCAACGCCACCACCTGTATCCCGTGTCCAGGGGGCTACCAGTGCACCGTCCAGTCATCTGACCCCGTGCTCTGTACAGCTGGAACCTACGCGCCCAACGGTAGCGTGGCGTGCCAGGACTGCATTGTGGGCTTCTACTGCCCTGTTGATGGATTAGTGGAACCAATCGGGTAAGGAAAGGTTTATTGCTTCCGTTGAAATCTTAAATTGCAATTATTCAATCTTCATATCAAGATCAAAGACCCTAGTACAGTGAAACCTGTCTATAAAGACCACCCAAGGGAGAGATAAAAAAGTAGACTTTATAGGCAGGTGGTCATTATGTACAGGTTCCTTTAGTACATGTTTCAATGAGAAACCATTTTCAAGGGAAACAAAAAATGTGGTCTTTGAAGACAGGTGGTCTTTCTGTACAAGTGGTCACTAAGGCAGGTTTGACTGTAGTATTATTAACAATTTTGTATCCATATTTTTGCTTTATAAGAGATTCTTGAGTTCTGGGCCCTGTTTCATTAAACTTGTTATCAATGAAAAGTTATAATAACTGTTATGAGCTACTAAAATGGTGGCATTTTATCGGCTGAGAGCAAATTTTTGATAGAAATTGATCATTTGTTATTGCATAGCAAGTTTTAAAGATAAGCTTGAGTTCTGGTAATGATAAAAAATAAATTCTCACAGAATCCAACAAAACTTACACTGAATGTTCAAGATTACAAATGAATGACATGTGCCAAACGATTTTGGTAGAAAATGTATAGGGGCTGAGTAATGAGAATTGAAAGATAAGGAAATCAAGGTAGACCAGGCACTAACACAGGTTACTATTTGCAAATGAGAATTGTGATTTTTATTAAAGATGATTTCCAGCAAGTTTCCATACCAGAGCTCAAGATAGTTTTAAGCTTTCTCGTTTCTTTTTTTGCCCTTGTAAAATGATATCGTAATGGCAATGCCCAAGGAAAAGGATTGCTCATGAATGGGAAATAATGCTCACTTATAATTTCAAATTCATGTGTACATGTACATGTAGATTTAGACTTGAAATAGGTTTACAACTTGGGACCACATTTTGATAATATAATGTTCCTTTGGATCAGTGTAAACATATCTTGGTCCAGTGCTTTCATTGTTTGTAATCTGCTGCAAGATTTGGTTGATTTGTCGAGTGATTTTAACTTCAATACCGGTATACATGATTGTTGTGATTTACTTCATCACAAACCAGTAGTGATGTAGTCAGCATGGTTGTTTCTGTAATGATGCAATTATGTGACGAATGCACAAAATCATGTCTTTTGGCTAGACATTAATTTACAATTGCCACACTCCACCCAGGTGAGGCAAATGGGTACCCAGTAGGAAGAAATTTCTTAAACACTTGAGCGCCTTTGCATGGCAGCTTGGCTAGAGCCGGAGTTATAATGTAATTGGAGGGCCATCAGGGAGAATGGTATCAACACTGATGAGGCTACAATGGGTAAACAAAACATTATTATTATTAAAATCAATAATTATTCATGTACATGTATGCCTATGCTTTTTCCAATCTAGATGTATTGATGGGACATTCAGCAACGATACCAATGCTATTGGCTGTATGGTCTGCCCGGCTGGGTCTGAATGCTTTGACCACTACTCAACCCCTTCTCCCTGTTCAGAGACGTACTACTCCCTAGGGGGCAACTCCACATGCACCATCTGCCCCGCCGGATACAGGTAAATATAGAACCCCTTTACACCCTCTTTAAGACCACTTTCATGGCCACACCCTTTTTTGTATCGAGCCCCTTATTTTTACCAGATGTCTAACGTCTGATGCCGAACCAATCATATGCCAAACTAAAGGCCTTTTGATCATTTAAACTGATTATAACTTGGTCTCTTAAGTCATACTGTACCATGTGACAGAAATTGGAAAGTTTTAATTCACTTCTTTGCATTTTCGTTTTATTAGATGTCCCACGACTGATGCAGAAACGATCATATGCTAAACTAAAGGTCTTCTAATCATTTTAAGCAGATTATTATTTTTTTTCACCTAAATCACACTGTACCAAGTGTCAGAAAATGAATTTTAAAAATTCCCTTATTTGCGTTTTACTTTTATTAGATGCCCCACGACTGATGCTGAACCGATCATATGCCAAGCCAGTCAATATGCGAGCCTTGGACAAACATCCTGCGAAGACTGTCCTAAGGGATCGTACTGCCCGTACGACGGGTCTAGCGCTCCCACAGTGTGTTCGGCCGGCTGGTATGCAGATTCTCTTGGAAATGCGAACTGTACTGAATGCCCAATGGGTAAGAATCCGTTCACATTTGGATGTTTTTTAAACACATGTTTTTGTGTCTCCATTCTGAACGTAACATCGTGAGTATATCAGAACCATATTTACCATGTGTAGTACAATTAGAATGAATGATGTGCTGTGCTCTGCGTTGATCCACCCCCTTCTCCCACCCAAAGACTGCAGATTTGAAATTTTTTTCTTAATTTTCATGAAAATAAAACGAAATAAATATATACATGCTCCTTGAAGAGGTTCATCTGATTGGTAGTAATTCCATGAACTGAATTTTCATAGTTTCACAATCAAAAAGGTTTCACAATCATCTAGCGGCGATAAGACGTCAGTCTGATGATGCATGCAGCAACAAGTAGGCGACAGTTTCACAGGTAAAACTACCTTTTTGATTGTGAAACTATGACAATTTATGTATAAAAGTATATAACAATAATAATAATAATGATAATATTATTTGGTTCTTGTATAGCGTATATCACATTATATAACGTCTCTATGCATTTCCAAAGAGCTTTGGAAATTATTACCATAGCTTTATATGTTATTTTATGTGTTTTTATTTTTAGGTTACCAGTGTGCTGACGAAACGAAGGCTCCTCAGGCCTGTCCTCCGGGTTACTACACAGATCAGACAGGACAAGAGACATGTATCACGGTTAGTCATACGTGTAGTTTGATAGTCCCCAATTACAGTGGCACAGTTCTCCCACCCCTCCCTCCCCTCATCAAACATTGAAAAAATCACCCAACCCCCATCCCACTCCCCCAAAAACATCAAACAAACAAACAAACAAAACAAACATTAAAAATAAAAATGATAATAATTAAATGAATAAAGATTACAAATTAATAGAAACAGAAGAAGAAGAAGAATAGATAAATAGATTAACATTTAAACAAAATAATACTAATAATGGAATAGGATAAGAATCCTTTAAAAGGATCTATGATAATGTAACATTTTTATTTTGCTTTTACTAAATGCAGATAAAATAACTGTTTTACTTCGATGTACAAAGAGATTACATACATTGCAATTTTATTGTTTTTTATCGTTATTAAAATAATAGTAATAAAAATAATAATAATAATACATATGATTTATAAGGCGCCAAATCCACTTGACAGTCAAATGCTCAAGGCGCAGCTTGTGCAAGAGAAGAAATACATACACGATACATTTATACAAAGTGCGATAGGAAAGGTACAGACATGCAAGGTTATGGTAACCAATTATAAGCTAAATTAAACAGATATTTCTTAAGATTGTTTTTTAACAATGGAATGTTTTATCCCCTAAACAGTGTGCTGCAGGGACCTACCAGACCGCGTCGACCCAGACGAGCTGTATTGAGTGCCCCGCTAACTTCCGCTGCTCAAACAATACCCAAGAACCCATTGCATGCGAGGCTGGCTTTGTAAGCTTACTAATGCTCCAATACTAACCATACCTTACGCTCATGTACCTGTTTGATGAGATATATCGTCTGTTTGTCGTCAAAAAGGCATAAACTCAAACTATGAAGCAGAGTTAATGCCCATCTAGCGCCAAACAGATGATACTGTCTAGTAAAAGAATTGTTTAAAAAAAATATACAAATTGATTCATCTACCGTATTCAAATTTACAGCAAGATACACTTTTTACATATTTCTTTTTACGTTTGTGTGCACAGCTTGAATTGCTAATATGTTTAAAACAAAAATCTAAAATTAAAGTATAGAAAAGAAAGAAAGAAAGAATCAAATTGAAGATGCTTTGTGATTGAACCCACATCCCTTTTTTGCTTAAATTTATATGTGATTGCATGTGCACCTCTGCTTTATTAAAGTAGACTAAAGACTTAAGAAGAAAATACCCTCCCGCCAACCCCCCCCTCCAATAAAATAAATAATAATAATTATAATTAATTAACTGACTTATTGACACAAAATAATGATAAAGATGTCTGGGACATTAAAAAGTTTAATGATTAAAGAGCATCTATGGGGAAAAAACCCATGTTAAGGCCCACATAAAAGGACAAAAGAGAGTTAACTCTTGCTTGTTTATAAATTTATGCAATTTTAACCCATTTTTCGGTACGGTTATGTGCAATAAAGCTTATAAATAGTGCATGTAATAGTAAAGCTAATATTATGATATACCATAAGAAACAAGCATGAAAACCAAATATACAGAATAAAATACATTGTGTATGTATTGCAAAGATTGTTTTTTCTTGAATAGGATTATTTCTTTTGAAGCAACTATGTGTACCTGTATGTAATGATATCCAGTGCCAAAAGTACTTTGATAATTGTTGTTGCCAATTTAAATACGTCTCCTCTCTAGTTTTCAACAAGTGGGTCAACCAGCTGTGCGTCTTGTCCTATTGGTCAAGCATGTGGGTCTTCAGGTCAAGGGTTATGTCAGGTCAGTCACTGTCGGTCTCCTCTTGTTATTTTCAGTTTACAGTTTGGTGTATTTCCCTTTGTACAGGCTGTTATGTCATGTACGCAATATGTGTATCTTAATTCTTATTGTGTAAAATGATAATTAATTCTATAGGTAGAATTAACGTAGTATCTTTTTACTTAGTATTTGGTCTGATTTGTTTCTAGTAAGGCATTGACTTAATACAGTGATCAGTGCCATGTCTTATAAACAGTTGATATTAATCGCAAATTATTTGTAATTGATATCAGTCACAACTATGTATATAAAAGATAGGGGACTGCAAACTGGCGATCGATTTTAGAGAACTTGCAATTGATTAGGATCAATCGCAACTCTTAATAAGACAGGGCCCAGATATATATATATATATATATGTACACTGTACATGTTCTCGTACTAAATTATGAGGTGTGTAACATACATGGATGTGCAACATAGCTGGGGATCTCATTTTTATCTGACACTCATACTCAAAGTATTAGATTCTGTTCCTAGAATTCATATCATGGTGTCCGAATTCTTTCAGGTCGGTGAGTACTCCAACGGCACCGACTGTCTGCCCTGCCCCCAGGGATTCATGTGCCCCTCGCCGTTGGGCAACCCCCAAGCCTGCCCCAGCGGTACTTACCAAGACACCACAGGCAAATCCACCTGTTACCTTTGCCCTGGTGGTTCCTCCTGCCTCTCGGTCAGCGGGTCTCCGACAGCTTGTGACCCCGGCTACTACAGTCTTAGCGGTCAGCAGGTATGTAGCGTATGTCCGGAGGGGCAGTGGAGCGAGGAGGGCGTGTCGTCCTGCAGCATTTGTCCGGCCGGTCAGGAGTGCCTGAACGGGTCGGCTAGGATACAGCCGAGGAACTGCACAGCAGGGACGTATGCGGCGCAGGGTGTGGGTATCTGTACCCCTTGTCCACTTGGTAAGTCACTTAGTGTAATTGTATGTTGCAAGATGATGCCGTAAAGGAATCAGAGGTACATATTTCTGCACCTTGTACTCTTTGTAAATAACTTACACATTTGTGCAAGTTGAAAGATGATGAGGGATATGAAAATCATGCAGCTAAGACATTACTAGTATCTTTACCCCATGCCCTCATGGTACATGGAAGTTACTTAGGTGTGCATGTCAGATGCAAGGTGATGGCTTTTAGATATTGAAACTACATGTCATTGTGTGTATTTGTACTCCTTGTGCTCTCTGTCAGTCATTTGGGATCCAGAATGATAAAGATTACGGTTTAAAAAGTACAAGATATTACTATTTTTTATGTTAGAAAGTTTGTAGTCTGGTGTAGTCCTGCACTTGACAGGTCCTAAGTTGTGATATGAGTAGTATAATTCATATATTCATTCCCCCCTCTCTCTCGTTCTCTCTCTCCCTCCCTCCCTTCCCCTCTCTCTCTCCCCCTTTCTCTCACTCCCTGTATCTATCTCCCTCTCTTTCCCACCCTCCCTTTCTCTGCCCCTCTCTCACTCCCTCACTCCCTCCTCCCCCTCTCGCTCTTTCAATTCTCTATAACAGGAATGTACAGCCTGGAGCAGGCTTCGTCATGTACCCCATGCCCAACAGGGTCTCTGTGTCTGGTAGCCAGCGATTTACCAGCTACATGCCCCAATGGAACATACAGTGGACTGGGAGAGGTAAGGATGTCCTCTTACATTCATTCCTTCCTTGGCAAGACATGAATCTACATACGCCACTCTCCACCCAGGGGTAGTAGATGAGTACCTGGTAGGAATTTATTCCTTGAATGCTCTTAAATGCCTGAGGGCAGCTGGGTTAAACCCAGGGTTATACTACATTCAAACCTGCTTTCGCAACCGCTTGTTTAGAAAGACAACCTCTCTATAAAGCCCACATTGTCATTTCCCTTGAATATGGTTTCTCATTGAAACCTGTTCTAAAGGAACCTGTACATAAAGACCAATTGCCAATAAAGTTCACTCAAGGGGGATGTCCACACAATGTAAAATATGTTTGAATGCTGTCTTTATATATAAATCATGCCTTTTGAAATTTGATATATTGGTTATTGTTCTGTTGAACAAAATACTGATATACATGTATTTGTTTGAGTGTGATCAATGGAGCTTTTGTGGAAAAGTATCAAAAATAGACTGTACATGTATTTGTAATTTTGCCTTGAGAGATTCCTAATTCTTGCTGTGAAAGGTTTGCAGGTAGATACAAAAAAATTCTTGAATGATTGAGCCCCTCGTCATAGTAGCTTGGCTAAAGCCATGGTAATTACATGATGACAGGGCCCTCGAATAGATCATTATTACACTGATGAGGCTACCCTGGGTAGGGTAAACAAAACATATTATTGTTATAATAAAAATCCATTCCTTCATATACCAGGGAACAATGTGCACTGACTGTCCAGCTGGTTTCTATTGCCCTGACCCTGTCAACGTTCCCCAGCCGTGCCCCTACGGGACGTACTCTTCGGCCAGGAACGACTCCTGCACACCGTGTCCAGAGGGAATGTCTTGCCTCGACCCTGCAGATGCTCCAGCGGCTTGCGACAGTGAATACTACAGTCCTGAGGTAATTGGTTTCAACCATCAGGATGATAAAGCCTTGTCACCCAACATCTGACAATCACCCCTCTGATATTATATAAATAGATCATTAGTTGAATGCTCAAACAGCTTGCGATAGTGGATATGGTAGTCCTGAGCTAAACATGTTGAGAAATTAACAGTTTCATTGCAAAACGCAATAAACGCCAAATCTAAAACTTATGAACAAAATATATCATTAAAATCAAAGAAGGATAGCTGTACCTGGATCTATAATCAGGCTCCCACAAGTCGTTTTTTATTCTTAATTAATTTGGGCAAAAACACTTTTTTCTTCTTCTTCAAAAAACGCATATGCTCTGGCTCCTAACCATTAGGAGCCAGAGCATATAACACTGAGTTCCCAAAAGAACATATATTTATTCAGATGGTCATATCTCAGCCAATACTTAACATATTAAATTGGTTTTTGACATTTGGACATAATTTTTGATGCTCTTTCGAAAAATGAAGAAAACATTGAGAAATTCTAAAAATAGATTTTTATGACATCACACTTCACCACTCTATACATCCAGTATGCAATCATGCTTGCCTGAACCATGTGCGAACAAGCCTTTATAATTATGTTCCTCTTTTCCTCTTATCAGATGATTCCAATGTGTCTCCTGTGCCCTGCCGGTTTAAGCTGCTCCCTCGGCTCAACAGCTAACTGTACTGAGGGAGAGTACAGCCTTGCGAGCGAGGCCACCTGCACTGCTTGCCCCTCTGGGTACGCCTGCCCCTTCACTGACCAGCCCCCTGTGGCCTGTGCGTTCGGTCAGTCGACCAACGGGTCAAGGGGCCATACGGAATGCTCTGATTGTCCGGCTGGCATGTACTGCTCTGATCCATCGTAAGTAGAATGAGAAATTTGGGGATGCCCCTTTTTCAGACTTTTAACTAAAGAATTAGCTCACATTATTGTATTATCTTCTTATCAATAGGTTACCACTATTTTATCAGTTAGATTAGATTTTCTAATTCAATACTCCCAACCCCTTTTTTTTACCTTAATGTTTTTTCTATCCCGAAATACTTGAAGATTGTTAGTGTGACATAGAAATATAAAATATTATGATACAGTAAAACCTGTATATAAAGACCACTCAGGGGAAACATGAAAAGTGGTCTTTATAGGCAGGTGGTCCTTATGTACATGTTCCCTTTAGTACAGGTTTCAATGAAAAACTATGTTCAAGAGAAACAAAAAAATGTGGTCTTTATAGACAGGTGGTCTTTTCTAGTACAGGTTTCAATGAGAAGCTATGTTCAAGGGGAAATAAAATTGTGGTCTTTATAGACAGTGGTCTTTCTATACAGGTCGCTAAAGCAGGATTAACTGTCATTTTAAGTAGATTCTTATATAGCGCATTATACTCAATAAGTCTCAATGACCATTTCTGATTGGCCCTGTCAGACTGGCGCCAGGTATATGCGCAGCGGGATCCTACAGTTTGGCCCTCTCCACCGCCTGTATCAACTGCCCTGCTGGCTATGCCTGTGCCAACACTGACGACGCCCCCACCGCCTGTGAACCGGGCTACTACTCAGTGGCAGCCCAGACGTCTTGTACCCCGTGCCCAGAGGGCCAGGCGTGCCCTTCGACCTCTGACCCCACAGCTGCCGTGAATTGCCTTGAAGGTTCGTTTCTAGTTGTCTTATTGATGACAGTTTTAACCTCTTTTTAAAAAAAAGAGTTTGCCTACTAAAGAGAGGTTTTCAAGATTCATTGAATGCCAACTCAGGTTTTAAACCAAAATTCATAACATCACAAACTATATGAATTTTAAATTTGTTTAAACTTCTGAATATTTTGTATTGGTCTGTCACTTTCCTTTCTAATTCATGACCTGCCAGAGGATGTGTTTCTTCTTCTTTGTCATCATCATGTTCTTCTACCTATTCCTCCTACTATTCATTCTTTCCCTTCTTCTTCTTCTTTTCTTCCTCCTCCTCCTCCTTCTCCTCTTCCTCCAACTCCTCCTCCTTCTCTTCCTCCTTCTTCCGATTATAAATTGTCTCTTCCCATTTCTCATTTCAGGCTCCTACTCTCTTGGCAACCAATCCACCTGTACCATCTGCCAGCCCGGTTATATCTGTCCAAACACCACGACCGATGCTTACATAGCCTCCTGCCCTGAAGGAGCTTACGCTAGACTGGGGGCAGCCTACTGCACGACGTGCCCCGCCGGCTGGCAGTGCCCGCTGGCAGACGGGAGCGGCAATGCAAAGTGTGGTGCAGTAAGTTCACTGACAACCTAATTCTATTGAAACAAAATATTTAGTATATTTTTGTTGTGTCATGTAATTTGAATTGTATTTCAAAATGTTATGTTAAACATTTGAAACATGTCTTGGGTCAGCCTTTCATAGGATAAAAGTGAATAATTACAAAATAATGTATTTTCGATGTAAAATAAAAATGTCCCAGGAGAGATGAAGCTTATCAGGATAACAATGAATACAATCATAAAGATTTTCAAGAAATCAATGGTGTAATTTCAATATCCTATTGTTTTGCCTTATATATCATGTTAAGATTACATGAAAAAATGCTTAGATGATGCATGTCCTATTAACTTACATATAGGTACATATGCATGTACCTGTATAATTTTTGTCAGACAATGACTTACAGCATGATTCATGGTAATAAAAGTACTGGTCACAGTTATTAATAAGATTACATTTGGTAAAGAAGGAAACAAGATTAAGATAGAAATATAAGCAGGGAGAGAAAGGAGAAAGAGAGGTGGGAATTGAGAGTGAGAAAGAGTTATGTATATACAATCAAACCTGTCTTAGCAGCCATCTCTCTTTAAATGCCCCTGTCTATAGTAGTAACCTATCTTGTATCCTTTTAGGAAAAATGTGTGTTGTGTACAGTGGCGACATTTCCTGTCCCTCTTGGATGGCCTTCATAGACAGGTTCGACTGTAAAATGCAACAGTTTAAAATGATATTCTAACTCTAGCCATCTTGATCCTATAGGGTTATTTCTCTGAGGGCGGACTAATTGAGTGCCACGCCTGTCCAGCAGGATACCAATGTCCATCCACATCGGTCAACAGCTCCGTTCCCTGTGGCATTGGCTACTACTCTGACGCTGGAGCACAGGTAGGTCCAGGAGGCTGATGATAATTGCACGATAGTGACAGATATATCAATGTTAATGATGAAGATGATGGTGATGGTGATGGCAGTGGTGGAGATGAGGATGCTGATGATGGTAGTGGAGGTGTTGATGTTGGTGATATAAAGCGCTTTAAGCATGTTTATGTAAAGGCGCTATATAAATATCAATATGTATGTATGTATGTGATGATGATGGTGGAGATAATATACAAATAATGAATGGTTATGAGTTCAATAGTGCGAATATTTTCATGAGTTGAAAGATTAACATTCTATTCAACGAGGCGTCAGCCGAGTTGAATAGGATTAACGTTAATCTTTCAACGAATGAAATTATTTGCACTATTGAACGAATGAAAAACTTTCATTATTTGTTTTATACAACATCGAAGAAGATCCAATAGAACGTTAATCAACAAATTATGCTTTACTCCTTATATTAAAGATAAATTAAAGATGGAGCCAAACCTTCTCGATTACATTCAGATTGCCTTCGCGTCATCGCAGGGATACACGCACGACAGAGAGGTATCTGCATATAACCAAAAATGCACGGCGCATATAACCAAAAATGCACGGTCGTGCAATATAACATTTATTGAATATCATGTGACCAACAATCCTCCAATCAAATGACAAGGATCCACATAGGTGTTGTATAATAAATAATAATGATGGTGATGACAGTGTCGGCGGTGGTGGAGATCATCATGATAGTGATGTTGATAATGCTGATGATGGTGATGATGATTGTGATGACTTTTCGCTCTTTGTGTAAATTTTTTGCCATGAAAATGACCGATCTTTAACAAGGTGTAGAATTGTAAATTAATTCAGTTGAACCTCTTAAAAAATACCACCTTTTGGGCTCACTTTAGAGGTCTCCCGACACAGGTTTTGTAATATATTTATGTTTCTTATTTCCAGTCTTGCACAAGATGTCCGCCCGGCAAGGAATGTCCAGACCGTGATGATTCTTCCACCGTCGCTGATTGCGAGGAGGGCTACTACAGTGGAGGTGGTCAAGAGAGCTGTACAATCTGCCCCGCTGGAAAGGCTTGCCCTTACACGTCCAGCACATACCAGAAGTCATGCACAGAAGGCTACTATGCAGTAGCAGGCTCAACGGTAAGCATCATTATCTTCTTCTTCTTTCGTATGAGGTAGAAGTATCATATATCAAGTTATTTCTTGAAGCTGGGTAAGCCAGTTGACGTGTGCTTCATTTGGGCTTGACAGATCAGTCATCCCGTCAGGAGGTTTGAGAACAGGGCAGTTGTAGATGACATGGTCTGCCGTCTGCTCATCTGCACCACAAATGCATGCCGGTGATTCCCGAAGTCCTCAACGGTACATATTGGCGTTGAATCTTCCTACCCCAGTTCGCAGTCTATTGAGTGTTACCCAATCCCTCCAAGGTAGCTCCGAGCCAGGCAGAGCTTTGATGCCAGGGGGAACAGTGAACTGCCCTGGGCATCATCATGATGTTCAGTTAAAGCCGATTCCACAAATGAAGAACAGGGGGGTGTTTCACAAAGATCCTAAGTTGGACTTATCTCTAAATTGCCCTTAAAAATTATGGAAAGTCGTTGGCATCTTTGAAAATAATTTGTAAAAGTTATTTAAAAAAGCATAAAATTTTGATTCAAATCATTCATATTTTCTATTTTAAAGGAGGTTTCATGTTATTTATGTGGAATTTATAAAAAGTCTAAAATACTTGATTTTTTGCCTTTTAATATATTTCATTTTAAAGCTACACATGGCTCTCCATAATATTTAAGTCCAACTTAGAGTTAAGATTGACCTAGGACCTTTGTGAAACACCCCTCTGGTCTTTAGGAGAATATTCTTGTGGAGGTGTAATTGGACATTGTGTAGTGGTTCATTCAGTTGACCCTCAACTCAAGGGTTTTGATATACAAACCTAACCCGAACCAGGTGGTGTTGATTATGATGGTGATGATGGAGATGGGTTTTTTTTTATAAATAACTATACTCAGTTATATCGGGAGGAGAGACCCGAGAGTCACATTGATTCCGTTGCTTTTTACCTCCCAAGCAGGCACAAGTGACGCCAAATAATTGATAACAACAATAATAAGATGAGCCAAGTAATCATTCACCTTTAGAAGAAAACTGGTTTGATTTGTTTCTGTTGACTCTATACATGATGTAATCTTAATTTTTGTTGTTATTTTGCTATACAGGAATGTACTTCATGTCCTGCAGGAGAGTTCTGTAATGACACAAAGACTTCACCCGAAACCTGTCCAGATGGATATTACAGTGAAGGTAAAGATCATTATATTTATTCATTTATTCATTTATTTATTTATTGAAACACATTTATACATGATATGAACATGATCAGCAAAGCTGTTTTTCATCATGGTCCTGATAAAGGACATACAAGTCTTAAAAAATAAAAACATTTCAAGTAGAGCAATCAATTACAGAAATTAATAAATGAACATTACATTGCAAAAATAAATTGCAGTAGCATAATGAAATGTAATTAAAATGAGATATATGGCGAAACATACAAAAACATAAAGAGCACTTTTCAATCCGTAAAACAATAAGGAAGCCCCAATCATAGACACGGGGTGGAAATGAAGAAGAAGACAAAGAAGAAAAACAAGAACAAGAACAAGACAAGGAGGAGAAGAAGAGGAAACAAAAGAAGAAAAAGATGTATTTCAAAATGCACCAATCACAAAATTCAAATTATGACTTTCATTAAACCTTTAAAACAAGATATTTCAACTTTGAATAAACTCAATAATCAGTATATTTTTTTAAACAACTTATGCGACAACCTACCTGTAGTGGTGCTCTGTTCTACTAGTTGACAAAATTGGACAGAGATAATACTATATGATGTAGTTCAGCGCACAAAATTAAGCTCAAATTTGTCATCTCTCTTGTCCAGGTTTGCAGTCGGCCTGTACGCCTTGCCCCATTGGCTACTACTGCCCGATGGCGGATGCGGCACCTGTCATCTGCGATGCTGGTTACTATAGCAACCAGTCTAGCTCAGCTTGCGACACCTGTGATCCAGGCTATGCTTGCTCAGAAGGATCGACCAGCCGCACACCAACAGAAGGACTCTGTAAACAAGGTAATATAATTATTTGTTGATTTTATGTTATGATAAGAGTATAGTCATGTCTACCTTGGTCCGCTCCACCAAGGTCTTAAATGGGTACTTACTGTTACTTTTACTATTACTATTATTAGTATTATTACTATTACTATAATTATTATTATAACTATGACTATTACCATTACCATTACCATTACCATTACCATTACTATTATTATTATCTCTATTATTATTGTTATTACTATTAGTATTACTATTATTATTATTACCATTAATATTACCATTACTATTACTATTATTATTATGAATATTATCATTATCATCATCATCATTAATATTATTTTTACTCTAATTTCCAGGCTATTACATCACTGTTAGTTTTATTATTATTAATACTACTATGACTAATACTACTACCTACTATTACTATTATTATTATTGTTACTATGATTATTATTATCATCATCATTATCATTCATACTGTTGTTACTCTAATTTCCAGGTTATTACTGTGAAGATGGACTTAACGAGCTTGCGTGTCCGGCCGGTACTTATGGGAACAGGACCAACGCAGCCACAGCAGAGGAAGGGTGTGCTGCATGCCCAGAAGGTGAGACCCGCCATACTTTAAGCCCCACTGTCCTACTTATAGCTACTTGCGCCCTCTATATAGCAAACAATGCCTAATCGGTGTCCATTGGTCCCCCATGATCCCCTTTTTCTTATGTTGATTGAGAGCTTATTTGATGAGATAACCACCTGCCAGTGACCATGTAGGGAGGTCTAATTCCTCCTGGTCAAACTAGTGCGGTGGGGCTTTAAAGGAGTTTCACTGACATCGCTACCACTGCTGTATTGTATTTTCAATTGGGTAATCTTTTGGTGAATGCGTACATAGGCGATTTCCAGTTTCTGTACCCGAGCATCATCATCCAGATGGTAAAGCATTATGGGATATGGCTGTCGACATCTACGTAATCTTAAGTAGTGACTGGAGAATACCCTGTCTATAATTTAAACAGTTCAGAGTTTTCAATGAGGAAGGTGATGATGAGGAGGAGGAGGCGGCAGCGACGGAGGAGGAGGAGGAGGAGGAGGAGGAGGAGGAGAAGAAAGAGGGAGAGGAAGAGGAAGAGGAAGAGGAAGAGGAAGAGGAAGAAGTAGGAGGAAGAGGAAGAGAGTGGTGTTGATTATGATTATGGTGCTAATGATGCTGCTGATGATGATAACATTAATGATAATAATTTAAACAAACTCAATTCCTTTTGATCAAAATCATCTTGATATGCTAATTCAGGGATCGACATTAGACTCCCCCTCATACTGCACCCCCCTTCAAATTCTATTCTCTCCTGCTTCCCCCTCTCTGTAGGTTATTTCTGTCCTCAGGATCCTGTCATTGGGACCCCCACTGTGGAGTACTTGTGCCCCCGCGGGTATTTCTGTGAGTTCTCTACCGAGACATCCACCGAACACCCCTGCGAGGCCGGCTCCTATGGTACGGACCTCGGATTTACGAGTCAAGACGACTGTTCAAACTGCCCCATTGGGTACTACTGCCCTGCAGGTAAGGCATTCCACCCTGTATGCAATGAAAATATTAACTAATTCTTTAAATACCAGTTGTAACTAATATAAAACAGGGACTCTGTACTGATGTGGGTTAAAGAGCACTGGTTAAAGAGCGCTGGTCATATCTCAATGTGTTGCAAATTCAAGGATTTAAAAGCTTCTTTCCCTGTCTTAAATTCCTGCTGTCAACACAATGTGATCATGTGGACGTACTGTGTGCAGACATTTTGCCCTTTCTTTTTCATGCATTTGGTTTATTTTTAGGGCTTTGAATTCAACTTCACTGAGCCTAACCACAAAATGTGAGAATCCATGTTCAATAGGGCTTTCTTTTATACATACATAAAGTTATGCTTTTTCCATTTATTGATGCCTGCACAATTTCTTTTTTTCCAGTCAGGCCCTCACATTGACACTGTCCTGTTCTTGTTCTTGTTCCTCAGGTACCAGTTTGCCACGAGCTTGTCCCAAGGGTTACTACTGTCCTGAGGGCACTGGGGCAGGTGGCGACTACCCTTGCCCAGATGGTACATTCACAGAAGTGGAAGGAGCCGAATGTAAGTCTTGCATTCTTTGCAGTGTATTGTTTTGGAGGCATTTTTTGGCGTCTCTACATGTTGCCTTTCAAACTTTTCCTGAATTTTCCACATAATCCGATCATAACGTTTACCTTAAAGCCACGCTGTCCTACTTGCTCCCTCTATATAGAAAACAATCCCTAATTTGGTGACCATTGGTCCCCGATGATCCTCTTTTTCTTATGTTAATTGAGAGCTGAGTTTATTAGATAACCACCTGTCCAGTGACCTTGCATGGTGCTCTAATCCCTCCTATAGACTAATACAGATAAGCTTTAATGAAATTGCGTACCCGTCTCCAGAGGTGGATGTTTCTTGGTGTGCTCGCCTTCCAAGTTCTGTAGAAATGTTTCTGAACTGTAGCACTAGGTATAGGTCACAGGACACGAAGCATGACTGTGCGCATTGCTCACTTTCCAGACATTAAGTGTACCTCCTAAAGTCTGGTAAAGGCCGCCAAAGTCTATTAACTGCGCTTCTGTAGAAACCAACTGGTTACATTCCGATAGGGGTTACTTTTTCTGAGTCTACTCCTGGCCCCATTTCAAAAGTCTTTCACAAGTCATCAGTGACAAATGTCAATTTTTGTTATAAGCTACTGAAATCCTTGCTTCTGATTGGTTATCAGCAGATTCGTCACTGATTTTTGTCATTTGTCATTGCAAAAAGGCTTTGTGAAACGGGTCCCCAGTACATTATACCATTGCTTTCGGGGTTACCTGTAGAAACGCGCTGATTGTAAATTTGGAAACCAGCCAAACCATCCATTCACTCTGCACAGTAGCCTGTCATGTCATCAACATCAATGGAGTTCTTTATTCCATCTCCATAGACTTTGCACCTCAATGTCTGTGTGCATGCAGGATAAATGTTTCGTCATTAATACATGTAAGTAGCCACATTGTACTAGTGTATCTTACACTAAATTAATTTGATTTATCCAGATAAATTTTGCATGGGTATAGTTTTGAAAATGTTGTCCACATTGTCTCAAAGGGCTTTACAGATGAAATATTTGATTTTCTTTGCAGCTCAAACGGAATGCAAGACTTGCCCTGCTGGTTACTACTGCCCATCGGGTACCGACACACCCCAGGCCTGCCCTGCTGGCACCTTCAATCCCTCTGTTGGGCAGAATGAGGAAACCGACTGTACCGACTGTACCGCCGGTTACGCCTGCACAACCATTGCCTTGGTAGAGCCTGATACCTTCTGCTACCCTGGGTATGTAATGACAAACTTCAAAGAGATCAAGAAAATACCTAAAACCCCACTGCACAACTTATAGCTACTTGTGCCCTCTAAATAGCAAACAATGCTTAATCGGTGCCTGTTGGTCCCCCAATATTCCCTTTTTCTTATGATAATTGAGAGCTGATTTGATGAGATAGCCACCTGACAGTGGTCTTGTAGGGAGGTCTAGTCCCCCGACCAAACTAGTGCAGATGGGCTTTAAAGGGTAATCCGACCATGTTTGCAAACTACAGAGGAAAGCAAAAAATAAGAGAAGTTGCCTGGTGAAAGTTTGAATGAAATCAGACAAAACATGTGAAAGTAATTTTTTCGGTAAAGTTTAATCACTATGGGTATGGGCTCTTCAAATTGGCTGAATCGATAGTGAAGCTGTAATACACATTTCTGCCTCTTTTATGTTTATTCTCTATCATGTTTTCCCAATCCAGGTACTTTTGTCCACTAGGAAGTGACAGTCCTAACGCTGCTGCAAACGCTTGCCCAGCTGGAACGTTTAATGACTTTCACAATCTGACCGCAGCCTTCCAGTGTGACACCTGCGAAGAATCGTTTGCTTGTTATGAAGGTGAGTGCATGTAGTAGATCCCTGCAGATTATCAAATTGGCAAGGCATTAAAACAATGGGTAACTTACCTTCCCCACCTTGCAGCAGCCTGCCAGTGAGAGGCTTGCAAAGAATCATTTGCTTTTTATGAACCATTGGAGTCTAGTTTTCACTGTGAGTCTAGTTAAATTGGCAATACAAAATGCCAAATTTGATAACTTCCACAACCTGATGGTGTATCTTCTTTGTTCTTAGGTACGGGCGGTATCCAACAGCCTCCTTCGGTATGCGCCGAGGGTCACTACTGTCCAGCAGGTACTCAGCACTCTGACCAGTACCCCTGTCCAGCTGGCTCCTGGACCAACCAAACCAATCTGAAATCAGTTGAAGAATGCTACGAATGTCCCAGAGGATACTACTGTTTAGAAGCATCAACAGAACCGACTGCACAGTGCCCAACAGGACACTACTGTCCAGCAGGTATGTGCAATGTACAGAGAAGATGACAGGAATTAATGTAATGTTGTGGCTTGAAAGAAAGGCGTTAACAGCCACATGGACAGCAAAAACCTATTTCAAGAAATATTCATTTTTATTTATGGAGGCACGATGGCTCAGTGGTAGACTAGAGGTCTCATAACTGAGAGGTCCTGGGTTCGAAACCAAGTTGATGTGCTATTGCCTTTTGTTAATGCATTAATCCTAATTACCAAGTCCATCAGAGAGGACTTAAAACCGTGGGTCCCCTGGTTGCTTACTTAGAAGCATACACATGCTTTCTTAGCAGTCAGGTAAAATAAACAAATAAACACACAATTTTGTATGTAACATATTTGTAACTTACTTTTCTTTGCGGCTTGATGGAAACACGCTGTATGACTCCGTCCAATCTTTCTTCCATTAATTCTCTTCACAGGGACCCAGTCAGCCAACCAGTATCCGTGCCATGCCGGCTCCTACTCCAATGACGAGGGGAACATCAGATGGGAGCAGTGCGTTGATTGTACGGAGGGCCACTACTGCCCAGAAGGCTCATCGTTACCAACAGCATGCCCAGCGTAAGTTGCCTGTGATACTTTTGAATATGCTCTGGCAACGTTACATGTAGATCAGGGGAGTGTTTTGCAAAGGCTAAGATAGACTTTAAGTTGGACTTAACTATGGCAGGCCGTTCATGCCACTGTTTGCTCTCACCATCATGATCTTTAGATAATACCTTTTCCATCAATAATGAATTATCAAAAAATGTAAATTCTGTAGATTTGTGACCATGATTTGTACGCCCCTTGAGAGACCAATGCCAGTAAATGGTGAGAACAAACAGTGGCATGATCAGCCTGCCATAGTTGAGTCCAACTTAAAGTCGATCTTTGTCTTTGTGAAACACTCCCCTGCCCTGTATTTTTTTTAAAGATATAGGGTTAGTGATGAAAGTGGGTTTAAGGTTAGGGTTATGGTCATGGTTATAGTTAAGGTTAGGGTTAAGTATAATTATAGGCTCATCATTACCATTGGCATGCCCAGCTAAAGAATGTCGACATATGCGGGGGTGGTTATAGTTTTACTAGGGTTATGATTAGGGGTGGAAATAGGGTTAAAACCAACTTAATATCAGAGTGGACTTCCGCTTTGAACATTTCTATAATTTTTTTTTCTTACAGTGGAACTTTCCGTGAGGAAGAAGAAGGCCAGAGTGAATCAGACTGTTCTACATGCACGGACGGTCACTATTGTAATGGAACAGGCAACGTTGAACCAGCTGAATGCTCCAAAGGAACATATTCTGTGAGTCCTATTTTTAACAATCTTTATTATTCCTAAAATCTTTTATTTTTGCTCTATTTCATCACGCTCCTCGTGTATCTTCAAAACCCTATTCATTAGCATTCCAAACAAAAGTCAATATTTTGTATGACTTTCATTTTGTTATCACCAAAATGTATCCATGTTTTGTATTCTATTTCTGTTCTTTGTAAACTATGTATGTCTGAGCCTTTATTTTACATGAGTGAGTGGAACAAATTTCCAAGCTGAACTTACAGTGGACAAATAAATTCATTTAATTGAATTTGAATTTGAATGAAATTGTATTGAATTGAATAGAATTGGAATTGGAATTGTATTGGAATTGGAATTGGAATCTGAATGAAATTGTATTGAATTGGATTTGTATTGGAATTGGTATTGGATTTGGATTTGGAATTGCAATTGGAATCTCTATTTCAAATTGATGAATTTGAATTGTTCCAGGACTGGGGAGCCACTGATTGTACCACGTGTGAGGCGGGTTACTACTGCGATGTACGAGCCACCACACAAGACAACATGTACGCCTATAAGATCTGCCCTGCCGGAGTCACCTGTGACTACGGACGCACCACTGCTCCAGATCTCTTTAGCAACGCTTGCGTGGCCGGCTCATACTGCTTGAGTGGAGATAAGGTACGTGAGGGAAAGATGACTTTTGTTGGGATGGGGGTTGGGGGGAAGGGGGGTTATTTGATGCTTACTTTGAATTTGTATTTGTTGTTGTTAATGACACATGGTTTCAGGTTTAGGTTAAGTTTTAGGTTTATTGTGTAGTCCATTTGAGATGTAGGTTGTGGAATAGTCTTCCTCAGTACTTTCGCACTTGTGACCTACATGTACTATCTCATAGCTGCCAACCTTCCTATGTTGGAGGAATGATTCCTATTTGGGACCTTCATGCTATTGTTTTGAACCCTAGTTTCCTCTCTTTTTCTGAAATATTCTGTGTGAAAAGTATACAAAGCAGGCTGTATTTTTGCTGATTAGGCAACTAGATATTAATAATGATAATAATAGCCATTTATATAATGCTGTCTATCTAGACAATTCTATTCTGAGGCGCACAAATTAATTATTACTCCGGCTTCAGCCTAGCTGCCATTACAGCGCTCCAGCATTTCAAGGGATTAATTTCTGTGGGGGTACCCATTTACCTCACCTGGGTCGAGTGTGGCAAATGCAGATTAATGTCTTGCCAAAGGACCTTTGTGCCGTGTTGGGGATATGATTGAATTGGATCGCTTCCTCTATAATTTTTTTTCCGCTCAGGACCCGTTCCCCCGACACTGTCCCAACGGAACCTACAGCGATGAGACGGGTCTGATCCAGGAATCTGAATGCCAGACCTGTCCTGCAGGGCAGTACTGCAATCCCACAGGACTCACATCACCAGTAAGTCTGAAGCAACCTTTTTTATCAGAGTTTCCTTACAGTCTAAATTTATGAGCTTTTGATCTTCAAATTGACACCTATTATTTTCATTTTCCACTCCTAAATTGTAAAAAGTGAATCAATATAAATGAAAATTACTGAATTCACACAAAAAAATGTCATTTTGTACATGTACATAAAATTATTAATTTTAAATTTCACTTTACATTGCCAATTTACAGACTTTGGTTATTATTTACATTAAAATTGTTCTTATTCATGAATTGCACAACATACAGTGTACTGCATTACAAATGTAATTTATATATTTTCTGTGAATTTCACTCTTTCTGCTCATTTGTAATTTCCAGTGCCTAGCATTCTTGATCTAAAGGTTGTCCAAATCCCCTCTAATCCAGAATTAGTGTTTTAGAGTGTACATACATGAGCCCTAAGGCTAAACTTTTGAAATTTTGGAGTCCCCACTAAGATTTTGTTTGGGCCCGGTCGCCTGTTATATGGTCAAGCCCTGCTTTAACCTTTGACCCTTTGACCTATAGGCGGGCGACTGTCCAGGTGGTTATTACTGTCCCGCGGGAACGGCCGATCCTTACGAGAACCCCTGCCCGGCGTCCTTCTACCTCAACGCAAGTGCTGGTGAAGACTCGCAAGGATGTACCCTTTGTATCGCTGGTTACTACTGTCCAACGGAAGGTCTATCGTGGCCCTTGGAATGCACACAGGTAAAGAGATACTACATGGTAGTGATGATGTTTATGGTGATGATGATGATGATGATGATGATTATGACAATGTCAATGAAAGTAAGGATGATTATGACAATGTTTCTGATGTACCCTTTGTATCACTGGTTACTACTGTCCTACGGAAGGTCTATCGTGGCCCTTGGAATGCACACAGGTAAAGAGATACATAGTGGTGATGATGTTTATGGTGATGATGATGATAATGGTAGTGCTGCTGCTGCTGATGATGATCTTGATGATAATGTTGATGAAAATGATTATGACGGTGACGATGAAATTGATGATAATGTTGATAAAAATGATTATGATGGTGACAATGAAATTGATGATGATAATGATAGTGATGATGGTAATGATGGTGATGTTTATGGTGATGATGTTGTTACTGATGATGATCTTGATGATAATGATGATAAAAATGACAATGAAAGTGATGATGATGATGATGATGACTATGTTGCTGATGTTGAAGACTCTTGAGAATGTGTATCGTTTATCGCTGTTTACAACTTTCTTACAGAGGTTAAGAAAAAAAGATACAAAAGACATTTTTGAAATGTGTGATGGCCATAATGATAGTGATCATCATGATGACAATGATGATAATGAAGATGATGATTATGATGAAAATTCTATTGATTATAAATATAGTGGTGATGATTAGCTTGAAGATGATGATGGTGAGAATGATAATGATCATGACTATGGTGATTGCAATGAGGATGATGAAGATATTTAAATTGATGATGAATATAGTGATTTCGATGATGATTTTGTCGATGACAGCCACATCAATGATGGTGATCATGATAATGATAATGAAGATAATGATTAACAATCTTTTAAATAATCATCTTCATCTTCCTCCTCATTTTCATCATTATCGTCCTCATTTTTATCATAATCATCATTATAATAATAATGCCTCCATATTTATCAGCATTTTAATCTCCATCAACATCTCAATCTCATTCATCCTACCCATATGATGATGATGATAATGGCAGTGCTGATGATGATGATGATGATCTTGATGATAATGTCGATGAAAATGATGATGACAATGCAAGTGATGTTACCAACAGACTGCATTAACAAACATTCTCTTCACATCCTTTCTTGCAGGGATCCTTCTGCCCCGCCGGCAGTCAGTTCCCCCAGCCCTGCCCCACCGGTACCTACGGTAACTCCACCCTCCTGCGTCGCAGCGAGGACTGCACACCCTGTCCGGGTGGCTATTACTGCGAGGGTGCAGGCAACCTGGAACCCACGGATGTATGCGATGCTGGCTTCTACTGCTCCTGGAAAGCTGTGTCATCTGTAAGTTCTAAGGGCTTGTTCAGTCTAGTCAAGGTTTATTTTCAAAAGGAGCTAAATCCAATTTTGTAACTTCTGAGAAAAAAGAAATTGTTTACCAGATTTTGTACAGGCATTTATGGAAAAGGGATATTAGAAGGTGCATTTTTCATGATTGCTCCCAAAATTTAGGTAAATAACTTTGTTGAAAGACGGGTACTGAAGTGAACAATGTTGTGATATCAATAACTCAATTTTCATCAAAAGTGGATTTAGCTCCATATGGAATTAATCTCTTCACCTAGGGATCACTGTTTTTTTTTTATATACACCTGTAGTGCCTTTTCAGTTACAATTAACTAACTAAAGAGATTACAGTGTATTTGTACTAGTCCCTGGATTCAACGACAGTATGATTCTGCTCTTTTGAATATTGTTTAGTTACAAAAGTAGATTGCGATCCTTGCTCAAATACAGTCAAACCGCCCAAGGGGAACACAAAAAGTGGTCTTTGTAGACAAGTGGCCTTTGTAGACAGTTTCCTTTAGCACATGTTTCAATGAGAAACCATTTTCAAGGGACACAAAAAATGTGGTTTTGGTAGACAGGTGATCACTAAAGCAGGTTTGACTGTAGTCACTTCACTATCTCTCTGCTACCTCTCTTCTAGGCTCCTGTTGATGGCTTTACTGGAGGTGTCTGTCCACCGGGAGGCTACTGCCCTGCTGGTACGGCGTTCCCTGCCAACTGCCCTCTAGGAACCTACAGTAACTCATCAGGTTCTAAGTCACCGGATGATTGCATCGCTTGTGACCCCGGGTAAGTCTCAATTCCAATTCTATCTTTAAAGCATGTATGCCAGTTTTTTAGGCAATAGCCTGAATTCAGGCCCTGGCAAGTTATTTTCAGACCATAGTTTAGGCTTTTTTGTGTTCAAAATATCTCATTCTAGGTGATTTTCAGGCCCTCTGATCAATTCTAACTGGCACCCCTGTTTAAAGACCCATGGTTGTGGGTTCTCATGGGGAATTTGACACCATTTGGGTGCTTCCGCTATAAAGGGTATAGTCAATCACCAAGAGTGGACTTCACGTTTACCACAGACAGATCTTACATGTATGTAATGCACTACACCCTCCAGCAATCGCCCCTTTAGTTAATCTCATCATCACAAAATTTCCCTCATCTATGAGATTTGAAAGTGAGCTGGAGTACAATGTAGTTTTCTGGTCTGATGGGTCATGGGGTTTTGCTGCCTGGGAATCCATTTACTGGTAATTCAACCAACATAGGTATCAGCGAATCATGAGGCAATGCACTTGGAAACAGACGAATGTGTGGCGTTAAAGGTGAGTTTCTCCTCTCCCCCCTAAAAAACTAACAAACAGGTTGTATACAAATTTGTGTTATGAGACATTATGCCAAATCCCACTTGTCCATCTGTTCAGAGACGTGCTACCTAATTGTCTATAAGTTTAAATATGTCTGTGGAGCCAGTGCAACAACTTACAGCCTTGTTTATTGCCTGTTTCCAGATACTACTGTGCTGGTGACAACAACCCCGAGCCCACAGGCCCCTGCAACCCCGGGTACTACTGCACCGGAGGCTCTGGTACCAGCATCCAACACGAGGTCCCAGAGGGCCACTACAGCGGCAGTGCTGCGTACAAGGCCGAACCGTGCGAACGCGGCACCTACACGACCGCCACAGCGTCTTCGTCCTGTTTGGACTGCCCTCAGGGGGCGTATTGTAACGAGTCTGGGACTGCAACTCCGCAGCCGTGTCTTAGTGGTCATTACTGTCCGCCACGGACTATTATACCCATTCCATGCCCAGAGGTGAGTGTGAAACTTAAAGCCTATCTGCACTAGCTTGGCCAGTAGGGAATACATGCCCCTGTGTGGTCACTTGGAGGTGGTAATCTTATCATATCAACTCTCAATTAACATATAATTAAGGGGACCATGGGGGATCAACAGGTACTGCTTAGGCATTGTTGGCTGTATAGAGGGCGCAACAGGTATTTGCCAACGGGTACTTTGCTCCTGTACGTATGTACTCATAAAGGGACACTAGTACGCACACCTGTTGGCTCAGTGTGCTGCCCTCTACATACCCACGCATGAGCAACTTTAAACTAATTTTTATGTCATTTCGATTACCAGGGTACATATCGTGTAGAGCCCAGTGCTCAGGAGGTTGGAGACTGCCCTTCATGTCCACCAGGGAAGTATTGTGGTGAGACTGGCCTGTCCACCTGGAGTGGGGACTGTGCTGCTGGACACTACTGCATCGGAGGAGCTGACACCTCGCATCCGTATATAACAGAATGTGTAAGTCAAGCTTGGTCTCGTATTCAGAACTAATGATGAAGATGCATAGTAGTGGGCTCTCATGGAAAAATCAACACCATCTCATATCCCAGTAATTCACTGCATTCATCTTTCATGGTTCGATTGGTTGTTTACTCTTATCTACCCCCCTCCAAAAAACAAAACAAAAATCCTTTTGAATCATCATTTCATTTCATTTAATTTATTTTCCATTAAAATTCAAAGTAAAATACATAACAAATTAACAGCAAAATTGGAAGGACCCCAAGAAAAGCAAAGCTTGTGAGAATGGGGCCCTGTACAAAAATAAACATACAAGCAAATTATTATAACAACTATTGTAAAACTTATCAAAACAAACATACACCCACCCTCATTCATTCACAGGCACACAAACACACCAACTCACACCGCAGGCAGAACATTGTACAGAAAAATCTACTCAGTGCACATCATTTGTTTAAACAAGAACTGTTTACATGAATATTTAAACTTTGTTGTTGACCCCCCCCCCCCCCCCCCCTCCCTACGTTAAGCGTTTTTGTTTATCTACTTCTATTAATTGATTCTGAATCTGATTTCTGAATCCTCTTTGAACACCTAGGCCAATTCCACTATACTCGGGGGTGGGGAGTGTCCGGCCGGATACTACTGCCCAGAGGGGACCGAGACGCCCATCTCCTACCCATGCGAGAATGGAACCTTCCTGAACGTGACCGGAGGTCAGGAGATGGCCGACTGCTTGGACTGCCCAGGAGGCGAGGTCTGCGGAGGATATGCACTTACCGAACCCAATGAGCTCTGTGCACCAGGTAAGGTTAAAGGTCAAGTGATGAGGTCAAAGGGCAAAGGTGCTAATGCAGGCAAAACCTGTCCATGAAAACCTGTCCATTACAGTTACAGTGATTAAGTTTGCTGTCCTCTTCTCCGGCAGCCAACTGATGCACTCAGAGGATCTCCAGGAAGATTGTGCATTTATAATTGACTGTCCTCAAATGTTTGTTTACTCATATTTACACTGTTATATCTTTTGTGAATTGCAGAATAGATAGTTAAAAAAAAGAAATAAATGAAGACCATCCAAGGGAAACAGAACAATTGAAGATGTGCAAGTCAAACATATCTTTGAAAATATTAAACATTGATAGAATTTGGTGCTATTAATTCTTTATTTAAGTACCTTGATCATTATTTATTATGTCTGTACGACTCATGAATCCATTTTGAATGTTAAGAATAAAGACTCTCTTTTGCGCAAATATAACAAGACAATGACATAAATATCTTTGCCTTTCATATACCTGAAATGGTTGATAAAAATTTGATTACATTTTTTGTTTCTCATTTTATGTTTTCAGGGTACTTCTGTATCGGCAAGGCCAAGACCAAGTACCCCACGGATGGAGACTCTGGGAACATCTGCCCCGTCGGTCACTACTGTCCCGAGAGTTCCCCTGCGGCCATGAGATGTCCGGACGGGGAGTTCAACAATATAACTGGAAGAGCGGAATGTTTCACTTGCCCACAAGGTAGGTCACCTTGGCTAATAAGGATATGGGGAGGGGGGGGGGCACAGAACGTTTTTAGCACTGGTAAATTGGCACCTGGCCGAAATACTTCCCAAGGAGTAGAGTGCGTACATCTGTATGGAATAGCAACTGAATCCCATGACTGGGTGATAATAGTTGCAATGTAAAATGCTTCAAACCTTAGAATTAAGCACTACACAAATGTGACTATTATAATTATTAATATTTTGTCAGAGTATCTCCATTTCAAAAGTGGCCAAAAGTTTTTACAGATAGCAATAGAGGACAGATTTCTCTTTCAATGCACTGATTGGTCACTTTAAATTGACATTTTCTAGAACGTTTTTCCTTCGCCTCAATACAATATTTCATTGTAAGTTCAGTCAGAGGAGGAGAATTATTGAAAAACTAAAAGGTAGCTGCAGTCAATAGAATGACACTACCTTGTGCATGAACAAAGTTACATGTTATGTCAACAACTAAATTATTTGTACCCTTACCAAGTTTTGTAAATTCTTATCTGAAGAATTGTTTTGTCTCAATTCATTTCCGGAAAATGTGTATTAAAGCTCACACCTAAAAGTATTAAACAAACGCCCAAATTTAACCAGTCCGCCTTTCATTCCTGAGGCACGAAAAAAACCCCCCAAAACATGAAATTGACAAGGGTGTGAATAATTTAGTTGTTATTGTATATGTTTACATAAAGAAAAAAAAGGATATTAAAGCCTGTCTGCACTAGTTTGGCCAGGAGAGATTAGACCTTCATGTATGGTCATTGACAGGTGGTTATCTCATAAAATCAGCTCTCAATTAAAATAAGAAAAAGGGGATCATGGGGAACAACAGGCACCGCTTGGGCATTGTTTTCTATATAGAGGGAGCAAGTAGTTATATACATGTATAAGTAGTGCAGTGAGGCTTTAAAGAAAAAAAGTTCTTTTTGTTGTATTGATAAAACATTTTCAATTTGTCTATAGGATTCTACTGTGCCGACGGTGAGCGTCTCCTGGAATGCCCACGAGGTCATTACTGTCCCGAGGGTACCGGTAGCAACGGGTCCATCCCCTGCCCCCGTGGGACTTACAATCCGGACCTGGGACTAGCCTCGGAGGACCAGTGCCAGCCCTGTGCTCCAGGGTACTACTGCACCCAGCTTGGGGCCTACTCATTTGGAATAGCGAACGCATCGGCAGGTCCGTGTGATCCTGGCTTCTTTTGCCAATCAGGTATGTTCAAGTTTCAAGTTTCAAGATTTTTATTGTTCCACATTTTACAGAAAATCATATCAAATCATAAATTATACAATACATGTACATGTAGTATAAATGAGCACATCTCAATGTAACTCCGGGAAGCTCCAACACCGGCGCGCAGCGTCGGAGCTTCGGTCAAACTGTCGTGGTGGCTTCGAAAAAAAAAAATGGGGCGACGTTATCGTTAAAATCTGCTAAGGGAGTACTTACAATTTTTACATCATAGGGTGCACTACTTCTTAGGGCATAACAATGATCACTTGAATTCATAATTTGAAGAAGTCTTCGATGGGAAAAAAGGGTTTTTCAGAGCACTACCCAAACGACTATTCCATGTTGCAGCGTCGATTCAAAATGGCGAAGAGACAGTACGCATGCGCGGCAGAGCCGCAGAAAGTATGAATATTCATGCTATCGAGTGCCGATCGCTCGAAATCGCTGAATATGCACGAGGTTGAGAAGGACTCTGTTTGTTCGAGTCGTGCATATTCAGCAATTTCGAGCGATCGGCACTCGATAGCATGAATATTCATACTTTCTGCGGCTCTGCCGAGCATGCGTACAGTCTCTTCGCCATTTTGAATCGACGCTGCAACATGGAATAGTCGTTTGGGTAGTGCTCTGAAAAACCCTTTTTTCCCATCGAAGACTTCTTCAAATTATGAATTCAAGTGATCATTGTTATGCCCTGAGAAGTAGTGCACCCTATGATGTAAAAATTGTAAGTACTCCATTTGCAGATTTTAACGATAACGTCGCCCCATTTTTTTTTTTCGAAGCCACCACGACAGTTTGACCGAAGCTCCGACGCTGCGCGCCGGTGTTGGAGCTTCCCGGAGTTAATCTCAATGATTCTCAATTCATACAATAGATTAAGTAGAATGTGACAAACCTATTAAAAAGCAGTGCTTGTGTATTTTAGGTTCCTGGATAAAATTATTGTAGATGAAAAAAACCGTTGAGAGAGATCGTGGTACACCCGACATGAATCAGAAAGTATGGGACTGCATGATTTCCAATGAAAATTTATGTGGGTATACTCGAAAAGTGTTTAGGATGGGAATTAATATTCATATATCGTTGAAATGAACATTAATCTTTGTATTAAAAATACGGCTAGAGCTCTTCTATCTATTCAAGTGTGGATGTCATAAACAAATTGGCAACACTTTTCTTTCCATTAAAGGTGTGAACATCATCAACCCGGACGGCGAGACCAACAGCGGGATCGGCGGACCGTGCCCTCAAGGTTTCTTCTGTCCGCAGCAGACCTCCATTCCTCAGCCGTGCCCAAACGGGACCTACTCAGACGCCCTCTATCTGTCCGAGGAGTCACAGTGCGAGGCATGTGATCCAGGGTTCTACTGCGGTACTTATAACCTGACTGGACCACAGGCTCCCTGCGATCCTGGGTTCTACTGTCACTACGGCTCCTCCTATCCCAACCCCATCGGTAAGTCACAACTGGATAGTATACAAATAATACACAGCAGTGAGGGTATTAGTAAGAATTACCCACCCAAGGTACCTTTGGAACAGTCTAACACGCCCGATGCGATAGCCGAGGTTGTTTGGACTGTATTGAAGGTACCAAGTGTAGGTAATTTTACTAATGCCCGAACAAAATGATGTGTATTATTTGTTTTATAAGATTATGTTTTATCTTTTTAATAAAATGATGTTTTATAACATGATTTTACTAACGACCGGTCATTATCCAAATTACGCGTTAGGCAAAATAAATGCCCGTTCACGTGTACGCTCTCAACCATTCATTTGATTAGGATCCATGTCATCATCATATTAGACTACATAATCTACTGATGAAACATGCTATGGACTGCCACAGTCAATTTCTATCACATGTATGATGGTGGTTTGGGTGTCCGGACACTTAACACACATAAAGCTTTCTCTTTTGCCCTCAGATTGAAGAAAGAATATTGATTAAAAAGTACTAACTGTCATGAATATTTGTCCTTTATAATATTACCCAACACAAGTCTTTAAAGACTCATGAAATATCGCTTTTAAACTTCTCCAATTGCTGTTTTAAATCATCTGTCCAGATACACAATTTGTCTAGACACACAGCATCTTGTCAATGTGTTTGTACAAGAATATAAAAACATCCTGGCATTCTAGAATATCATTTCATAGCCAATAAAGAGTTAAGATTCCATTTTAGAAATGAAAAGTTCTTTGCAAACTTATAAATTTACCCATACATTAACATTCTTTTGCAACATAAAAATGATCTTGTAAGTTTGGAACGGTGTTATTCAAACAATCATTTCTAGACCTGTATGGTCATTTCCACATAGAAATGGACAGTCAAACCTGCTTTATCGACCACCTGTACATAGAAAGACCACCTGTCTGTAAGACCACATTTTTTGTTTCCCTTGAATACTGTTTCTCATAGAAAAAACCTGTACTTAAAGGTATTACAAAGTTTTGGTATGGGGTCATGAATTTAGTTCAAATTAACATATTGGAAGCATATGCGTTCCTACAATATACATTGAGCGTTGTCGCGGTTGAAATTGAGTCTAAAGTTATGAAATTATAAATAATAAACTCTTCATGTTGTGTAGCTCCCTCTCAAGGTCAAGATATTAATTTAGCTATGGAACAATGTTTCTTGACTAAAATCGACCGATTAGCTATTCCCGTTTGGAAATTATATATCCCAACTACATATTCTGAGATTTTCATGGTCGCAGCTACCATTGTACGGCCTTAGGCGCTATTTCAAATTTATCAAAATTTACCGGGAGCACCGGTAAATTTTTATTTTGTCGTTACGAAGTAGCCGGAGGCATTATGTTTTCGGGTTGTCCGTCCGTCCGTCTGTACGTACGTACGTACGTCCCGTTCTCGTGATCGCGTTATCTGAAGAACCGATTGATGGATTCCTGCCAAACTTTCGTCATGTATGTATCTTGTAGAGCCGATGAACTGATTAGATTTTGGGGTTACGAGGTCAAAGGTCAAAGGTCACAGGGCTCATTATGTATGCAAAAACAGCTCGTGATCGCGTTATCTGAAGAACCGATTGATGGATTCCTGCCAAACTTTGGTCATGTATGTATCTTGCAGAGTCAAAGAACTGATTAGATTTTGGGGTCATGAGGTTAAAGGTCAAAGGTCACAGGGCTCATTATGTATGCAAAAACAGCTCGTGATCGCGTTATCTCAAGAACCGAGTGATGGATTGCTGCCAAACTTAGGTCATGTATGTTACTTGCAGAACCGATGAAGTGATTAGATTTTGGGGTCACGAGGTCAAAGGTCAAAGGCCACAACGCACATTATGTATGCAAAAAACAGCTCGTGATCGCGTTCTCAAGAACCGATTGATGGATTCCTGCCAAAATTAGGTCATGTATGTTACTTGCAGAGCCAATGAACTGAGTAGATTCTTGGTTCATAAGGTCAAAGGTCATGGGCTCATTATGTATGCAGAAATAGCTTGTGAACACATTCTCATCAGAACTGACAGATGGATTACTATTTAACTCAGGACATCTTGCAGAGCCAATGAACTGAGTAGATTTTAGGGTCATGAGGTCAAAGATCAAAGGGTCATATATGTATATGAGAAATTGCTTGTAATCATGATATTCTGAGAACCTGTTAATGGATTACAATTGAACTTGAATTCGAAAAATGTGTTCTGTTTTGGTTTGTAAAATTGCTCTATGACGGAGGCATCATTTTCGACTGCGCGCAGTCGAATTCCATCTAGTTTTATTTAATTTCTCTCGAAAACAGAAGTGTTTTAGGGGCTAATTTTTTTATTGCTTATAATACATCCACAGGGGCATCCAAATATATCAAAATTGTAAAGATTCACTATCCACCCAATTTTCAAAATTTCCCAAAACTTTGTATTACCTTTAAGGAACCTGTATATGAAGAATACTTCATGTTTCCCTTGAGCTTCTTAAAATACTGGTTTCATTCTAGTTATCATGTTAAATTCTGTCAACTTTAACCTCTGTACCTTCCACCACAGGAGACGACATCACTGGCGCTCCTTGTCCCGTGGGGACCTACTGCGAGGCAGGGTCCAGCGAGCCCATCGGCTGCCCGCCGGGAACATACAACGAGAACACCCAACAGTCGGAATGCCAGACCTGTCAGGGTGGCTGGTATTGTCCTGGAAACGTGTCCAACTTCAGGCCATTCGACTGCCCAGCCGGTTTCTACTGCCCTAATGGTAAGCCAGTCTCTCTGATAGGATGTCAATTAAAGGTCCCATGGACAATATGGAGGACTACAGTTACTCATGAATGTATTTATATAATATTGGATTGCCTTGAGTGTTATACAAGAATTTATTGCTCAAGATATGACAATATTCAGAGCTGCCAACCAGTACGATTTTATTGTATTTCGTACGATTTTTAGAAGTAAATACATGTACGACAGTACGATTTTTCCTCAAAATATACAATTTTCAAAAAAAAAACAATGTTTGTGTGCCATTTTCAATGGAAAATAGCCCATTCTCTCCTGTAAAGTATCCTACAAGCATCTCACATTGTCAATGTAGGGATGTTCATTGGCTCATCGAACACTTGTCATGACGAAATCATGCATATTCAACCATTGGTCCATTGACAAATTTCTTCCTGTATGTTGGAACTTATGCAAATTGCAAATTGCAAAAAAAAAAAAATGCATTTTCGCAGTGAGAAAGTACTTATCGATCAAAAATAGGATTTTTCGGGGAAAATAATAGGATTTTTGTTCAGTTGAGGTTGGCAGCTCTGCAATATTGGACGAGTCAAAGAAGAGTCTAATATTGTCTTTAATAGCGAGAGCAATATATTCTTGTACCACACGAAAACAAAGCCATAAAAAATTATTATTATCTATTTTAGTCCAACTAGCGAAATTACAAAATTTGACTTAACTTGGTAAAGATGGCTTTGTTTTCGTGGGATATTGATATGATATTGATTTTGATAGTTGAAGTTCCTGGATGACTGAGCAATACTAAAACAATATTGGTCAGTCATCCAGGTACTGCGCTAAAGATATTGAATACACTGATTTATTGTACCACTTGAAAGCTTTATATAGATAATAATGACAAAGATCCATTGCTTATAGAGGATTTTGTCGGTAGAATATTCCACTTATCAGGCAATTTGACTGCCCACATTGCTATTTCATGTACATGTATTTTCCCGCCGACAAATAAAGTTTTGTGGATAAGATGCAAATCATAGGATTTTATTGACAAGATTATCATGTATTGTATGGATTAAAATATTGATGATAAAAATATTGATGGATTATTAGTACTGCCTTGATAACTTGGCCAACTGAAAACTTTTGGACTGCCCAGCTGGTTGCTATTGTCCAATCGCCAAGAAATTCCTTGAATGCTTTAGCGCCTGATTATGGCGGCTCAGCTACAGCCGGGGTAATATCGTGATTCTTTGTATTAAGCGCAGTAGTGTATGTTCATACGTGTATAGTAGCTGCTCTATATATGACTGGACCTATTATTATTATTATATTATCCTATTTCATTATATGCTATCAGGTACCGAGCACGCTTATCAATACCCATGTCCAAAGGGAACCTACCGACCCAACGAGAACGGGCACACCCTGGCGGACTGTACCATTTGTGATCCAGGGAAGTACTGTGCTTACGAGGGAAACACCACAGTCACCGGAGACTGCGATGAAGGTGAGATCCTTAAAAAATAGTAAAATTGCAACCTGTGATGTCACACATCTCAGCAGTGTTTGGAGAGCTCTTCAGGTGCTATGCCAGGGTTATATTTAAGCGTTTTGTAATTGATATTGATCGGTACTTCAAATTTTTCCAAGCATTGAATTTTGATAAAATTGTCCAATCAAAGATTCACCATTGCAATGATGAAAATAAAGTTTTTTAAATCTTTGCAAAGCTACTTTAAGGCTTCTTCTGTATACACAGAGCTTAGACTGCCCAACCAACGGACTTTGACATCTTCACAGAGAAAAGTTTTATATTTAAACAATTTCTTGTTTTACAGTCATTTTAAGAGGCACCCACATTTATCACATAAAAATCTTTTATATTAAAAATTAATCAAAAATACAAAAAAATACATCTTCTTAGTATCATAAGTAAGACACAACATGACTACACATTCATTACACAAAAATCTTTTATATTGAAAATGAATCCACTATTAACCTGTATTTTCCTATTTCTAGGTTTCTTCTGTATCCAAGGTGCTTGGACTGCTCAACCGATGGACTTTGACAACTACACCGATGGCGATTGCCTCTGTCCTAGCTTGAGCACTGGAGGGCGCTGTCAGCCTGGTTACTACTGTCCACGAGGATCGATTGAACCGGAGGAATGCACAGAAGGAAACTATTGTGACGTTGAAGGTAATTACACCTACCGTAAATCTCCGTGTATGAGACGCATGTTTTTTCCGCTGGAAAATTTTTTAAAGTCGGGAGTGCGTCTTGTGGACAGGTACAGGATATTTCGAAAATCTCTGTGTCTCAACATAAATTACATAATGCGAATAAAAAATAGGATCTACTATTTGAAGTTAAACTACGTTCCTAATTTGAAGGGAAGAGAGAAGTGCCTCTTATACACAGAGATTTATGGTAGATTCATAGACAAGATTTGTTTTGGTTATAATGATAATAACAATGTCTTGTTTGCCCATGGTAGCCTTAATCAGTATAAATACTGTTCTCCCTGAGGGCCCTGGGATCATGTCATTACCCTCGCCTTAGCTGAGCTACCATGAAAAGGTGCTCAAGCATTCAAGGAATTTCTGCCTACGGTACCCATTTACCTCACCTAGGTGGAGTGTGGCATATTTAGATTAATATCTTGCCGAGAGACATTATTTCAAAATGCTTTATTTGATTGAAAATCGAAAGTTCATTTTTTGTTTTTCCCAACATATTTTATAACACTAAAGTCTATTGGGGAAAATGAGTATGGTAAAACCGGTCACTCAAAGATTTGTACTTTTTTAAGGCTTCAATATTACACCATATCACAGACACTGATAATACGTAAGGCTATGCATCTCAGATTTAACATTGTTAAACGATGCCTTTAACTATTTCCTTGTTTAATTTGTACTGATTAGCCCTCCTTTGATGCTCAATATTTCTGTTCTTGTTTTTGTTCATGTACTGTAGGTCTAGCCGATGTAGCAGGGAAGTGTATGGAAGGCTTCTATTGCATCAGCACAGCAGTGAGACCTGATCCTACGGATGGTATCACGGGTGATATATGCCCTAGAGGAAGATACTGCGGTAAGTTTAACACAATGAATAATGAGCCCAAGATAACTTTGGACCAACAGTTGAATCTGTATTATCCCCCACGGCCTGAATCCACAAAGGAGGTTTAAATTTAACCCATGGTTTAAACCCTCATTTACATAACCCATGGTTTAGAATTAGCGCAAATCAAGCATACCCTGCCTACGTCTAATATTCGACCTCTGACTGTATCACGCCTATTTTGCGCTAATTTTAGACCATGGTTTTATGTAAATCAAGATTTAAACCATGGGTTAAATTAAAACCTCCTTTCTGAATTAGGGCTCATATGTTTATTTTCATACAGGTATATGTTGTGCGTGAATACATGAATACAAATTGCTTCCCTTGTTTTTTTACACAGTTGTTTCTTACTTTGTTATTTATTTTGTTTACTCTCATAAATCTTTGTAGGAAATGGAACTGGAGCCAACCCTTCTATGTGCCCATCTGGGACTTATTCCAACAGCACTGGTCTAATGATAGAGTCCCAATGCACAGACTGTACAGCAGGGTCCTACTGTGAAGCTCCTGGACTAACACAACCAACTGGACTGTGTGATCCAGGTAGGGCTAGGTCTAGCGATTGTACATTGTAATGAAATTAGCAACTGAAAATGAAAATTACAAATAGTTTAATAGTGACAGTGGTGGCGATGATGGTGGTGATGGTGATGATGATAGCAATAGTGATGATGAAAATACTTATGATGCTGATGAGGATGCTGATGATGACGAAGGTGATGATAATGGTGATTATCATGATGAAAAGACAACCTACAGTGCCCCTTTAGGAAACAGAAGAAGATTCCAGCTTGGACAGTTCACATTTCTAGACACATTCTACAGCGCTTGCATCTTTGTAGGAGAAAATACAAGTGACTCTTAAAAGGCCCACTGTACTACTTGTAGCTACTTGCTCCCAATATATAGTAAACAATGCCTAATCGGTGACCATTGATCCCCCATGATCCTCTTTTTCTTATGTTAATTGAGAGCTGAGTTGATGAGATAGCCACCTGTCAGTGACCTTCCTGGGTGGTCTAATACCTCCTAGCCAAACTAGTACAGATTGGCTTTGAAACCTGTATAGATAAGTGACCATCAGGACAGGTTTGACTGCATAATTGTTCTTTTCTTTCTACAGGTTATTACTGCCCAACCGGTCAGTCCTCTAGCAGCCCCTTCCCCTGCGGTGAAGGGTATTACTGCGAGGAAGGCAGTGCCAATGAGACCGCTTGCGTATCAGGGACCTACCAGGACGATACCGGACAGTCATCATGCAAACTCTGCAATGGAGGTATGAAAATGAAATTTTAATCCACAGGCCTGATAAAAACCCGATTTAAATCGGTTTTCCGATTTAAAATTATTTTTTTCCCCCGATTTGTTCCCGATTTTTTTTTTCTTCCCGATTAAAAAAAAAAAAAAAAAAAAAATCCAGATTTTTTTTTTTTTACCAGATTTTTTCCCTTCCCTTTTTTATCCTGATTTTCCCTATTCCCCCTTATTTTCTCTATTCTTCCGTATTTTGCCCTATTTTCCCCCCAATTTTCTTACTCAAAAGGGGAGAATGTTGTTAGAGGCCATTTCCCCCCGTGAATCCTCTTCTTTTTTTTACTCAAGGGGGGCGTGGTTGAGCGGAAAACAAAAAACCTATTTTTATTTTAGTGCTCACTATCACCCCTGAATCCAGGAATAGTTTTGATTCATGTGAATGTTATTCAGCCATTTCTGTTTGGTCTGTGAAGCACTGCAATATTGAAAGCTTCATAAGAATATGATGGTATATCTAATTGCGATGACTATTATCGAGACATATCATAAATTAGTGCAGTTTTGAGAAAATCCAAAATATGCACAAATGAAGAAGCATCTGCACAGCACATGTACAGTCAAACCTGTCTACAGCGACAGCCCAAGGGAGACACAAAAAGGGGTCTTTGTAGACAGGTTCCTTTAGTACATGTGTCAATCAGAAACAGTTTTCAAGGAAAACAAAAAATGTGCTTGTTGTAGACAGGTGGTTATTAAAGCAGGTTTGACTGTAATATTGACTTAATTGTAAAAAAAAAAAATGATAGAACATCCAACAAGTTTTTGAGATAAAGATTTTTTTCTTGACACAAGGGGATGTCAAAGTCACATGAGGCATAATGATGAATGAAGATCATCAAACTTTTATCTTCTGTTCTTGTACTGAATAAATATGGAAAACTTAAAAAATTGTTTTGAACCACTGCCCAACAAAAGCATCATCTTTGTAAGACAATCATCATCATCATCATCATGGTTTCTCATCATTTATTAGGATACTACTGTGACGTGGCCGATGCCCCCATCTCGATCTACACCATCTACCCTTGTCCCGTGGGGCACTACTGCATGAATGGAACCGAGTTCAGCACCCAGTACCCCTGCCCAGCCGGAACGTACAACCCCTCAGAAAGACTGGAGAGGGAGGGTCAGTGCTTAGACTGTCCTCCTGGAAAGTTCTGCGACACACCGGGCCAGGATAATTATATGGGCGACTGTACTGCAGGCTATTGGTGCATCGGGGCATCGTCAAGTGCCACGCCCGACGACGATGTGACTGGGGTGGAGTGTCCTGCAGGGAAATACTGCATAGAAGGTTAGGGATTTTATACAAAGACTTGCAGCATGGGCCTGTGTAACTTTTCGTGATTTAAATACAGTCATGAGCAAACTTTCCAGAGTAAAATCAGGAAATCGCGTTTATTAATGTAACCGAGCAAAAAAGAATCTTGGCCTCAATTTGTCTGTTTCAGAGAGGAAACACTGTACATTTTACAGTATTTGAAGTGAGAGGCTGTTGTGGCTCAGGGAGAGCACTCTACATGTATATGTATGTAGCACATGTATATTTCTTTTCTATTTGAATGTGATAATTTCATTTTTGCCAACATTTTTGCCACCATTTGCCCCTTCTGCATTGACCAGATTTGTAATAATGTAATATTTTTTTAAAGCTGTGAATGTATTATGTAATGTGTTAAAAGTGTATACAGAAGGGTACAAAAATGTTTCAGTAAAAACCAATGCTATTGTGCACAATTCATATGTAGAGCAGGATTTGTAGTCTACTAATTATGATAATTTTGGATATTTTATATCACACATATTCACCATGCAAGGTGCTCCAAAATTACCCCAGCTCTGCTAGGCTACCTATTTTGGTGCCCACAGCATTCAAGGAATTCCTTCATTCCAGGACCCGTTATCTTCTGGAACACCTGGGTGGAGAGTGGCAAATGTAGATTAATGTCCACTCCAATGCCATTCAGTGACTTTAAGTGACTGAGAATAATGATGTAATCCTTTTCCACTAGGCACTCCGGCCCCAGAGAACTGTCCAGTTGGGACGTGGTCTGATAGCCTTGGTCTAGAGAAGGCCAGCGACTGCTACCCATGTTCAGGCGGCTTCTACTGCAACGGCACCGGACTGACAGCTCCGTCAGGACCATGTGATCCAGGGTAAGGCCTTTGACCTATGACCTTTAACCTTTGAATGTACAGTACAAGGTTTATATATTGTTTTGTTTTAAAGTAGGTTTATTAACTTATCAATGTTTCCAACAGTTTGCTCTATCATATCTCATTGATTTATTAATACAGTATAAACCCAAGAAGAATGCTGCGATCTAGTGAAAAAGTATTTATCCCACAGACTATGTAAAAATCTAACAGGAAAGGCCATTATCGTACGTAGTTGTTGTTTTATGGAATAAATTGCTGCAATTTCTAAGAAATATAGAGACATGCAAAAATTTCAGAATTTATTTGAAAATATACTTATTTAGCAATTTGTAAAATCCCAAAATTATGATCCAAGTGTACAATGTCCACTTCTGTATTCTGGTCTGTAAAGCACATAGAGAGGTGCAATTATGGCTATGTGTTATGCACTTTACAAAAGCGTTTAATTATTAGTAGTAGTAGTAGTAGTATTTTTCACTAGGTTGGATTACTAGCTGAAGCATGTATGTACATCAATGTGAAATTGGTTGCCAGTCCGTCAAAGAATTTCATTCTAAATGTTGTTAATTGTTTATAAATCATTGAGTGGTCAAGCTCCTAGTTACATAACAAAATTCATCTCAAAGTCCAGTCACACAGTTGTAGCCTGCACAGTTCCAGAGATGAATTATTGTTCCAGATTCCCCATGGCAAAACTAAAGTAACACTAGGGGACCATGCCTTTGCTATTGCTGCCCCCAAACTATGGAATAGCTTGCCAATAGAAATACGAAGCTTTCCATCTCTCAATGTCTTCATATCCAAAATAAAAACATATTCAATTGACAAATTCTATTTTGTAGAATTTAATTAAAAAGGAGCTCTGAACCAGCGCAGCTGAATATACTTTGTATAAAAGCTGCGCTATATAAATTTATTATTATTTATTATTAAATTGAAATCATTATTCAGCTATTACTGCTCCACCAATGCATCCACGGCCACACCCGAGGATGGCGGCATCACCGGTGACCCTTGCACGACCGGTCACTACTGCCCCGGTCAGACAACCTCACCGTTGCCATGTGAGGCAGGGACCTACACTACCGAGACGCATCGTAGCGAGTGCGATACCTGTCCGGCCGGATTCTTCTGCACAACAGGATACGAACCAGAGGAGTGTCCACATGGTGAGTCATGCAGACTTGAAAAGAGAGAAGGTTTCTAAAAGTCCACTCTCCCTATTTTTTAAAGGTATCGTAGCTACGGATTACCTTGTTTGATTTCTTACAACACGGTAGGTAGCTTGAACCATCTACCATTTGATGTTGAATCTGCTCTGAAGTGACCAATCACCAACATTTCCCTTAACTTCTTTTGGATCTAATTTGCATCTCTCAAACTAAGAAACTGCATGACAAAATATCAAATGGTTTTCCTGTTCAAACCGATTCACAGGCTTCTACTGTCCGGCTGAAACTGGTTACGACTGAAATTTGCATTTCTTTAAATAAGAAACTAAATGACAACATTTCAAATGGTTTTCCTGTTCAAACCGATTCATAGGCTTCTACTGTCCGGCTGGAACCGGTTACGACTGGCAGCCCTGCCCGACGGGATCCTTCTCCAACATGGCTGGCCTGGCCAATGAGACCCAGTGCACCCTCTGCTCACCAGGGAAGTTCTGCTCTGAGCTCAACGCGACCATGGTAACGGCAGACTGCGAGGCAGGGTACTTCTGCACTGAGGGGTCGGACACCGCTACGCCTGAGGTCACTTTTAAAGGTAACCAATATCCTTGGTTTTGTTGGTCATAGCAACCCATCTGCTGCAACTACTCCGAAGATCAAGATACATTAATCTTGATATAAGGAGACACGAACGAACAAACTTACTGAACAATTCAGAGTCAATTGGAACCAGCTTTTTCTTTAATGAACTTATCAAGAATTCAAGATATCTTTTAAATGATTTCCAGAAGAACGATATGATATATTTCCAGCAGAGCATTTTGATCTTCGGTCTCGGCACGTTTCTTGTTATATTTTCCATTTACATTATTGTTTAAAGCTTACAATCTTTTTCATTATAATTTTAAAATTTCACAGATGTAACTGCATATTCCCTAGATAAGATGAAATATACAGAGACAAAGATTCACATACTCACATCGCAAACATAACATTAAAAAGGAAGCTCTAGGTTTTACCATTCAATTTGTTTGTTTAATTTCCTATATGTGTTTGCTACTTAAGTTCTCTTGAAAAAAAAATTACCTTCTTTTGACTGTTCCTTGTGTATCTTGTAGGAGTGGCTGGAGTATGTCCCGAGGGTTCCTACTGTCCAGAAGGCTCGGACACTCCCACACCGTGTCCAAGAGGAACGTTTGGAAATGTCACCAAACTGACCAACTCAGTGAGTAACTGTCTTCATACATTTACAGTAGGCTCTTAAGAATAGTGGATACTAATTTTTACCTTAATGTTGTGAAAAAGAATTGGATTTTATCAGTTTTGTTTTGAGTTTATACTCATGATTGTTGGTACATTTTGTTGTTACCAAACAGGGCCTCTTTGAAATCAGTGTCATTTTTTCAAGTCTCCCAGAAACCTATTCCTTACAAGCTCTGCTTTTCTATAGGTTTCTGCACATTTGACAGTTTGTGCTTTTCTTGTCTGGATTTCCTTTAAATAAGTTGTCAAACAAATTTGATGATATGTAACTTTGTAGTCTGATTAATTTGTCAATTAATATAATCATTTTTTGAACTATGAAACAATATGTCTTTCATGTTTATTATGTTATTTGTATTTTATCGGTGAAATTTGAAACCAATAAACTCAAAGTCCATCACTTTTGATGAAAATGTTCTCCCCCGTATAAATGCCAGAAATAAATGCAATGAACAAACCTCTTCTGTTTAACAGAGTGAGTGCACACAGTGTCTATACAGCCAGTACTGTGAAGTCTTTGGCTTGACCGCTCCGACCGGTGACTGCTACGCCGGGTTCTACTGCCTACGAGGCGCCAAAGATCCCAACAATCCGACAGTCGATTCGACCGGCGGTCCTTGCCCCGTTGGTCACTACTGTCCAAACGGGACGTCGTATCCACTGGACTGCGAGGCTGGAACGTACAACAACCAGACCGGTCAGTCAGAGTGTGACCCATGTCCAGCAGGGTAAGATGACATTAAAATACAACTATAATAATATAATAATAATAATGATAATAGTAATAATGATAATCCTGTATTGTGAAATGATAGCAATAATTTTAGTAATAATAATAATAATGATGGTAATAATAATAATGATAAAATGAATCAGGTATTGCACAATGATAATTATGATATAAATGAAAATAATAATGATAAAAAGAATCAAGTATTGCACAATGATAATTATGATATGATTGACAATAATAATAATGATGATTATAATAATGATATTCTAGGTTTATATAGTGCTTGATGACATCTATGATATCTCTTGAAAGTCCAGTAAATACATATTATTTCGTTAATGTCATATGCTCTTCCCATTCATATATAGGTATTACTGTGAAAGCGGTGATGTCCACTACAGCGACACCCCATGTCCAACTGGTCACTACTGTCCAGAGGGCACCAAGTCCTCCTACGAGTTCCCTTGCCCCAAGGGCTACTACAACGACTATGAGGGCAAACACGACCTGGTGGACTGCAAGCCATGTACACCTGGTGAGTACTCAATACTTTACAGAAATTTAAATTCATGCTACACTCAGTCAAAAAAAAAAGAAATTATGGAGTATCAAGATTTAAACTGAAATAAAATTTGCCAATTATTACAGGAAAACAGTTTTTGTGTTTGTCTAAATATTTTAAACTTAGACATTCTAATACTTATATACTTATTTTTGTTTTAGTATTCCTTTTCATACTGTGCCACACATCCGCAGATGCGTTCACCCCAGCTGGTACTGTATACAAGCAGTGTGGTTAGAAAGGTGTTGCCAATTCAAAGATCATACTGCTCATATTTCTTTTTTCTTCCTTTGTAGGTCAATAATGTGCCCCCAACTGTATTAGCGCCCCTGGTTGAAACCGTATTCAAAGGGCGGGGTCTGACATGTGTTGCCAATTCAAAGATCAAACTGTTCATACTCATTTTTTTTTCTTCAGTATTCCTTCATCATAGGTCAATACTGTGGCACTACAGGTCTTAGCACCCCTACCGACCCTTGCGCCCCGGGCTGGTCCTGTATCAGAGGGGCCTAGTCGATGGTCTGACATGTGTTTCCAATTCAAAGATCATACTGCTCATACTTTGTTTTCTACATTACTTCCCTGTAGGTCAATACTGTGGCACTACCGGTCTTAGCACCCCTACTGACCCTTGCGCCCCGGGCTGGTACTGTATCCGAGGGGCGTGGTCAAGCATGCCAACAGATTACGGCTTCAACAACATCACCACCTCCTGCTTCTGTTCGTCCAATGCCACTGGAGGGCAGTGTTCGCCTGGAGAGTTCTGTCCCGAGGGATCCATTGAACCTACAAGTTGCACACCTGGTGAGTGGGGGGGGGGGGGGGAAATAATCCATTCCTGTTTGGTAAATCAAAGGTATACTGCAAAACCAGAATTTTCGCAAATTTATAGTGACCAAGATTTGTCAAAAGATCATACTGCTCATATTTCGTTTTCATTTCTTGTAGGTCAATAATGTGCTACCACCGGTCTTAGCGCCCAATAATAAGTTTCTAGCCACAAAATAGTAGAAACCAGACACTGAAGTTTTGCAATTTGCAAATGTTTCTTGACCCGGAAACGGCCGTCGTCTATTTGGAAAAATTGCAGCGGGGTTGACCTCTTTTGAATAATTTCAAATATGATTTCCGGATAATTATTTCAAAATGTTAGGCTTGCTTTTTTCACTTGTAAACATAGTTTCTCTCTATTTCAAACCACACTCACGACAGGCTACTATTGCGAAGAATACGGAATGTCTAACGTCACTGGACCGTGCGACCCTGGCTACTACTGTACCCTGGGGGCTTACGAAGCCACACCCACGGACAACGTCACCGGAGCCGTGTGTCCCACGGGCCACTACTGTCCCGAGGCGACCTATGACCCCATACCATGCCCAGCCGGTTACTATAGCAACACCACAAGGAATATGGAACTGGGCGATTGTATGCCATGCTTGCCAGGTAGGAATCATTCATGTATATTGACAGTCTGACAGTCTGCTTTAAGCCCACTTGTATAGAAAGACCACCCGTCTATACTGATCAAATTTGTTTCCAATTGAAAATGGTTTCTCGTTGAAACCTGTACACGAAGACCTGCCTATAAAAACTCTTTTTCTTGTCTGCCTAAGCGGTCTTTCTTTTAGATGTTTCATTGTACTATGCAGTATTAAGAACTGTATCCGAAAGTGCCCCCAAAATGGAGAATTTGAAATTCTACAAATTGACAAATCTAATTTCATTTCTTCAACATCATGAAATTTTTATCATGCATTAATGAAAATGATATTTATATGTACAATTAATAACTTAATTATTCATAGCCTTACCAAGTTTTATTAATTTTATATTAAGGCATGTGAAAACTGTATTTGTCCCGATTTATGTTCCTTGAGAGTGTGACATTTTAAAGCTCACATCTGAAAGTATTCAATGGCCCTAACTCAACTATTCCACCTTTCATTCTTCTGTTATGAAAAACACAAAAAACAAATCTTATTATTAGGAGTGAGAATAGTTTAGTTAACTGTAAATATACATATATATTGCATGGGGATATAGAAGTAATATTGAATGTTGTTTTACACATGATGGGCCATATTCCGTTATCTATGATGTCAACAGTCACACAAAACGTGTTTGACCATACCCTGTTCTCTTCTCATCTCCAGGCTACTACTGCGAGGGTTCCGGCCTGCCCGAGCCAACCGGACCTTGCCAGGCTGGTTACTACTGCCCTGGTGGTCAGAATACTTCTCAGCCAACAGAATATACATGTACCCCGGGTCACTACTGTGAGGTCGGCAGCTCTGACCTTACCTCATGTGCTTCCGGGTCGTACCAAGATGACTTTGGAATGGTAGGTTGATCAAGGATAAGGGTTCTGGAAAGAGCTGAACAATTTTTCCTCTCAAATCCGCTACATCAATATCAGTGACTCATTACATGTACATGTATATATCTGTGAAACAGAGCACTGAACATTAAAGATATTTGAGGAATTTAGTGCTTTGTATCTTTATAGAACTGCAACAATAGTTCTGATTTTTTTAAAGTGTTAGAGTATCACACGCTGTTAGCTATGTTCTTTTCTCAAAATTTAAGACTTCTACAGCTGTATCATTGAAGGAATGACATAAATAGTGATAGATCTATACAATGTACAATGTATATTGGTTTGTTCATGTACATATACTTGGTATCGTTGTAGAGATATTGGTGACATTGCTGCATTTGTTGGTAGAACAGTTTTAGAGCATCAAGTAACGCCTGGCTGGAAAGCTCCCCAGGGAGTGGAGATTGTGCACACAGTGTGTGTGGGCAAGCATTGAATCCAATGACCAGTGTAATAGTATATCTGTAAAGCACTCAGAAACATTGTATAAAGCGCTATACAAAAGCAGAATATCAATATTTGACATGCATCGTATCCACTCTTTCTCTTTCAGGATATGTGCAAGACCTGTCCTGCAGGCTTCTACTGTGATGCGACGCTCCAGAATGATACCTTCTGCAGCCACAGTGTCCAGAACCCACAGCCATGTCCCGAAGGCCACTACTGCCCCTCTGGCACCAAATACGCCATGGAGTACGCTTGTCCCAATGGAACCTTTAGTGACCAGACCGGTCTCCAGATTGCGGGCGACTGCACACCTTGTTCTGGTGGAATGTATTGCGCCCGCGAGGGTTTGACCGCGCCATTTGGCGAGTGCGAGGCAGGGTATTACTGCATTCTGGGCGCATCGTCGCCTACGCCGAGGGATGGAGTCACAGGGGATATTTGTCCTGTTGGAACATACTGTCCTGCAGGATCAAACAAGACGTACGACTGTCCACCATCAACGTACAACCCTACAGAAGGTAAGGCCAACAGGTTTTTTTCGGTAACACCATGTGTGAAAATACAAGGATATCAGGATTAATTGAACTGCATTTTAAACAACTTACATCTTGCTATTCAGCTTCCCATTGGTCCTTACAAGGATATTTGGTCATTCTTTCATGGAAAGGGAACAGTTCAATTAACTTCTAAGCATTTTGGGGGATAGAGTTCTGAAAAGAACACCTGGCTCTCTTGCTAAAAAGAAAAGATGCTTGAGTTTGCATGGGCATGCTCAGCTATTGTCAGGAGTGACTTGATTGTGACTGTGAGTGTTGTTAACAATGAAGAGAAGAAAGACGTAATTCTTCAAAAATGTGCAGTTATCTGTAGCCATTGAGAAACGGAGTAAAACTTTATATGCCAGATGAAATGCCTTTTTTCTAAATCTTTGTTAGAATCTGTGTGAAATTTTGTCAGTGGCACAGCCAAGCATATCTTTTTGCTATTATTTTGAGGGCTAAATTGATCACATATTGTTCTTCAAATTGGCATTAATAATAAATATTTCCCTGAAAACAATGTACATGATCATTTTTTTCTTCAAATTGCGAGTTCTTATGAAAAAACTGATTTTTAATCTGTCCAAGTGTTGCCAATTTAAGTATTTTGAAACCTGTTTTCCTTTTTTAAATTCCTGGCATCAAATGCAATATAGTCATGAAACAAAAATTGATGCAGTGTGTGCAGAAATTTTGCCCTTTCTACTTGTGTATCTGGTATATTTTTTAGGGTTCTGAATCAAAAGTTATTGGGCCAAACCACAAAATGTGGAATAATTGTGACGAAAGGGTTAATTAGTCGCAATAATCAGAACGTTAAAGTAAGTCATTAAAACACGCTTCTCTCTTGCAGGACGTGAGTCCATCTCAGAATGTCTTGGCTGTGACGCAGGTGAATACTGTCCTTCGTACGGCTTGAACGCCACAGCAGGTGACTGTGATGCAAGATTCTACTGCGCTGGCAACGCTACTTCGGCATCACCTACTGATGGAGACACAGGTATCCAAGTCCTTCCTTAACTCTTTGGATACATCCTACAATTCTATTTTGCTATTTACAACCCTGCAGAGTCTAGCCCAAGTTATATTGGACTTAGTAGTAATCCAAAAGATATTTGATATAGCGCCTTTTCCTTGCAGTTAGTGATGATATCTCTAAGGGCTATAACAAACAAAATACAGTGAGAAACAATTACATATTTAAAATTCTTTTTTTTTAAATTAAGCCTACAAATTATGATACATATGAAATAAACATCAATGTGAAGAGAGTAAGTTAATCATGAAAAGCAATTTTGAATAAATGTGTCTTAAGAACAAGTTTTGAATTGGTTGACAATACTAAGTCGCTTGGAGAGGACTAAAAGCCGTTGGTCCTTAGCAGTCCTTTCTTAGCAGTCGTGTAAAACAAACAAACGTACCAAACAACCAACTTCAATTCACTTACTTTAACCGAGTCCTTCCACTTTCTTGTTATATGATGAACCAGTACTTCCTATCTAACATAGAATTCTATTGGTCTTCAACTTCCAGTCCTGTGTCACTCACTTCATAATTTAACAAAAATAAAAATTAACATTGTAAATAATTACTTGACCGTTTCTGCTTCAGGTGATGAATGTCCAGTGGGTCACTACTGTCCAGCAGGGTCATCTCAGCCGATCCAATGTGAACCAGGAACGTATACTGACACAACACAGAATGAAGCTTGTCTTCAATGCACTCCTGGACACTACTGTATTACAGGCTCCAACCCTGAGGTAAGCTTGAAAATAAAGTCCCACAAATTCTATTTAAAGCCCCACTGCACTACTTGTAGCTATTGTACTTGCTCCCTCTATATAGAAAACAATGCCAAAGTGGTGCCTGTTGGTCCCCCATGATCCTCTTTTTCTTATGTTAATTGAGAGCTGAGTTGATGAGATAACCACCTGTCAGTGACCTTGCAGGGAGGTCTAATCTGTCCTGGCCAAACTAGTGCAGAGGGTTGGCTCAGTCAGTAGAGCGTCCGCCTCACAACCGGGAGATGGGAGTTGTTGCTACCTTGTTTGGCGTTCAACAATAAGGGATAAAGCAACGTCGATCTGGCGCTGCTCAGTGGCTGCCGGGCTCACGATCAATTGGGCAAAAAGAATTTCCGTTTCGGTTTAATAAAATTTGGAGTGGACTATTAGGCTATTATTATTATTATTATTATTATTATTATTATTTAAAGAAACCATTTAATAACAAGTTGTAGGTGTTCATCATTGATACACATCAATAGCTCAATATAGTTACATGTCCATCTACCTCCAGTGAAATCTGTATGTCTTCTTAGGCAGTTTGGCTGTATGTACAGTTTCTTTTTTATGTAGCAATGATCAACAATTTTCAGTCTTTATAGACAGGTGATCTTTCTATACAGGTAGTTGCTAAAGCAGGTTTTTTTTCTTCTCGGAATCCATAGGGTCTTTGTAGACAGGTACGTTTTAAAAGGCTTCAACTAAAATTCACCTCTTTTTGGGACAATTTTCAAGCAAAGAAAATTGTGGTCTTTCTGTACAGATTTTTGCTAGAGCAGGTGTAACTTTATGACCTCTTTCTCCTTGTAATCCAGGACTGTCCGGCAGGTTTCTATTGTCCTGAGGGAACTGGACATGTATGGCAGTCTTGCCCTATCGGGACATTCAGTTCATCCACTGGTCTGGCTAACGAAACCCAATGCACTCAGTGCACTGCTGGACATTATTGTGACATGGTCAACGCTACTACAGTAGCAGGTAGGTGTTTATCTCCTGTTTTAACCCTTTCATTATTTTTGTTTAAAAGGGCTAAGTTGATCACATGTTCATCAAATTGGCAACAGAAATATTTTTGTTTTCTTAGACAAGTACGTTCTGAAGGAACTCTTGTACGACAGTAATATTTTTCAGTTTGATTGTAATGTTAATAATAATAGTAATATGAATATTGAAATTAAATAGTGCTTAGTACACATGTTTCTAAGGGCTGTACTATTACCTCATCTATAGGTGAGCTACCCTGAAAAAGTGTTATGACATGTAAGGAATTTTTTCATACCAGATACCCAATTACATCACCTGGGTGGAGAGTGGCAAGTGTAGATTAATGCATTGCCAAAGGACGTTAGTGCTGTGGTGGCAGGGATTTGAGCCATGTACCCTGTGTTCAACATTCCAAAGACATATCCACCAGACCACAACACTTGTGCTTGCCTTTGTGTGATCACTGACATGGTTAAATACTGACACTTTGATACACACTAATGTCCTTTGGCAAGACATTGATCTACATTTGGCACACTTCACCCAGGTGAAGTAAATGGGGATTGGTAGGAAGGAATTCCTTGAACGCTGTGATCACCAAAATCGGTAGCCTAGCAGAGCCGGGATAATATTGGAGCGTTTTGAGCACCTTGCAGGGTGGATATGTGCGCTATATAAATATCCAATATTATTATTATTTTATAATTGTACAGGTGACTGTGATGCTGGTTTCTACTGCAGGAGCGGTTCCGACGCCCGGCAGCCCAGTGAGTCGTCCCGCGGTGATGCAGGAGTGTGTCCAGAGGGCTACTACTGCATCCAAGGCACCGGGGAACCTGAGCCTTGTCCCGCCTCCACCTTCAACAATGCTACCGGTATCGCAAGTTTGGAAGAATGCCAAGACTGCTTGGAAGGTATGGATGCCATGAAAAATCACTTGACGTGTGCCTATTCATGTTTGTAGCCAACTTACAAAATGTATACTTTTCAATTTAAAACCTTACATAATATTAAATGCTTGAGATAAAAATTGGTTAAAGTTTCTCCTAAACAAGGATTTTTTTTTCTCATCTGATTTTAATTTTCAAAGACTGTTTGTAAGATAAACGTATCAGGTGACACTTGGTGTAAACCTTGTGTTACAAGTGTCACTCTGGTATTTTCTTCTCATTTTTCAGAAGATTTGAACTGAATTGTTATCTTCAAAGTGGCATATTTCTTGTGGCTTGTCGTATATTAAACCCGACGCCATTTGTCAAAAAAAGAGCTGACAAGTTAAGGTGTTAAAGAGAGAGAGAGTTTTCAGTTTCCATGTGCAAAAGGTTATATTTCGCCGACACCAGACTTGGTGGAAGTACCATTAATGGGTGTACAATTCTTGACACAGCAAACCGTAGTCCCATCAAGAAATGTCCCACAGTTTCTCGGAGAGTCTTTGGTTCAGTGAAATGTAAGAAAATTACTTTTCCATGTGGGGAAAAGACACATTATTTCATAAAGCTTGTTGGTCATCAAACTGAAGGCTAATCCTGGTGATTGACAACGCCTGGTGTTGGGTATACACCTGAATGCTGTAAAATTCCCCATTTGAGCCCACTTCTCTGTGTATTTAAAGTTCCTCATGCGTGGGTATATAGAGGGCAGCACACAGACGTACACACAGGAGCGTAATACCCCTTTGCTCAGTGTTATGTAGTGATTGCCAAGCTGCATACTTCACAAAAGACTATATACCCACGCATGAACATCTTTAAGCTACCAATGCTCCTTTACTGTTACTTCTCAACAGGCCACTACTGTGAGATTCCAGGCCTGAGCTACCCCAGCGGTCAATGTGACCCGGGCTTCTACTGCCACCTCGGTTCCAACTCCTCCAACCCTAGCGTCGCCTCATCCACCGGAGGACCCTGCCCCACCGGCTCGTTCTGCGTCGGGGGCAACAGCGACTATGTCCTCTGCTCGCCGGGATACTACCAGCCTAATGAGAGGGAGGACAACTGCCTGGACTGCCCCGCTGGTCATTACTGCGAAGAGGGTAGCTCAAACTATACCGTCTGTCCTACAGGTATGGTATAAGCAGGTTTTTTTTTTTGGGGGGGGGCAATCATTTTGAGTTTAATCATTTGTTATAAGACTGAGGTCTCTCGGCCCTGGTGTGTGGGAGTACTGTGCAATTCCTGGGGGGTGTTTTACAAAGATCCTAAGTTGAACTTATCTCTAAGAGGGACTTAACAATTATGGAAAGCCGTTAGCATCTATGAAAATATTTGGTAAAAGTTATTTTAAAAGGCATACAATTTTGATTTAAATTATTCATATTTACTATTATTAAGGAGAATTCCTGTTCTTGATGTAGAATTTATGAAAAGTGTAAACTACTTGAATTTTTGCTTTTGATTATATTTTATTTTAAGGCTACAAATGGCTCTACATACTTTTTAAGTCAAACTTAGAGTTAAGTTTGACTTAAAATCTTTGTGAAACACCACCCTGGTGTGTATGAGTACTGCATACCTGCCAACCACTCCGATTTAGGCGGAGTTACTCCGCTTTTTTCATACCCACTCCGAATTCCGATTGCATGCCTCAAAACTCCGATTTTTTGTAATTTTAAACTATTTTTAAAACAAACGACTGTTGCATAAGACTAAAGCATAACACAGCACTGATAACCAGATCACGCCTTACGGGGAAACGATAAACAAAAGTACTTTATATAGCGAATGCCGCCTTATCACATAGCCTCCGCACACAGCGCTGCATGTCGCACGCATTCACTCATAGGTTCACTGAATTTGACTACACTGGATAGACACTTTCGCGCACATGGTCCGTCCGCCGCCATCTTGTTTAATTCCAAAACAACACGGCCGCTACGTATGCTACGTGCGTTCGTGCCTTTTGAGGGGAGCATGGGGGTAGATGATCGTGCGCATGGCGCCCGCAATATAGTAGCGAAGACTTCGGTGATTCAGCGGGCGCATTGCAAGTGCAGTGCGGTATACGGTGTGTTGTTGTTCATGAACGCCGGGCCTAGCGGCCTGGGCTGTATGGTGTGTCTGTGGTACTGGTGAGTGTACGTGTGCGTGTGTAGAATACGAGCTCTGCCATTTGACTGTGGATTCAAATTTGCCATTCGACGCTTGAACGAGGTGTTTTCTTCCTGAATATTATCAAGGATTCACTCAAAAGAGCGAGTACCCGAGAAGGAGATCCTTTGACTGGAAACAGATTTTTAAAAACGTTTTTATGCACATCTTTATTTTGGACTTGAATATGGTAGGTTCGAAATGCAGTAAGAGTGATTGGGTGTTTGTGTACGTTTTGCGCGAAAATTATGCTGCGGTGTCTTGCGTTACGGAAAGACCCCCATTTGTTACGGACAAATATGGTAAATGTTACTGACAGCCATCCTATAGGGTTGGCATCTCTGCCCCCCCCCCCCAATCTACGGGCTACTACCCCAATCCTTCAGTGGTTCGCGACCTCGTAGTCCATCCTGAAAATTTACTCCTAATTTCTCTTGTCTCAGGTTGGCAGGTATGGTACTGGGCTATTGCTTGGGTAGTAAATAATTGCAGGGCCCTCAAGGAGAGCAGCTGTGATGTTAATGAGGATTCCTTCAGTGGAAAAAAAACTTGTGGTTCGCAGTCCAGAGGCGTATCCACTAGACAACAATACCTCAACAAAATAAATTACCCATAAATCAAGCCTTAGATTCAAGATGGCGTCCTAGTAGTAGACACTTGCTATAAATACCTGTGAGATCAAAATGCCTAATGAATCTAAGCCCAAGTCTAGTTTTTCATCTGGATCCACCCCTCAGAAGAAAAAAACAAAAATTTCTACTCAGAGCTCTATTGAAACCACCAATTCACCGGCAAATGAAGCCTGTGATGAAAAAAAAATCCATTTAAGATTCTGTAGCTGTCTACTTTTTACAATCTTGACCTCTAAATGTCTTTTCCGTCTGTTTCCGCAGGTCACTTCTGTCCGCAGAACACCGAGTTTGCGGCTCAGAATCCCTGCAACAATGGAACGTTCAACAATGCTACGGGAGGCAGTAACGTGGATGCCTGCGAGCTCTGCCCACCCGGAATGTACTGCCCTGAACGAGGAATGGAAGAACCCGCTGGTCTGTGCTCTGACGGCTGGTATTGCATCCTGGGAGCCTGGAAGGATATGCCAACATCTCTAGGAAACGATACTGGTGAGTGGCTTTAGTAGCTTCGCTCAATGAAGTGGCACGAAAAGACAGGCCCAGTTGCATAAAACTACCATTGATGGTTAAAGTTTAACTTTGCCATCAATGACAACTACCATAGTGACAGGGCTCAACAGCCAATCAAAATCAAGGTTTCCATGGTAGTTACCAGTGATGGCAAAATTACCATCAATGGTAAGTTTTATGCAACAGGACCATGTTCACAGCCCTGTAACATAAACAGTTATGAAATTATTACATCTCCCAAAAATCAACTGTTTCTCCTTCAAATTAATTTTGGCTCTTTCAATTAATTGTACATTTCTTACGATTGATCGCAATTCAATCTTTGTGTTACAGGACCCAGAATGCATAAGGCGTAATTGTTGCTGATGTCAGTGCATTACAAGTTGTGATAATATTAAGCCTAATCAAGATATTTGATGTATTTGCGAGCTCCATGTCATAAAAATGTAGTTGTACCTCAGTGGCATAACATTTGTTATTTTCAATGCAGTTTACGTTCAGGATACATCTTTTGTGGCCACTACATCTCACTAAGCCACTTTACAGGAATGTTACCGGCCCATTCCCACAAAAGACATTGCCGAAACAGATCTACAGGGTGTATAATTCTATTTTTAAACAAATGTTTTCTGTCTTTGTCTACAGAGTTTGGCTGTGCCTGCCCTAATGACACCACAGGAGGGCGCTGCATTGCCGGAACGTACTGTCCGGCCGGTTCATCGCAACCAATACAGTGTGATCCCGGTGAGTCATTGACACGTATTGAGAACCCATTAAACCTTTGACCGACTGGCTCCTGCATTTAGGCTATTGGAATGACGCAGTTCTTTGTTCATTGGATTGAAAAATGTGTGAGGTGCATGGCAAAATATTGAAATTGTAACAATAGTATTCTAGCAATTTTTCATTTTGATCATACTGGTAAATTTGTGGATAAGCGTGAAATGGTAAAAACAAAATGATATGCTCTCATTCAATCTCACTTAAATTATGTGAATATTTTGCTGTATCAATTGCGATATATTGAAACATTAATATTTTTATCGCAAACTGAAAGATTACTGGTCAGGTCATTTGACCTTTTTCATGTTCTTTAATTGCTAGTGAACCAGGGCCCTGTTTCATAAAACATTTTATCAATAACAAGTGCAACAGATCTATGACAAATCTTCTCAGAGCCAATCAAATGCAAGGATTTCAGTAGCTTATAACAATTATCGTATCTTTTTACTAATAACAAGTTTGATGAAACAGGGCCCATAATTGAATTAAATTGAATGTTTACTGACATATTTTTACAACGTATGATTTCATTATGTGCTTAAAGTGACTCAATAACATTGTTTCAGAGTCCTGGATTTAGCTCATGCTACAATCATACTTATAAATCTTTAGGTCAGTCAGGAATCCCATGACTTTTACAAGCCGATAGCCTGTCTGATTATCAAGATATTTTTTAATTGGAAAAATTAAAAAAAAAAATCTCTATCAATTTTCATTGGGGAAAACAAATAAGGTAAAACCGGTCACTCAGAAGATTTTTACTTTTTTGAGGCATTTGTTTAGGGCTTCAATATTACACCATATCACAGACACTGATAACACCTAGGCCATGCATCTCAGATTTAACATTGTTATACGATGCCTTTAATTTTCTCCTCAGGGTATTACTGCCGCTATGACGAGCTTGCGAATGTCAGCGGCCTTTGTGAGGCCGGCCATTACTGCAGCGGTAGCACCATCTTGTCCAACCCAGACAATGAAACCACAGGTGATGTCTGCCCTAAGGGACATTACTGCCCGGAGGGAAGCTACGATGCTCGGCCATGTAAACCAGGTGAACTTTGACCTCCCCTTGACCCGTATTTGACCTTTTGCATGTATATTAAATTTGGCTTATAATACTTTTCTTTTACTACACTCTGTAGTACTGGAAATTTAAACTTTTGTTGTTGCCGATGGCGCACGTTTTTACAGCTGAAATTTTGCAAGAATCACCCAAACTTGCTATTGTGCATTAGTTCATGTCACGAATTTGGACCAGGCATAGATGGTGTACAGCATCTGAAAAATGTGTTATTGAATTTGTTTTTTTCTGAGTGGAATACTATTGTGGATGAATTGAATTGAATATGAGAGCTACAATTGTATGTACATCAACCATGATTCACAAGTGAATGGCTGTAATTCCAGTACATAACTACAAGTAACATACGATGTATTACTCATTCACCTGTACTGTACATGATCTCTAATATGGGCAACTGATTTATGTCATGCATTACAGCAGGTCAACATCAAGAAGAGAAATATTATTATGCACCTTATGTCATGAAATATAGATATGATGAAATATTTTTGTTTCTTTTATCACTGAATTGAAGGCTTGAATTGAATTGAATATGACCGTTATGTACATCAACCATGATTTACAGGTGAATGGCTTTATTTACTACATGTAACATACAATGTATTATTGATTTTACATGTAAATATGATAAAATGTTTCTTCTGTCACTTGATTTTTTGTAGGAACGTTCACCAACCAGTACAGCAATCAGGCTGAAGACGACTGCCAGCCGTGCACCGCTGGCATGTACTGTGCAGGCTGGGGCCGAGCCTTGCCCAACGCGGAATGCGACGTCGGCTGGTTCTGCCACGCTAGCTCGACGGCTGCCCAACCCAACGGCAGCCAGTGTCTCTCCGGTCATCGTTGCCCCGTGGGTAGCCCTGATCAGATCCCTTGCCCCTCGGGCGAGTATCAGCCATTCGTGGAGCAGGGCGAGTGTGTGGAGTGTCCTGCAGGCTCGTACTGTGATAGTAACGAGGCTATCGACGAGGAGCAGAGCGGCGTTGGAGCACCCTCGCATGGTGTGGTCACGCCCAAGGTTTGCCCTGCAGGTAAACAATTACATATCAATTGTATCGTAACATGCATACTACACATTGTCTGGAGGCAGAAGGCAATAATTATGTTCTTTAACACAGGGTTAATGCTCTTCAGACTCTCAATACATTACATGCATTCAACATACATTTATTAATGTTATTATTGTTATATTACTGTATTTGAACGTCTGGATAATAATACATCAACTCAACTCAATAGATTACATAGTGATAATTGCAGTGGTGATAGAAAGTGAGACTAGAATAAATGACACAAGAGAACATAAGACTTTCAAAAAACAAACAAAAACAGAATACTAACATAAAGAAAAAAATCAATGTGTGTGGGAAATTTGTCTTAATATGTAAAGACATGTTTAGAGGTATAGACCGGTAGTGGTAAAATTGCGGTTCAAGAGCTTTGGGTGCAAAATATCCATTGAATATTGTTTAAATATTGCCTTCAGATGTTTAGATTGCAATACTTCAACCTAAATTTGCAAAAAGCAGAAATATATGCCCAAATGTTCAACGTTGAAGTGCATTCGCAATATCTATCCAGGCCGGATCGATATGATAATTTACTAAATATAGTAGGCGGTTACCCGGCAAAATTTTTATCACGTATTAGTCGAAACAATTCTTTCACATGTTTGGTAATAAGAGTTTCCCATTTCATTTTTTGAGAGGAAGGCGTTTCCAAAAATGGTCTATACCTTTAAAACAGAATCAACACACAGGATGAAAGCTGGCCCTGTCCCGCTGCCAATATTCAACAGACAAGAATACGTCCAGTAACACTAATGGACTTATTTTCTTCACAGGTTTCTACTGTCCGAATGGTACAGAGACATCACGGGAGTTCCCCTGTCCAGTGGGCACCTACAGCAACACCACAGGTCTGGAGAGTGAGGCGGAATGCAGAGATTGCCCCGAAGGTCAGTTTCTTTCATTCTCAGAACATGTCTTGACCTACCTTGACCTAAGCCTTCCGCACCATCTGGAAGATGTGTGATGGCTCCTACTTCATGACCTCAAGCCAGATCTTCCTGTCTTGTGATGTTCTTTTCACTTCTGTGAGGGATCCCAGACATCTAGTAGCACAATCAGCCTCTACACAATCTAACCATTTCTTGGCTGGTCTGCCCCTGGGTCTATCACCATGAATATTAGAAGTTAGGTGTATCTTTGGGTAGCATGTTATCTCATCACAAGTGTTAAAAGAAGACAACTACATTGGGTATTAAACTAGATGGAAGAATAATTTAGGTAGCACCATCTTGCAAGGAGGATCTGATGGGATAAGAAAGAGGGAAAGACTGACAGTTATGGAGAACCTGTGTCTCAAGGTCCATTTCATTGTCGCCCCAACAGCCTCCAAGCAATGGAACATGATTGATTAATAGGATAGATATGTCTTTATGGTCATTCAAGAGGTGATGCAAACAGTAAAGTATTACAAATGCCATGTGAAAGCTTTTTTTATCCACTTATTTTGTATAATTTGATATTCTGTAAACAAGTTTTGGGATTTATGCTATAGTACTGTGCTATATATATTAATTTTGTATTTAAGAAAAAAATTATTTGTTGTATATTATCATGCTATATAAAGGATAAGTGTGTTTGCAGTTTCATATTAAATGCTACATGCCCGTCACCGGTCACAGAATGATAGATCTTTGCACATTTTAAAAGATATGATAAACTTTGATTCACCTGTGCTGGAATTTCTAGAGTATTCACAACATTGATGGTTCGTCTCTTTGACTCTTGTTTCAATGTACGAAGAAAATCTGTATGCAGCACAAAGTTCATATTCACAATTTACAGTTTTCATTAATACGCTTATTCTCTTATTTGCATTTACCCCAGGCTTTTACTGCGAGGCTGAAAACATCACCGAGCCCACCGGCCTCTGCAGCCCGGGCTACTTCTGCGTCCTCCGGGCTTACACTCCCCAACCCGACGGCTTGGACGCCACCGGGGGCCCCTGTGAACAGGGCACCTACTGCACAGAGGGGTCCTCCTACCCCGCTCACTGCCCCAAGGGAACGTTCGGTCACGTGGACAAGCTGCCGGCTGAATCCAACTGCACGGACTGCTGGCCGGGGTATTACTGCATGGAAGTGGGTCTGACTGAACCCAATGGGACTTGCTACCCAGGTACTGGAACTGATTTTTCTCTTCCTGATCATTCACTTATTTTTCTTCACTTTTTATAACAGCAAATTTCCTGTTCACAAAATAAACCTTTCAACATCAATTCAATTCAATGATTGTCTACATGTATTAACCTGCAATTAACTCCTCTAGTCAGAAAATCAGATTATAATCGTAGACGATTTGCACTACTGTTCTGACGTCACTACAATTCTGAGCTGATTTAGCTTTTCCTCTTCAAAGAAGTCATGAAAATAATGCTGCCCTCATTGTGTCTTTTATATGTTCAAAGGTCAAAAATTTAGATTTTCTTAATCATATCACTTTTCAGATCCTTGTCATCAAGATTTTTCAATAGCATATTTTAGAATGTTTCAGTTAAGATTTTCATTGCTTATTAATCAAACTTAACAATGCATGTAGTTTGCTTGGACTGTTCTAATAATTATTATATAATTTCTTTTATCATGTATAAGAATTGTAAACTGTTGTAACGATTGCGATTCAGTCTTTGGACTGCGAGAATGGATAATATTCAATAAAATCCTTCAATCAACCAATCAATCAATTTTACATGTTTAAGTGTTTGTATCAAATGCTGTTGTAAATTCTGCCAAAATCAGATGTAGCCAGATCGTATAGTGTGCAGCGGTCTTTAGTTCTGATTAAAAGCAGGTTTGACTTTATGTGTTTGTAAAGCAATGCATAACTTACAAAAATCTCTCTTTCTTCTTAATCCCAGGCTTTTATTGTTCACTAGCGGCCATCGAGCCCAACCCGACAGGTCAATCCTATGGTGACGTGTGTCCAGTCGGTCACTACTGTCCCGAGGGTAGCTACGCACCAGAGCCATGTCTAGCAGGTACCTACCAGCCTCACGATATGATGACGAACGATACGGCGTGCCTGCCCTGTACATCGGGCATGTACTGCAATACCACGGGTCAAGCAGCAGAGACAGGTATGTACAGATGATGATAATGATGATGTTGATGATGATGTTGATGATGATAATGGTGATGATTTTTAAAGATATTTTTTATTATTTTCTCTCAAATCAAATGCATATTGTACAAATCATTCTTAACAACAACCGGATACATTGTACTTTGATATTTTGGATGATGATGATGACGGTGATGACGACGATGATGATGATGGTGATGATGATGATGTTGGTGATGATGATGGTGATGATGGTGATGATGATGATGTTGGTGATGATGATGGTGATGATGGTGATGATGATGTTGGTGATGATGATGGTGATGATGGTGATGATGAAGAAGATGATGATGATGATGATGATAATTGTGATAAAGATGATGATGATGATTATGGTGGTGATGATGATGATAGTGGTGAAGATGATGATGATGATGATGATAATTGTGATAAAGATGTTGATGATTACATCTGGTCTATGCCACTGCTGTACACTTAATATGGCATTTGCTGTTACTTCTTCAATCGAGAAATTTTCTTTCGCACTACGTTCTTTGATTAGCGATAATTCCGTTTATGTTTAGGTCAAAAGAGGATAGTTTACATACATGTACATAGTTTGCTAAATGACTATAGAAATACAGAGTATGGTCATTTTATATATGCTAATTAGTACTAATAGAAACAAAGCTACAATGTGATAAATAATGTATAGTCAATTAATGTATGAATATATTCATTAAATATTGGATACATGTATTATGCACATGGTTAGATGCATGCTGTGCACGTACCTGGTTACTTCCATTCAAACTATATAATAATTCAGTTACCATCAAAGAAAAACTTTAAATCCCTTTTTCCTTCTTCAGGTGAATGCTATGCCGGGTTCTACTGCACCCTCGGAGCAAGCAACCCCGCCCCACAGGATGGCGTGACGGGTAATATCTGCCCCCCTGGGTCTTACTGTGAGCAAGGCTACCCCACCCATGTCTACTGCCCCAACGGAACCTACACCAATTACTCTGGGGCAGACGCCTGTGATGATTGCCCTCAAGGTCTGTTTGTCTTTTTGTTTGGATAGTGAAAAGAATATTATTGAATTTGATTAATATATTGATTGGTTGATAAATTAATCAATGAACCTGGGCATTTACAAAGAGATGTCATAGTCTTAGTGTTGAGAGTGGCAAATGCAGATTAAATATAGGCTTGAGTAACTGAATTTTAACCTTATTCCTTTCTTCAGGATACTACTGCGTGAATCGCGACCGAGCTGACCCTTGTATCACAGGTCACTACTGTCCAGCTAAGACCGATGCTGACCTTTACAAGTGTCCTCTGAATTTTAACCTTGTTTTATCCAACTTTCTTCTTCAGGATACTACTGCGTGAATCGCGACCGAGCTGACCCTTGTATCACCGGTCACTACTGTCCAGCTAAGACCGGTGCTGACCTTCACAAGTGTCCTCAGGGCACCTACAATCCTCAGATGGGTATATACCAAGAGGGCCAGTGCCTCCAGTGCGACGGGGGCAATTACTGCCAGGAACCGGGGCTGTCCGACGTCTCGGGCAACTGCTCGGCTGGACACTACTGTGAATACGGTAAGAGAGGATTCTGATAACTATGATCATTATAATAATGGTGATGATGATAATAGTGATGATGATAATATTAATAATATTAACAATACAAATATTAATAATAAATAATATAATAATAAGTTTTTTAATAACTATAATGAGAAGCTACATTCATGTTGCACACATATTACATATCAGGGGATGTTCAAATCACCTACAAAGTACTATGATTACCCTGGCTTTGGCCCAGCTGTCCTAAGGTGCTCAAAGATTTCAAGCAAAGAATTCCTACCAGGTACCCATTTCCTACACCTGGGTGGAGAGTGGCAAATGTTGGCGGGAAATCACATGTGCCTTTTCCCCTTTGAAACTCAAATGAGAATACTGAAACTAAGCAAATTTTAAAATGTGACCTGTGTCATACTTGTGTGTTTGTTCCCTCTTTAAAATTTTTGACCCTAAGGGCATCTTTTTGTTGTTTCTTTTTCCTTTTTTTGGGGGGGGGGGGGGGGGCTCATCTTGAGATTTTCTCAGAACTGTGGCCAGCCCATTTCTGTTCGTGAAACCTGCCCCTCATTTATCAATGCTTTTCTTGTTCTTGACCATCAACAACAGGAGTGGACATGCCAGAGCCGACAGGTGTCGGTAACACTGGACTAGGCAACATTTGCCCACAGGGCCACTATTGCCCCGAGGGCAGTGTTGTCCCGCTCGGTTGCCCCGCAGGCCACTACACAGAGCTTACAACCCAGGAGACGTGCACAGCCTGCCCCGAGGGCTACTACTGTCTTCAGAACGCAACGACATATGAGGATACTATCTGCCCAGAAGGTGAGCACTTCAAAGTCAAATCTGTACCTCTTCAAATTGGCAATAAATTCCTTTTTAGCTGTGTTGGTACGATTTTATGATTTGATTTATTGATACATCTAATCTCTGAAAAGAAAATTGTCATAGAGAGGTACTGTGTATTTCACAACTCGCACATAATACAGGTAAGAAATGTAATGCATTTGAATAAGTCGTCCTTGTTTTCACGAAGTGACGGTAGTAAGGAAAATCGTAACGCAAAGTGAATGCATTTTTTTTTTTACTACCGTCACTTCGTGAAAACAGCGACGAAGTGATTGAATCTCCTTTTTTTTGTGTTGATGGTTTCTATTAGCTCTCATAGCTGTTAGTTGCATTGTTCTGCCATCATGCCAGAGGTTAAAGGTGAAAGTCTACATGCGATTTGAAATTTTTTCTTTCTCAGGTTATTATTGCCCAGAGATGACTGCCAGTCAATACGAGAACCCATGTCCTATGGGATCTTACAACCCGGTCAACGGAAGCAACGATCTTGAAGACTGTCTCTCCTGTCCACCTGGTGAATTCTGTGAAAGTAAGTGTGTGCTCCCCCCTATAAAATTGAATGGAACAGTCCTCTAGTATGTAGGGATATGTGGATAGACGATTCAGCCATTTATAAAGCAGGGATGTATATACCGGAAGCAATGATCTTGAAGACTGTCTCTCTTGTCCACCTTGTCAATTCTGTGAAATTAAGTGTGTGCACACCCTTGTAGCATTAAATGGAACATTCCTTCTAGTTTGCATGGGTATAGGGAAAGAGACTTCAACCATTTTTGATGCAAGAATGTTCGACCATTTATACAGAAGGAATGACGTCAAGTACTAATGTCCTCGAGGGGATCAATTGTTCATGGATTCTCGATTGCCAGAATGAATAGAATATCTAATTCTACATCCTTTTTTTTTCTTCCTTTGCAGCCGATGGCCTAAGCGCACCTTCAGGTAACTGCAGTGATGGGTGGTACTGCACAGGAGGATCCTACATGGCCGAACCCCAACAATCAGACAACGCCACCGACCTGTCCGAGTGCTCTTGCCCCCTTACCAATTACACTGGGGGCAAGTGCTGGCCGGGAACGTATTGTCCCAGTGGAAGTTACTACCCGGTGCCCTGCGATGCCGGATCCTATTGTATGGACTATGGATTGGCTGAGCCTCAGGCTCTTTGTGATGCAGGTAATTGTTGGAACTCCCCTATATTAGAAATAGAAAGGTCATTTTGGGTGTAAGAGTATGCTTTACCAGGCAGGGATGTTTTGTGCTTTAAGAAGATACAGTAATTACAAAGAATATAGAGGGGTTGTGGTTCAGTTGATAAGTCTCCGGACTGTGAACCACAAGATACGGGATTTAAATCCCTGCAAAAACACTAACGTCCTTTCGCGAGGTGTTCATCTACATTTGCCACACTCCACCCAGGTGGGGTAAATGGGTACCTGGTAGGATCATTCCTTGAAAGCACGCTGTTAATGGCTGCGAGAGTTAAAGCTAGGGTAATAATTTCAAAAGCTCTTTGGAAACGTGTAGGGAGATTATATCATAATGTGTTATGCGCTATTTTTTTTAGCAGATGTTTCTGCATTTATTGATAAATCAAATATAAAACATTCAAATAACAATAATAGTATATAATATAATTGATTTACATAAAGAGTGACAATTTAAATGAACACATATAAAAATGCATACATATATATATATATATATAATTGAAAACTTAAAAGTATGGAGGTAAGTAAAATAATCAAGATTAATGCAGAGGCCAACTATCATAAGCATGAATGCTTGAGTCGATAGCAGCCGATAGCAGAACAGATAATAATTATCATTATTAAAAACTCAATTATGTCTGTATCTCCCAACAGGTTATTACTGTAATGGTAGTGCTTCCCAGCCTGATCCTGACTATGGTATCTGTCCAGAGGGATACTACTGTGTGGAAGGATCGCCTACACCTACGCCATGCCCGGCAGGGACATTCTCTAACACCACACGTAAGTCCTAAAGAACTTTGCCATATCGTTAGAAACCTGTGTATATACATGAACATGTAAAGGTGAAGGATTAAATAAAATAATTTCATGTCAAGGCTCACATGAAAATTACCTCTCCATCAACTTGCTTGTGTGTTCTTGTGTTTCGTTGATAGAATATTTATTAGGATGCTTATTCAAAGTTGGTGTATTTATAGAACTTTGTCGAGCGCCAGGAGTGTAGCTGTAGTGTACATGTAGTTGTAAAGGCTCTAGACTCACTTATGAGAAAATCTGGGTTCAATCCTTGGTCGATGCTTACATCAAGCAAGATAATTTTTAATGATTCCTGACGACTCAAAACTACCAAGAATTCACAAGTCCTTCAATGGATGAAATAGAGGTAAAGATGTTATTGATTGCCATGACGTTCTCCTAGAGTAGATTATAAGTGTTACACGTACATGTGTATAGATGTGAAAAGTCATAGAGTCTTTAGTTTCAGAAAAGGCACCTAACCAAAAACTAAATTCCTGCAACTCATTTGATGGTTTTTAGCTGAAGAAGTGATAAATTACTTTCATTTCATTTAATTTATTTTCACATTTCTCATGTTACTTATACATTTCAAATAAAATTCAATAATACATAATAAATAACAAAGATAAGTGGTCAATATGGAGTACTGATTTAACTAAGAGAAATATGATGGGACCTCATGTAATTGAACATCAGTTCTCTTTGCTCTTCGTACTCCTGCTTCTGGTATTATATTTTGTTGGGTTCTGAAATCAAAAGTTATTGAGCCAAACCACAAAATGTTGAATGATTGTCGCGAAAGCGTTTTGATAATTTCGTTGTTGCATTCTCGCACTTCTTCCTACCACAGAGAACACTGAACGCTCCAACTGTCTGGACTGCATCTCCGGCATGTACTGTGCCGGCAACGCCTTGACCGCTCCTTCAGACGAATGCGATCAGGGCTACTACTGCCCGGCTGGTCAAGACACGGCCGCACCCGAGGAGTATAACTGTACCATTGGTCACTTGTGCGTGACGGGCAGCCCTGACCCAAGCCCTTGTCCGTCCGGAGAGTACCAGGATGAAGTAGGAGCATGGGAGTGTAAGGAGTGCAGCCAAGGATAGTAAGTCATCTATGATGATACAGTCAAACCTGCTTTAGTGACCACCTGTCTACAAGACCACATTTTTTGTTCCCTTGAAAATGGTTTCTCATTGAAACATGTACTAAAGGAACCTGTCTACAAAGACCACTTTTTGTGTCTCCCTTGGGCGGTTAATAATAATTAGATCAATTTATATAGCGCAGCTACTATACAAATATACTTTACTGTCGAAAACAAGAGAAGGAGGTAGGTAACAATTACCTTTTTGTGGCGAACAAGTACACTTTGAGCATTTCTTTTCAAGTGTATTTGGCGTTTTCCAAATCTCATGAATTATCATGATGGTGATCCCATCTCTTCTCTCACTTGATGGCCATTTACTCTACCTTTTCATAAACTTAGGGAGATCAGAGCCCCCTCTTCCTACCCCTCCCCCTCAACACCAGTGCCTCCATAATGACTATACCTATACTACACCACTGGATGCTACCAGACCTTATGCTGAAGTGTTCTTGTTGATATTTGGTTCTAGGAACGATTACAATTAGTCCCCTCCCCTCTATACTCCCCAGTTGGTGCTCGGTTTCCTTATAACCAAACCATCTTCCTTTCCCTTTACCCCCAGCTACTGCGACGCAAACGAAGCGGCCACATTCTATGGCGTTGTATCTCACGGTGTCGTCAACCCGACGGTCTGCCCAGCCGGTTCCTACTGTCCACCTGGCACGGAATCTGCCACGCAGTTCCCCTGCCCCTACGGAACCTTCAGCAACAGGACCCAGCGGGACAGTGCAGATGACTGCCAGGCCTGTCCTGGAGGCACCTACTGTGATGATCTAGGTAGGTCTTGTAGTCTTGCGGCTGAGCGAATCAGCATCGCTCTTCAAATTGGCAATACTAACGTTTGAAGTACGCTATGAATGGGCTGTTCAATTTGAAGATCGTGATGTTTTAGGGGTTTCTTTAAATAAAAAAATGTCCTAGAGGGGCCTACTGCGATGATCTAGTTAGGTCTTGCGGCTGAGTAAATCAGCATCACTCTTCAAATTGGCAATACTAATGTTTGAAGTACGCTATGAATGGGCTGTTCAATTTGAAGATCATGATGTTTTAGTTTTTTTTTAAATACACAAATGTCCTGGAGGGACCTACTGCGATGATCTAGGTAGGTCTTGTATTCTTGTGGCGGGGTGAATCAGCATTGCTCTTCAAATTGGCAATACTAACGTTTGAAGTACGCTATGAATTGGCTTTACCTCGTCAAGGCAAGGCATACAACCATGTATAAGCATATACGTTTATTCATTGGAACAGCAAAATGTCATTTGTTTCATAAAGATTGCCAATTTATAGTAATAATAAAAATGAATAAATTTGCATTTTAGTTTGTTGTCAATTTGAAGAATGTGATGTTTTAGGGGTTATTTTTAATAGAAAATGTATGCAGTCTGAAGCATGGTTGAACAAAATTATATACACTGTAAACAGTTACTAGATTGCGTATAGTAAAATGTATGTACAGTGTATGTGTACATGTTCCAGAGTATAGTGTAAATGCTATTGCAGCTATTGTAGAAAAAAGTTTTTATTTCTTCATCAGTTTCTGATATTATTTTGCATTCACACAGAGTCATTCATGTAAAACGTTCTCATACTTCTCTCTACGAATACAGGCTTGATCGAATACAAGGACCTGTGTGATGCGGGCTTTGTGTGCGTGTCCGGTGCGAACAACTCCCATCCCATCGACGGAGAGACAGGTTACGAATGCCTGCCAGGCTACTACTGTCCAAAGGGTTCAGACCAGGGGGTTAAGTGTCCACAGGGAACGTTCAGTAATGAGACGGGACTGGAAAACGTTACAGAGTGTGAACTGTGCACCCCTGGTTATTACTGCTTAACTGAAGGTAAGAACACAAAAGTTACCAAATGTGAACTAGCAGATCGAGTAAAACAACATGTGCCTTCCTTCATTTGAACTGCCAGACCCGCGTGCGTTCACAACCCCCGCGCTCATGCAAACAGGGAAACGTCCGTACGGCAGACAACGCCAACTCTGCCATCGCTCAGCACTTGCTGAACAATACTGTTCATCTTGGCTCAAAGTTCTCTGCCGAGCAAGAAACTTTACTCATCTGCGCATGCTCGAAGCATCACAAATTCAGTTGACCGACCTGCTTCTATGCAGACAGAAAGAGTTTGTTCGGACGCTTGTATTATTTAGCGATTATCCCGGTATAACCGGCTGGCAATAAGCCTAATTTACCGTTACCTTAGACAGCCAATAAGACCTTGATATATTCACGCCTTGTTCCTATGAATTTCCGTTTATATTGTTCGATTTCGGCTTTCTGTTTCATTCATTCTTGCGTTTTACTCTGAAGAGTGCAAGTCGAAAAGCTTTAGTATGGCTCTTTTCAACGCTATTCTCCAAATGTGAACAGTGCATATTTTATTACTGCTACAAAGTTTAAGGTAAGAACGCAATGCAGAAACAAGATGGGACGGAAGAATGCTCCCTAGTTTGAGCTTGCACTCTGGATTATCATTGCTAAATGGAAGGAAAGAATAAGATAGGATTAGATGTGCTGATTAACTGCCTATGAAATGTAAAATCACCCAATAAAATAATTTCTACACGTGTGCAGCGTTTAAGATATCAAGTAATCCCAAAAATCTATATGTGATATTATAATTATAGCAAGGGGATTGAAGAGCGTTAGGAGGAAAGATGATTTCATAGCAATACTATGGAGGAGTTAACTCATATTGATTTGAGTGTTTGTTCCGCCCCCTTAGAAGTGTGTCAAGTCATCTACTTGATCCACTCTTGTGTTTTTTGTATTTTTGTATTTAGGAGTAGATTTTAATTTCAATTCAATCTAATTTATTTCTCCACAAATGCCTAATATAGGAAAATACATAAAATAGAATACATACAATACAATAATAGAACATGTACAGCATATTTAAAGTGACTCCATATGGAACAATGTATGTTTTATAGAGAAAAATATCAGCAAATGTAGAAGGGGTAGTCAAAAATCCAAAATGATTTGTTGAGGACTACCCCCAATCGTATTAGCTTGTTGATGATTCATTGCCAGAAAAAATACTTATTGTACTTTATATTATCATTGTTATCGAAAAACTCTGTTTTTAGATGAATGCAGAAGAAAATCAAATCAAATCAATCAAATCAAATCAAATTTCATATTGAATTGAAACAATGTATGATTTACATGTTTCCACCATCTTAAATTTCCCCAGGACTGACTACCCCTAGTGGAGAGTGTCAGGAGAGCCACTACTGCACTCTGGGGGCCATCAATCCCAACCCCTCTGGGGAGAGCTACGGTGACGACTGCCCCGCTGGGTCATACTGCCCCGAGGGTAGCCCCGCACCGGAGAACTGTCCAACGGGGACCTACAATCCTCTGTCTAACCAGGCCAACTTGACCGATTGCTTGGATTGCCCCGGCGGCAAGTACTGTGCGGAACAGGGCATGACAAACTACACAGGTGAGACTCTTTTTTTCTTTTTTTTCCAAAGAAAAATTGTATTCAATCATTCTTGAGCAAGAAAAATACAATAGATTTGAACAAAGTAAAACAAAGATTGTTACATCAGTTGCACATGTCTCCTTTTATCAAGTAATACAATAAATTTACAGGTGAGACTTGGATTTGAGGTGCAGTTGTCATTCTAGAGGTATCGTGGTCTAGTGGAAACGTCACTGGACTGTGGATTACATGGTTCGAGGTTCGAGTCCCGCGGCGGCACTAGTGTCCTTTGGCAGGACATTAATCTACATTTGCCACTCTCCACCCTGGTGGTTCACGGTGGAGGGTAGGATACAAATGTGATGTGGTTAGATTGAAATGTGTGCGGCAAAGTCATGTGCAGATGAGCATTTGAATCCAATAACCAGGGTATTATTAATGCTGATGTAAACGTACACTGTAGCATTAAGTGCCAAACATACTATTACTATACTGTTACTATTATTAATATTTTTGAGACTCTAATGATAAGGTGACTGATGCTGTCGGCCAGAATGCCATGCCGATGAATGGTGACATTTATGGACGCATAAGGTGTTAATAGAACAGAATCATTGTATGAAGGGATGCCTAGAGAATAACAGTTTAATCTGTCAATGTCATATGACCTTTGTATCTGCCAGGTGACTGTGATGCTGGTTTCTACTGTGTGGGAGGGGCTGATAATGCCACACCCATGGGCGGTGATACCGGTGATGTTTGTCCGGCAGGAGCATTCTGTGTCCAAGGAAGCAGCTACTATGAACCCTGCGCAGATGGTAGGTAGAGTTACAGAATTAGGGCACTGTTTCAAGTTGAAATCATGTTTAAATGAGATCATGCCCAGGAAGGGGCTTTGAATAATGCTGAGGGAGAGAGAAGATAGAATAAATTTTGAAGAAAATTGAATCTCAAAGAAAGAGTTATGGTTGATTAATGATCTGAAGATTGCTACATGTACCGGTATGTAGTTAAGTCTAATTTGCAACTGTTTAATTAACTTGTTTGTTACAGGGCCCCGATTACAAGCAGATTTCTGCTTCTTAGGGGTCCTATCCATTAGATTGTTTGTTGTCATTGTCATTTTTTATTATAAAGCTTGAATAAAGATTTGAATTGAATTGATGGTATTCTTTCACTACCAATATTCACTTTTTGAAATCATAAATTTTCCATTTTGTGCCACAATAATGAATTTCCCCATGCTTCTGTCTTAGTTTCATGAATTACATGTTCTCACATGTACTCATAAACTGTATCTCCCTATATAAAAGAAGGGTGTTCTTGTACTACTGTAAAAATAAAGTATTTTGTATTTACATCCAAAGATTTTGGTTTTTAAGTAGTTCTGAAAGAACAATATTCTTGAAAGTTGTTTATATGTGTATTTGTTTACAAACTTCGCGATAGAAAAAAGGTAATATACATACAGTGTATATGTAAATCTTCATATATTGTAGAATAATGTTTTTTTTACCTCATGTGCAATACCCCCTCTCTCTCTCTCTTAGGTGACTACATGAACCACACCCAAGCCGATGCCTGCTACACCTGTCCCGCCCGCTACTACTGCTACTCCAACAAGATCAACCCGCTGCCTTGCCCAATGGGATACTTCTGTCCCCTGGGAACGGCGCTACCCGATGACCTTTGCCCTATGGGTAAGTCAATGCATGGCGATCCAACTTTCTTTGGTAAAGACAAATCAAGTAAACAGTGAATTCAGGCACAACACTAAATAGAATTATAAAATGAGCCACATGGAGTCGACCCTGTTATTGAGAGTCGGATGAATAAACTGCTATACCACAACAACTGCTATACCACAATGAAAGTAAGGTAGCCAAAGTGTAAATCTGTGCTTTGTCAAAATTTCTTCTCTGTACGAAGTTGCAACAACTGGAATTCCTTACCAGACTCAGCAGTCAGTGCAACAAGTGTAACCAGTTCAAATCCATCCTTGAGAAATATTGGTACAGCCGCCCCCTTAAATACAGTCCATACCAGAGAGATAGCAATATCTTTATGCCTCAAGATCGAAATAAGTAAACAACAAAATTGACCCCATCTCCGTGTAGCCAGATATGCATGCAGTTAACATTCTTAATTTACCTCTGTGGTATGATTCTTCTGTGTGGTCAGGTACCTACGGTCCAACAGAGGAGCTAGCGACAGCAGACGAGTGTGCCCAGTGCGACCCTGGATACTATTGCGACACACCGGGTAGGGTCAACGTGACTGGACCCTGTACCTCAGGATATTACTGTGAGACTGGTGTGAACACACCCGCCCCCAACAGCAATAACACTGGAGTTGGAGGTACGTTGATTCAGAGCCTGTTCGCACTAATGTTATAATTTGATTTATAATAATTTCTTTGTTTTTTAGGATGTTAACATGGAGCTGTGTGTATTTAAGAGATTTGTTTTGAAGCTTTCTGACTAAGATATTTGCTTATTACTTCTATCTTTGACTTTAAATTGATTGACAATTTCTCTGAACAAAATTTATCCTTCAAAACTTATTAAGAACAAATTAGAAATAGCCCACATGATAAACACCAATGTAAACAGAAAAAATATGCCGCAAAAATTATAAAGAAACTGACTGAATTTCATAAATGCAAATCAGCCAAAAATTATATCCAGTGAATACACAGGAAAAATGAATGTTGCTTTCTTGTGTTAGAAACCTGAAAAATAAAAACATAAAACATTTTATAATTGGATTAAAAACTGTGCCTCAGCTGATAAAGAAAGAGGGAATTGAATTAAATTTGTTGTAAAGTAATTGAAAATTATGATGGTTGTAAGTGTTGTGCATGAGAATCATTTAAACCTCTATTTTTAGAAATCTTGTGTTGTTCATGTGTGATGTTAATCCCTCCCCCCTAGGACCATGCCCAGAGGGAACGTACTGTCCCGGAGCCACTCCAGAACCCATCTCCTGCGAGGCTGGAACCTACAACTCACTCACCACCAAGGCTGCTTGCCTGGACTGTGAACAAGGCTACTACTGCGTCGCCAACTCAACCACCTACATGGATTCACCATGCCCTAGAGGTAATATTCTAGACGATACGTTCTTCATTTCAGTTTGTAATTTTTCTGTGAGAAATTTAGTGGAAGTTGCATGTACACTGCAAGCAAACATCATCGATTTTTCTCACATTCCGGTGTTTCATCTGTAGTTGCAAAGCAACATAGCAACTATCGGCAAACATTTAAAAAAATATTTAAAAAATTGAAATATCCACCTCTGGATTGAGTTTGGTATTTTTTAAACGCTTGCCGAAATTTCACTGATTTTTGCATCGTGTATCAAAACTTTGGTATGATTCCAATTTGTCTTCACGTGACTTCACGTGACTCACTTGCAGAGTAGCGACTAACCTCGCATGCGCACTACTCATCAAAAAGTCAGTATGAGCCAACACTGATTGATTTTCATGGGTTATCCCAGAGTGGTGTCAATGGCATTCATAAATATTGACGATTTAACCAAAATGGTGTTTGGGATAATAATAATAATAATAATAATAATTGAATTTATATAGCGCCTTTTCCAAAGGATACAAGGCGCTGTCTCCTAGTCTATCAACAATTACTTAAGAGGAGTTGTAGAGGTATGTTTTCAGTTTTTAAAGAAATCTAATGAAGTACTGTTTCTTAAGAAATAGGGGAGTTTGTTCCAGAGACGTGGACTGAAAGGTTTTGAAACCAGCCTGTTTAGGGGATTTGGGAATGACAAAGGTAGGAGCTGATGAAGACCTAAGGGAATATGATGTTCTCTGTTGCTGAAAGAGTGAGGAGATGTATACAGGAAGTGTGGTTGACATAGATGTGTATATGAGCCTTGAGATTAGATCAATACTTGAAGTGTTCACTTCGTCATATGTGAACAATATTTTATTTCAATCATCTGTTTGTCTTTGAACAGGTTATTACTGCCCAACTGGAACGGAATACTCCACACAGTACCCATGCCCTGCAGGGACATATAACAACAGGACCAGAGCCGATGACGTCTTTGACTGTATGCCTTGTACAGGTCAGTTTCTAAACACAAAATTTCGTTCTTAATAGGCCATGTTTGTGATGTAATTGTGATTTTGGGGCTTAGCCTTCAACAAGTGTATTCAAAAAGCACTTTTGAAACATTTGGTAAAAGCGCTTTATAAATACAGTCAAACCTGCTTTAGCTACCACCTGTATAGGAAGGCCACATTTTATTATTTCCCTTGAATATGGTTTCTCATGGAAACCTGTTCTAAAGTAACCTGTAAAGACTGCCCACCTATGAAGACCACAGGGCTGAGATTCCTCGGCGGATTTTCACCGATTTCGATATTTCAAGACGAGAAACATGAATTAAACTTTCAGATTATCATTAATTGTACATCTACCATTGACCTCACTACCTCAGCAGCATTTTTCTCTCATCTTAACAAATTATAGAGTCTCTTTAAGCAAAATGGGGTAACAAATATTTCTCAAATTTATAATTTAAATTCAAGGAAAATATTTTCCTGTTACGTTTAACCCCCGCCGGACCTCCATTTTATCTTCCTCCTTTTTGAAAATTTCTCTGTCTCATCCTTGACTTTTCATGTTTCCCTTGAGCGGTCTCTATATACTTGTTTCACTGTACCATGAACAGGGTATTATGATTGTTTTATTTTTACAAGAAAAACATCGATTTGAAGGGCAATAGCTGATTGATCTTTAATCTCTCACTCTCTCTACACTGTACTATGAACAGTGTATAATGATCGTTTTATTTTTACAAGAGAAATGTCAACTTGAAGGGCAATATCTGATTGATCTTTAATCTTTCTCTCTCTCTTTCTACAGCTGGCAAGTACTGTGAAGGCGATGGGAACGATGTCCCGACTGCTGACTGTGCCCCAGGCTGGTACTGCACCCGGGGTGCCTACAGCAGCAAACCTCAACCGGAGGTGAATGAGACTCTCATCTCAGAGCTCATGGTGGACTGTCCAGTCTACTCGCTCAACAGCACTGGAGACATATGCCCACCAGGTATGGAGAATACTTTGTTATAATAAAGCCCCACTGCACTAGTTTGGTCAGGAGGGATTAGACCTCCCTGCAAGGTCACTGACAGGTGGTTAGCTCATCAAATAAGCTCTCAATTAACATAAGAAAAAGAAGATGATGGGGGACCAATTGTCACCGATTAGGCATTGTTTGCTATATAGAGGGCGCAAGTGCAGTGGGACTTTAAAGCAAGTCGAAGTAAAATGACTTTACAGTTGTAGTCAGGTTACATCATTTCCAATTTTATTTTACCACAGCAGTTAATATTATCAATTTCATCAACTGGTAATAGGATTATGAAGGTCTGAAACAAGCTTTTTAATTGCACTGCCTCCCTCAGTATAATCTTATTCTTTTAATACAACATACTGACAATACTGAATATTGTGGTAATTGTTAAATGTTATGTTAAATATGTGATTATTTTGTTTGTATTTATATATTTATCTACATGTATGCACCTTCAAATGTCCGAAAACAAATGTTATGTATTTTTTTTATGACAATAAAATATCTTGAATCTTGAATCTTGATTGTCCTCATCCTTCCCTTCTCTCTCACTCACAGGTACATACTGCCCTCAAGGTTCAGACCAACCACTGCAATGCCCTCCTGGAGAGTTCTGTGAGGATTACGCCAACGCCATCCCCGACGGTGACTGCGTGGCGGGATATTTCTGCAACGGAAGCGCGGAGGTTCGCAACCCCGTGACCTGCTCACCGGGATACTACTGCCCCGAGGGAACAACCATTGAGGAACCTTGCCCACCAGGAACATTCTCACGTAAGTCTGAAGTTTGACGTTTCTTAACGCCCAAATTGAACGTTTTATGGGCTGTTAGGAGTGTCTCATAAGAAATGCAAGAGTAGTTATCTAAATTGCCAAATTTCTAAGGGAACTATTAAACTTCATTGAAAGTTCAGAGGTAATCTAGAATTTATATGCCTTTCACATCGATATGTGTATGAAAGAACAATAAGGTTGTAGTTGTTACGTAAAACATAAAATTTGTAAAATATTACAAAGAAAGGACAATGAAAACAATCAGTACATGAATCTTGTTGCATTTTTTTAGTTTAATAGTGTAGTTGCTTCACGCCTCAGGTAGACTTAACATGCTTTTCCAAGGAAGCGGACTTTATGAATCTAATTATAGTAGATGTTCACTGTTGTGTATTGGCAATTGAAAACTTTTCTTTTAGGAAAGAATATATTAATACTTACTTCACTAACCGTACATCATGGTGTTTACTAAAGGCTTTTTGATAAATAATATTCTTAATTTATATATTTTCAGCATTTTCGATGAACACCAACATCAGCGACTGCTTGCTGTGTACCGCTGGTATGTACTGCGAGAACTACGGCCTGGACAGCCCTACGGCCGAGTGCGCCGCTGGCTACTACTGCCCCGAGGGCCAGAACACGTCGCAGCCGACGGACCTGGCCTGTAGCCCCGGGCACTTCTGTCAGCAGGGCAGCTGGAACCAGACCGGTTGCCCGTCGGGCTACTACCAGCCCCACTGGAAGCAGAGCGATTGTGATGTCTGCCCCGAGGGGTCCTACTGCAAGGCATTTGGTGAGTAATAGAGAAATTAATGAATATTGTTAAAACGTATTTGTGGCTTACACCCAGTAAATAAGATCGATTTATCGATCTGTAATTGAAAAACAAGTCAGAAAAAATCTTTGAACCAGCGGGATTTTAACCTGCCATTTACTGCTTGCCGGGCAGCAACTCTACCACCAGACCATCACTGGTCCATGGCACAGTCACGATGAACTAGAACAAATATCTAAGCTCTCCTGATTTTTTCTGACTTATTAATATTCATTAGTCTCCCATTAGGACAATAACTTTTATAAAAAATTATTAATATTATTGTTATTATTAATAGCATTAGTAGTAGTAGTATCAGTAGTGGCGCTGGTAGTGGTATTACTATTATTTTTATTATTATTATTAGTAGTAGTATTTCTTTATTGCAACAAAAACTTTAGGTTGGATTTCAAATACAAGCAGTAAGAAAGGATGATCATAATGCTTGTCATGACAATGTCACAATGTGGTGCAAAGCGGCTATGATAAGTTCCCTGAAGTTCCTACTCTAAAGCAAATTGTGAACAGGAAAGTAGGTAGAAAGAATGATCATAATGCCTTGGGTGATATATTTTCTCCTGTGTCTGGGTTTCTGTTTTTATCAAGGATATATTGTAGGTTAAGGGAGAGATTTGCAATTGAGCTGTAGCTCGGGTGTAGACTAAGGATTAGAGTTGGGTGTAGTATTTGATCTTGGATTGAAGGAAGGAATCAAGTTGGTATAGGAAATTGACCATGAAGAGACTGTGTCTGGAACATGTGTCCAAGAACAGAACAAACATCATTCTTTTCTTCTTATTTTTATATTGAACTACAAATTTTATTTGTGCCTACAATGTCATATTGCTTCTCTGACTTGTTAATGCTTCAGGGGACTACGAGACCTTGGATGCCGAAAACATCACCGAATCTGGCAACTTCACCGGCCGTTACCGCAGTTACCGGGGCGTGGACGTTCCCGCAATCTGTCCAGGAGGGTCATACTGCCCCGAGGGAACGGAATTCGGCACCCAGTACCTATGCCTTGAAGGAACATACAGCAACCAGACTGGACTTTACAACGAGACACAGTGCACGCTGTGTGAACCTGGAATGTACTGCCCTGGAGAAGGTATGATCATTGTCACTCTTTCTTTTTGTTGCTTATTCTTTTTTTGTTTAGTATGTGTAAACTTTGTGCAGATTTGGGTTTCATGAGAATGTGAAATATTAAAGCTTACATCTAAAAGTACTCAACAAAGCCCCTAATCCAAGCAGTCAACCTTTCATTCTTGACGTATGAAAATCACAAAAAATATCAAATTTACAAGGGGTATGAATTATTTAGTTGTTAACTGTATGTGTTACCCTATATTTTGTCTGATGATAGTTGAACTTACCAGTTTGGAAGAAATTCCTTGAGTGCTTGAGCACTTGTTCATGGTAGCTCAGCTAAAGTTGGGTAATGATATGATTGCAGGGCCCTCAGGGAGAACAGTATAAATACTGATGAGGCTACCCTGGGTAAACAAGACACATTATTATTAAATTATTATTAGAAACCAAATTTTCTTGCTGCCTGTATGTTACATGTTTATTTCCTTACTCCAGGAAACATCACCCCATTCGACTACTGCGCCCCAGGCCACTACTGCACCCAGGGAGCGTCCAGTGCCACGCCCATCGACGGAGTCACAGGTGACGAGTGTCCAGCGGGTCGGTACTGCGAGACCGGTAGCATCACAGGAGTGGGCTGCCCCAAGGGTACATTTAGTAACCAGACTGGTCTGATGGGTGCTGACCAATGCTGGAATTGCACCGCTGGTCACTTCTGTGGCCGTACTGGATTGACCGCTGTCTCCGGACCATGCTGGGCAGGTAAGGCTTTGCTAAGATATCTTTCTATCCAAATTCTCATGTTGACCAAAAGAATACTGAATACTCTTATCCCCATAGGCTTAATACCAGGATCATCCAGTTTTGGAAAGCAATATATTAAACCAGAAACCTTAATGGTATGAAAATAATGGCTGTTTACGTGGCAAAACAAAATGTGTAAAACAGATTCATTTTGTAATATTCTCATTTCATGAAGCTTACACACCCCTGCTCCCTACAAATGAAATTAAATATAGAACAACAATATTTACTGATCAAAACCTACCAAGCTGAAGACTGAGCTGTGAGAAGAGCTATGAGAAGCGATATAAGGCATGATAAATAGTTAGTAACGAAGGACAACGGCTTTATGCAAATCTGAATGAAATATATTGACAGCATATAGAGGAAAACTTGGTTCTTCCATGTATTGTAAGATTTCCAATGTATGACAATCTTTTAATTCATGAATGATATTCTACACGGGTGCAGTTGTGAGTTGGTCAAAGGAGGTGCACACCATCTTATTCCTTGTTTGTTTGATCTCATGTTTGATCTTATTTTTATTTTTATAATTATATATGCATAAAATATTTTATAATTTGCGTGTTTATTATAAGTTTTGATTGGTAAGTTTTAGTCAGACAATGGTGCGCTTAGAAACAAATGTATTAAGCGCCTAATAAATTGTTGTGTAATATTATTATTATTGTGCTTTTTTCTCTAGGCTACTATTGCTTGGGCTCATCTGAGGAAGCCGCCCCAGTGGGCAAGGCCTATGGAGACGTCTGCACACCGGGCCACTACTGCCCCAATGGGACGGACGTCCCGGAGCCCTGCCCTCCAGGAACTTTCCTTGACATTGCAGAAGCGGAGGAATTAGATGACTGTGTGCTCTGTAGTGCAGGTACATGTATGAGGATGTTAGTGCTCTAATGAATTATATATACTGCGATGACAACAACTCTTGGCAGAGGGTTAGAGTTAGGGTCAGGGTTGTTATTAGGTTTTGGTTTAAGGTAATGTGTTCATGTAGTGTTTAGTCTAGAGTTGAAGTTAACAATCTGGTTTGCGTAGAATGTCGTAGCTAGGGCATGCCAATGATTATTAGGACAATGATGATGATGATGGTGGTGAAAATGTTGTACCTGAATTTGGTGTCACCTGTGCCAGAGAGGGGAAAAGCAAACTTAATCACTATACCTCAAGTATCCCTCCTCCTGGCATAACTGATGTGTAGGTCCACGGCTACATCAGGGTTCACCTACAGACTCTTCTGCATTGTGCAATAGGGTATTGGTGTACATGTACTGGCAGATGGTTCCTCTCCTTCAGTGTTGATTACGATTATTGATTTTATTCACAATGGCTGTACAAGTACTTGTACCCTAAGGGACTTCTAACCTATTCTTATCTTCCTATGCCAAATTCAGGATCTTACTGCGAGACCCCCGGCAAGACCAATGTGACGGCTGAATGTTCGGAAGGCTTCTACTGCTCAGGGGGCTCCAATCAGAGTAACCCACAGGATGGAATCACAGGTAACAATCTATTCTGATTGGTCAGTTTGAAAATCTCTCCATTCTTATTGGTCAGTTTGAAAATCTCTCCTTTCGTATTGGTCTGTTTGAAAATCTCTCCATTCTCATTGGTTCAAGTTTCAAGTCTAAAGTACAAGGTGCTTTCAAGTTTCAATCTCTGAGAGATAGTGAACTGTACATGTATATACATGTACCTGTTACACTTGCATAGAGTTATGTATTGGTACTTTTAACAGTGTGTAGAAGATGAAAATTCAATAAAATGACAAAACACTTGTCTTTAAATGCTGTACGGAATGTTAGTATAAATAGCTTTGCTATTATGAATATTGTCAACCATGATAAGGGTGTATTCACACAAATGTGTGCTTATCTAAACTTTGTGGAGTAGTTCTATCACATGGTTATCTTGAGTGTATGTATGCTAAGCAAAATATGTTGCCTCTTGGTGCTTTGCCTTGCAGCATTGTGGCACTTTGTTTTGATATTGTTTCATGCCTGAGATTTTCATTTTGAACTCCTCTTAAAGACACATAGGAGTGGGCTCTCATGGGTATTTACCCGATAACAGGTGTTGTCAATCACCAGGATTAGCCTTCAGTATTATGACCAACAGGCTTTATGTACATGTAATGCTTTGCCTTCCCCCATACGTATGGTAAATTCATTATCTGACATTTCTACCACCTGAAAACACTCTCTGAGAGACTAGAGGGTATTCTTGATTGGCCTACAGGTTCACTGTGTGCAAACTTCTACACCCATTAATGGTATTTCCACTAAGTCTGGTGTTGTTGAATTATGACCTTCTGCACATGGAAACTGACAATCCTCTCCCTTAAACAGGTGACATCTGCCCAGCCGGTTACTTCTGCGAGCTTGGCTCCGTAGCCCCCGTCCCATGCCCCAACGGAACCTATGTCAACCACACCGGAGCAGCTGCATGCTACGTCTGTCCCGCTGGCCGACAGTGTATCCACGGCGACACCGCTGACCTTTGCCCCCAGGGCTACTACTGTCCCGAGGGCACGGGCCACGACGCCATCGCCTGCCCTGCTGGCTACTTTGGCAACAGCAGCGGGTTGGCCCAGGAATCAGAGTGCACGCCTTGCACAGGTAGCTTATTCTGATGCTCTTGCAAGCAATTCACAAATGATACTTCTTACAGTGTACCGCATGGCATCAATATGATTGTGCTGTAGGGCTATCTCATAATGCTCTTATTCTTTTTTTCCCTATTTCTTTATTTCTTTCTGTATTTTGTTCATTGTGTCTTGATAATCATGTTTTGTTAGGTTTATACCATCTTTGTTTATTGTGATTGTGGTAGTTTGAACACAGATGTTAATATTAGTATACTGCACTACAGGCAATAAGGGGGGGGGGAGATTATTAGAGTAATTATGATATTAATTACTGGAATTATTTTCAAGTTTTTAGGAAAGCTAAAAAGTGATTGGTACCTGGATGGTTTTTGAAGAGATTAAAGCCTGATTCAGTTTTAAACCATTTATACTGAATTCACTTTCAGTAAAGGAAATGTTTACAAGTTGATGCATATAAATGGTACAAACATAAGATGGAGAATTATGATAACAATAGGAATATTTGTAGAGGATGAAGCCTGAATCTAAATCATAAATGCTTGTGATTTGTTTCAAGAAAATCCCTCACATCTTTTTTCGACCCAGGTGGATATTACTGCAGCACACCTGGTCTCGGTCGTGAAGACAGCCAATGCACGCAAGGCTTCTATTGCGAATACGGTGTCGACGTGGCCACGCCTTCTGGTAGCCATACCGGAGTGGGCGGAGTCTGTCCTGAAGGAAGCTACTGCCCGACGGGTTCGGTTCTTCCTTTGGAGTGTGACGCTGGCACCTACACCAGTAGCCCACGTGAGAAATAACCCACTTTCTGTCACTTTAGCTTTCTCTCTTCTCAGATCATTTGAATTATTTATTCCCTAAACCGAAACTGTCAGTAAATTGTCAGTAAGTGTCAGTAAGTGTTTTAGCTTTGTGATAGTGGTAATTGTAGAATTAATCTTATTTTTTTTTTATGCATCCATCTGAAATTTTCCAATTGTTTTCAACCATGTATGTTGTTTCCAAAAAATGAAAACGGACAAAGTACCTCCTCATATTCTGCTCTCCTAAATGGTTTCTCCTTTCTTTTCCTTCATTTTTTCATCTCATTATACTCTTTATTAAAGTGGATTAAATAAATCAGATATTTGTACATACACTGTTAGTGAAATATGCGGGCACTTTTTCTCCAATTCATGTCAGAAAGTCCATACCGCATTTAGATTTATCATCGGATTCATTGTGTTCCTATCATACAGAGCAATCCTCATGTGATGCATGCACAGCCGGCTACTACTGTCCATCCAACACCAGTGACCCTACCATGTATTTTTTTTTTATGCATCCATCTGAAATTTTCCAATTGTTTTCAACCATGTATGTTGTTTCCAAAAAATGAAAACGGACAAAGTACCTCCTCATATTCTGCTCTCCTAAATGGTTTCTCCTTTCTTTTCCTTCATTTTTTCATCTCATTATACTCTTTATTAAAGTGGATTAAATAAATCAGATATTTGTACATACACTGTTAGTGAAATATGCGGGCACTTTTTCTCCAATTCATGTCAGAAAGTCCATACCGCATTTAGATTTATCATCGGATTCATTGTGTTCCTATCATACAGAGCAATCCTCATGTGATGCATGCACAGCCGGCTACTACTGTCCATCCAACACCAGTGACCCTACCATGTACCCCTGCCCCGAGGGCTACTATTGCCCCCTCAGCACCGGCTACGCCATCCAGTACCCCTGCTCCGAAGGGACATACAACGGTCTCGCTATACAGCAGGATAGCACTTCCTGCGACCTTTGCCCTCCGGGGATGTACTGCCAGGGCGAGGGGTTGCCAGCACCGACGGGTAACTGCTCGGCCGGCTGGTTCTGCACTGGGGGATCGGCTAGTTCTATGCCTCTACCGACAGGTTGGTGCTCCAGCTCAAAATAGATTGAATTTCTGATTCCAGTCTAACTTGTTCTAGTTATATTGAGTATATTCCAGCTTTATTGGAGTTGAAGATACTTATCCAGCTTACATCAACCCAGTTGTATTCAGTCCAACCATGTTCAGTTCAAGGCAACAAATGATTGGAAGAGTGTTTTTTATAACCTGTTGAAAATCCCCAAAATAGTTTCATTGCCCTAGTTAAACTATGTTTATTCTATCATTAATAATGAACAAAGATCCGTTAAAAAATATATATTGTTATATATGGTATTGTTATATGATTTGTATCGCAGGCAATGCATCGGTCATCTCAGACTGCACCTGTCCCGCGGTGAACTACACCGGCAACAGATGTCCACCTGGTACCTACTGCCCAGCAGGGGCATCCAGACCTATCGACTGCGATCCGGGCTACTACTGTGGAGACTATGAGCTGGACACTCCTTCCGGTAAGAGACAGGATAGATTGTTGCTTTGGTGATGGTGGTGTGGTGGTGGTAGTGATGATGATGGTGGTGGTGGTGGTAATGTTGACGTCATTGGTGTTGGAGTTGATGGGAAGGGGAGGGGATCGGATGATGATGATGATGATCATCATCATCATAGTGGTGGTGGAGATGAGGATGACAAAGTCTGTAATGGTCACAGTGATGATGGGTGTGATGACAATGATGGATTTAATGAGGTGAAGAAAAGGAAAAATTAGTTAATTGTTAATAAAAAACTAGTGCACACATGTGATCATTGTTTGTGGAATCGTCCCAATCGATCACCTCATTTTACAAATATCAACTTCCATGAGCTTGTCGCTTTAAGTCGATCCCCACAGAATATTGTAATCATACTTCTATCTTCTCCTCCTCAGCACCATGCAGTGCAGGCTTCTACTGCCCGGGGGGCAACGACAATGCTGAACCAGAGGGCTTTGATTGTCTAGCTGGCCACTACTGTGAGATGGGCTCAGCCTATCCTACCCCGTGCTCCAATGGAACGTTCTCAAACACCACAGGCAACACAGAGCCAGCCAATTGCGAGTCTTGCACACCAGGTGAGTGGAGTAGTCCACTTTTTTTAGGGTTGTTTGAAACATCACATGTACATACTCCTGTTGCTGTGAATTTACAGATGCATGTCTTTCATTAAGATCCATACAGAAAGCATTTCAAAATTGTTCTAAATCTGCTCGTATATTCTTTTGTTAGTAAAAAAACAGCTTATTCAAAATCAGATTAAAAACAAATTGAAAGGACCTTCCTGTCCTCCTTATGCCACTATTGAAAGGAAACACATACAGTGTACCGGTACACGTATGGCCCTCTACTGAAAATTGACAAGGATTGACAAGGATGTTTACTATAATGATAAAATCATATACATGCTTACACGTGTATGCATGTCTTTTGAGCTTTAAGTATCGCAACTCTTTACAATACATTATGGGACGTTCATGTGTATTTAGTCCTTTTTCCCCCCTTCTAATTCTTTTAAAACAATACACACATACATCTCTTTGCCTCTAAAGGATCCTACTGCGCCGGTGAGAGTCTGCCTGTACCCTCAGGTCTGTGCTACGCCGGCTTCTACTGTCCTGGCGGTCAAGCAACCAAGACCCCCGTCCATTTCACATGTCCAGCTGGCTTCTCTTGTCCAGTCGGAAGCACTGCTCCCCAGCTTTGTGTCAGAGGTATGTGTCATTTCTTTGTTTGATTTTAGTTTATCTAAAATAAGTGACTTTGACGGCATTAATATTCAGAGCTAGTTTGGCATGAATCCTGAATCTTGATTAAACGTCATGAGTGTAAGCTTCGTGAACATGTATTATCATTTTGTGTTCAGGTTGTCTGTTTTGTGATGTATAGAGTACCGGTATTAATGTAAAATGTAGATAATTACTGAAAAAAAGATACATGTTTTGATGCATACAATTCGGTAGAAAGAGATAGTTGTGTTTGTAAAAAACACAGATTTCATCTTGGATGTTTTCTCTTATGATGCATACACCGTAGCCTAGATTGTCCATAAAGTTATGATTAAAAAAAATGGGTTAATAACTTGTAATCTAATAATTAGGAATTACTATCTGCACTAGTTTGGCCAGGAGGGATTAGACGTCACTACATGGTCACTGACAGGTGGTTATCTCATCAAATAAGCTCTCAATTAACATAAGAAAAAGGGGACCATGGGGGACCAACGGTCACCACTTAGGCATTGTTTACTATATAGAGGGCGCAAGTAGCTTTAAGTACTACAGTGAAGCTTTAAGTATTAGTGGATTTTATTGTTTATGAAAAGAAAAGTAGTCGTTATTGGCAACCCCATAAATTTGTGTTCTCTCTCTCTATCTCTCTCTTTCTCCCTCGTAGGTACATACCAGTCATCCGAGGGTCAGGGCGCCTGCGACCTTTGCCCCGAGGGGTCATACTGTGACCCCTATGAGCTCAATAACGTGACGGGCGTGATTGTACCCCAGGATTGTATCATGGGACATTACTGTCCGAACGGAACAGAATACGCAGAGCAGAACAAGTGTCCTCCGGGCACGTACTCCAATCAGACAAACCTCGCCAGTGTGGGTAAGTTCTGGAAGTATTCCTCTTTAACTTAAGATCCACAAAGGGGTTAAAAGCTCATTAGAGGAATTTGTAACTACCGGTAGTTTTGGTGCCTTGCTACCTTGCAGGAAAGTTGGACTGATTGTATTTTGCTAATTACTGTTTGCAGTATCAGGAGTATTGAAACTGTGTAGGTGAAGCTGTTTGAATACAATCTTTCTTTATAGGGCATTTTATCTTTTCTCTCTTAAGCAACCTTTATTGACAGGTTTATTTATGAGGAGAAATTAATTCCACTACATAATACTGTATTTAACAAAAGCTTTCTGTTTAATATAATTAAAAACAATTTTGATTGTATTGAAATGCGAGGGTTTATCATTCTAACAATGACCTCTATAGACAGGCTCTACCATTTTAATAAGGATGATAGATTACTTTCCCAAAGTGTACGAGTGTGCGAGTGTACCCAATGTGTATGTTTATAAACAAGTTTGACTGTATTGAAATAAGAGGTTTTTCACTCTAATAATGACCTGCTCGACCATTTTAATAAGGATGATAGATTTCTTTCCCAAAATCCTCCTCTAATCATTCTCATCCTCTCTCTCTCTCTATGTTAGGCGAGTGTACTGATTGTGATGCAGGCTGGTACTGCGACGAGGCCGGTCTGCAGGCGCCCAAGGCAGAGTGCCAGGCAGGTTTCTACTGCACCCTAGGGTCAAGCGAGCCCGCCCCCGAGGACGGGGTCACGGGAGATATCTGCCCCATAGGGATGTTCTGCGTCCAGGGATCCGTCACAGGTAAGGGCTTATTGCTATTTGGTCTACAACCAGGGGCATGTTTCACAAAGCCTTTTTTAATGACAAATGACAAAAATCAGTGACAAGTCTTCTGGTAACCAATCAGAAGCAAGGATTTCAGTAGCTTATAACAAAAACTGTCATTTTACTGATGACAAGTTTTGTGAAACACCCCCCAGTTCGTCAACTATCCAATTGGTCTAATCCCATGGTACATCATACTTCCTGAATTCCTCAATTTAACCCTGAACACAACACTACATTTAACCCTCAACTCAACTTTCCTCCAAATCAAAACTCAAGCCCTACCCCTGTATCATTGATCAAACGTGGCTGGAAAAAAAATGGCCCGGTTTGTGCTAAGAAGTTCTTCTCGATTCACCGCACAATCCCAATTAAGCCGTCACCTTATGAATGATGAGGCAAAACAATGAATGATAAACATGTGATAATGATCTTGAAACTTTCTGTAACACTTTATTTAAAAGCATTTGATATAGAATTTTAGACTAATATCAAACTTCTTTTATAAACAGGTGAGAACTGTCCAAAGGGTCGCTATGGCAACCAGACCGGTCTGCGTACAGCCGGAGAATGTCCTCTTTGCGATCCAGGCTCCTACTGCCCCACCGTTGGCCAGTCCGAACCCTTTGAGGGATGCCTGGCTGGATTCTACTGTGAGCTTGGCTCTGACCGCTCTAACCCGACCAACGGTACAGGGTACCTGTGTCCGATGGGCCGCTACTGTCCCGTGGGCACTCCTGTACCCATCCAGTGTCCAATGGGGACTTACAACCCTGAAGAAGGTCTGTAGAATGATGTTTTGATGTTCCTATTTTTCCAAACCAGAAAAGGCTCTGTTATGTGCAAAATGATACATGTAAATTTGTACAGTGCGTCCCAGAAAAAACGAAACTGAAAATTATTGATGTTTTATCATAACTTAACCACAATTGTAATTAATAAATGACACTTATTTGTAAAGCTTAGATCCTCCTCTTTCAGTTGATGCTACTCATATGATGCATATTTCACGCATGATTGATTAAAATTAATTTGAAGAGAGGGAACCAAAAAGTCATTTGGCAGACAGTATCTGAATTTCAAAGTGAAAATCACATTTCTAGAAAATTCAGTTTCTGCCCTTTCATATGACACCTGAATAAGGAAAAACGAGCTAACAATAACAAAGTTCATTTCAGTAATTTACATTTCCATAATTTTATTAAACAAATTTGTTTTCACTAGCTGCCTGCCGCAAACGGAAGGGTACTGTTTTATTTCTACAACCTATTTATTATTATATGTAGTTTTATTTTTACAGAGTAGAATTGTCAGCTACACAACTGCTTTCCACAAGCCTTATTAATTAAGTTATTTTTCTATTTGATACAGGCAAAGATACCATTGAAGATTGTGTAGGCTGTGATCCAGGCTTCTATTGCCAGTACGAGGGACAGTCCAACATCACCGGCACCTGTATTGAAGGCTACTACTGCATGGGAAACGCCTCTATCCCCAACCCGCAAGGTAGTATTTCTATGTTGTAGTCATGGTGGGGGTGGTGATCATGGTGTTGATGGCTGTGGTGGTAGTGGTGGTGGTGATGATGATGATGATGATGGTGGTGTTGGTAATGATAGTGATGATGATGGTGATGATGATGGTGATGATGATGATGGTGATATTGATGATGGTGATGATAATGATGATGGTGATGATGATGATGATGGTGATGATGATGGTGATGAGTATAATGGTGATGGTAATGGTGGTGGTGGTGGTGGTGATGATGATGAAGGTGGTGAGTATGATGGTGATGGTAATGGTGGTGGTGGTGGTGATAATTGTTGTGGTGATGATAGTGATGGTGCTGATTACGGTGGTGTTGGTGATAACAATAACTATTAATATAAAAAATGTCCATTCCCTCTTTTTCTTTCTAAAGATCAAGTGACCGGTGACATCTGTCCGATCGGTCACTACTGTCCAGAGGGCACCGGCTATCCCCTGCCCTGTAACAATGCCACCTACATGAACGACACAGGAGCATCAGAGTGCTTGGTCTGTCCAGAGGGCTTCATGTGCGTTCGAGGGACGGAGCCTGATCCCTGCCCAGCTGGCTACTACTGCCCCATGGGAACTGGATACGACGTACAGCCATGCCCGCAAGGTAAAAATACCTTAGACATTAAGAGAGCCTGTGCGTATGTGGTGGTGATGTTGGTGGTGTTGATGGTGATGATGATTGTGATGGTAATGGTAGTGATGGTGATTTGACTCCTTTGGTTTGAAAGTCATCCAGTGTATGTTGCATGTATGCCATGTTTATTATTTTATGTACATGTAGACATACATGCGAGCATGTAAGAAAAAAAAACCTCTTGACGTTCCTGCATAACCCTTTGAAGATTCCCCCAAAAATATGTTTTTGCTCAATCAGAGTTTGCAATTTTTATATTTGTCTTTTTAAATTGTTTACCTCTGGTAATGAATGTTTTTACACCATAATTCAATGTGACCACTAGTTTGGAAAACATTTTATCCAAACTAACAGGAATAATGAATATATTTCACACAAGTATGTACATGTCTGTCATTTATACCAAAAGATAAATAAATAAATTAAAGGTGTATAGACCTCCTTTTTTTCGTTCTGTTTGCAGTACTTTTTTTCAGTAAGATTATGTTTGTTAGATTTTTTCAACGTTAGTTGAAGATATCTTTTAAATCCTTGATTGCATTTTGTTAACTTCTTAAAAGATACAAAGTTTATTTTTTTTTCTTCAAATTTGACTATTAAACCCAAACTGTGTTGCCAATTTGATAATTTTGCTGTTTCCAGGTACATACGGAGCTGGTACTGGGTTAGCGGAGGTGGGTGAGTGCACTGATTGTCCTGGCGGATATTACTGTGAGAGCCCAGGCCAAGATTCAACGACCGACGAATGCGACCCGGGATTCTTCTGTACTCTAGGTAAGGTCAAAGGTCATATACTGCTGTGAGATTAGAGCCATAGTGAGCTTTTTTTCCTGCATTTGTTGCAGAAGTGATGAAATTGCTGAAAGAAAAAAAAAGAAGAAGCTGCATCTGGATTGTTCTTGTGAAATAAACAAAACATGATTGATTAGATTCTTTGAAATGTTTTATGCAAGTGCACATTTAAGCATTTACAGGCAGCAGAACTAAATAGTATCTCTTAGTTTTTGTCTTTACACAAGCATGAAAATAGTGTTTACAGGAGGCTTGATATACCTTTGTTCCCTCATTGGAAATTAAGTATAGAAAAATTGCAATTATAGTATTCATATCAGTGAATAAATCAGTGAAGAAATAATAGTTTTGATTATTTTCAAATAATTTCAATGTATTGATTTTTGTCACATTTCATTATTTTAAAGGTAATACAAAGTTTCAGGAAATTTTGAAAATTTGGCGGATAGTGATTCTTTACAATTTTCATATATTTGGATGCCCCTGTGGATGTATTATAAGCACTAGAAAATTTAGCCTCTAAAACACTTCTGCTACCGGTGCTCCCGGTAATTTTTGATTAATTTCAAATAGCGCCTATGGACGTACAATGATAGCTGTGACCATGAAATTCTCAGAATATGTAGTTGCGATATATAATTTCCAAACGGGAATAGCTAATTGGTCGATTTTAGTCAAGAAACATTGTTTTATAGCTTAATTAATATCTTGACCTTGAGAGGGAGCTAAACATCATAACGAGTTTATTATTTACAATTTCATAACTTTATACTCGATTTCAACCGTGATAACGATCACTGAATATTGTAGGATCACATATGCTTCCAATATCTTCATTTGAACCAAATTCATGACCCCATACCAAAACTTTGTATTACCTTTAACTAATTGTTCTCTCTTGAAACAGGTGTGAACGTACGAGCTCCTAATGGGCAGAATAATACCGGGGTCGGAGGTCATTGCTACGCAGGTCACGAGTGTCCGACGGGAACAGCTTCTCCTGTCCCATGTCTGGCTGGGTTCTACAGCGGCTACACGCAGAGAGCTAGCTGTGATGTTTGCCCACCAGGTAACAAAACTGACGGGGTGGTGGTGGTGGTGGTGGTGGGGGTGGTGGTGGTGGTGATGATGATGATGATGGTGAAGGTGGTGATGAAGATGATGATGATGATGATGATCGTAGTGTTTAGTGGTGGTATTACTAATGCCAATGTCTGGCTGGGTTCTATAGCAGCGACACTCAGAGAGCTAGCTGTGATGCTTGCCGACCAGGTAACAAAACTGATCGGGAGGTGGTGGGGTGGTGATGATGGTGATGATGATAGTGATGATGATGATGGTGATAGTGATGATGGTGGTGGTGGTGATGATGGTGATGATGGTGATGATGATGATGATGGTTATGATGATGGTGATGATGATGATGATGATGGTGATGATGATGATGACGATGATGGTGATGATGGTGTTGATGATGATGGTGATGATGATGATTATGGTGATGATGATGATGATGGTGATGATGATGATGGTGATGATGATGATGACAGTAATGTTGATGATGGTAATGTTGCTTATAATGATTTTCATTCATGTTGGTAAATTGTTGGTAGTGGTGCTTTCATTGAAAATAGGTTCTAGAATGCCTGCAATAAAAAAATAGTGAAAGTACACCACATCACTCATCAGGTTCCTATAAAAAAAAAGGAATAATACATGTCTAAGATACATGTACATGTGTGCATACCTTCTAGTGCGTACAAAGGTAAGATGTGATGCACTGGTAAGGTTTCATGCTCAACTTTTAACACATTTTGTCTCACCTTTCCTTCAGGCTATTACTGTGAGAATGCCACTGTTGTACCTCTGGAATGTCCAGTCGGTCACTACTGTCCAGACGGAACCGATTACAGTGACCAGTACCCTTGCCCAGCCGGAACATATAACAATGTCACAGGTATTATACAAGTACACAAATTTCTGCCATATTCAATTTTTTTCTCTTTTCAATAACATTTGGCCCAGTTTTTCCCTAAAGCTAGATAATATCAAAATTTGTACATAGAATCATGAAAGCTTTAGAAGGTAAAAAGACAGCACAACAACAACAAATTCAACTCACCGGGAGACATTTTTCCACAGCGCTATACAATGTATTTTCTATTCTTGACTCTGTACATGTATGCTACAGATACAACATGATGTATATCGCTCATAAGTATGTTATTACACTGAAACTATTATAGAAATGTGAATATTGCTTAAGGGTAATAATAGGCAAATGGTCTCTAGGTACAGATTTCTTTCATGCCTGTTGTAAAGTTGATCACCAGGGGACTGACAGCTTTAAGTCCTCTTCGAGATACTTTGTAAGGAGGATTAATGCCTTAATACCAAAGGGCACTAGTGCATCGAAGTGGTGGTTTTGAACCCGGGACCTCCCGGTTATGAGACCACTGCTTTACCCCTGAGCCATTGCGCCTCACTCAACCTGGAGACCAGCCCTTGATTGGCTCCACCACAGTCTCAAGTATTAATTCAAGTTGCTCTAAATTCTTTAAATATTGTTATGCTATTTTCTTGTTTTGTTGTGTTAATCAGATATTGTATTTAAATTGTTATATGTGTTTTAAGGGGAAATGGAAATGAAATGAAATGAAAAAACACCTTGTATTGTAACCTTCTGTTCATTTCTGCCTTAAAACAGGTCAAATGAATCTGACAGACTGCATGTTCTGCCCACCTGGCATGTACTGTGAAGGAACAGGCTTAGACTACCCCAGCGGTTGGTGCGACGAAGGGTTCTTCTGCACAGGAGGCTCCTATGCCAAGAGACCATTCAACGTAGGCGTTCTAGTCAACAACAGGTATGTAATAATAATAATAATAGCTCACATTTATAATGCGCCTAATAATTTGTTTCTAGACGCAGTACATATTATTACCCCGGTCATCGGATTCAGGCTCACCCGCTCAAAATGTATGCACATTCTCCACTCCATGGGGAAGATTCCGGCCAGTCGCCATTTTACAAGCACCACTTGCTCATTCAACCACATTAACCTTTGCATCCTACTGAGTACCCATTTAACACTTGGGTGGAGAGTGGCAAATGTAGATTAAGTCATGGCAAAGGACATTAGTGCTGTGTCGGGGATTGAACCATGACCTTCAATTTTTAAGTCAAGTGCTTAAACCCCATGACTACAGTAGGTGTTTTTGAAAGGCCTATTTTAACATTAGGTGGAGGAAATAGACCACCGCAGCAAAATTTATTTTATATAACACAGATTGACGAGATCGTATAGAAGCCTTTGTGCAGAGTTTTTGTTGCTGTTGTTTGTTTTGTTTTGTATTTACCCAAGGAATGTATCATTGTGTATCATTTTCGAACTCTTTCCCATTTTCATTGAGTGATACACTCATACATGTAAAAGTCCCCTTACATGTAACTGTGTAATGACAAAAAAAGTTCCTCCTAAAGAACAAATATCTGTTTTTGAATGAGTTCAAGTATTTATTTACTATTATTACCAATGCAAGTTACGCTGTAAATGCATATCACGTACGGTATGTGTATACTGTTTACACATAAAACATATGATGAAATATGTGATAATAATAATACTTATATTGAGTTTGAAACTGTATAACAAGTTATCATCCTCTTCTCTTTCTCTCTAGCTACCAGTATCCAGATGATACCTGTCACCCACAGTTTGACTGCGTATGTCCAGACTACAGCAACAGCACTGGCGGACTCTGTGGGCCAGGGTACTACTGCCCTCGAGGGTCACCGAGTCCTCTGAACTGTCCTGCAGGAATGTACTGCGAGACACCCGGGCTGGCTGAACCTACTGGTAAATCTTCAGTCATTTTATTCCCTTTCTTGTTCCGGTAAGAAACACCTTATTAACAGCATGAAATGAAGACCACCATTGTTTATCATCGAAGAGAAAATGTTGGCTAATATCAAGTTGATTTTCTCACTGCAACCACACCAGCTTCAAAATAGGTTACATACATGAACATTTCAAAGCGTTGTAAAGGAAGTTTGAATACTGTATTGGTACGAGCTTTAAGCAAACTTTGATTGTAGCTTCCATTTTTCTTTAAAACCTGTCTGCACTAGGTTGGCCAGGGGGATTAGACCTCACTGCAAGGTCTCTGACAGGTGGTTATCTCATCAAATCAGCTCTCAATTAACATAAGGAAAAGAGGATGATGGGGGTCCATTGGTCACCGATTATGCATTGTTTTCTATATAGAGGGAGCAAGTAGCTACAAGTAGTATAGTGGGCCTTTAAATCACATATGCTACAGATTCTGTATATTTTACACTGTAGATTAATTTAACCTTTGAACCCTGTACCGTACCCTTACAGGTAACTGCTCTGCTGGGTCTTACTGCAACCACACAAGCTTTGAGCCTGATCAGCATGCCTGTCCTCCAGGCTACTACTGCCCCGTTGGGACGGGTGTACCGTTCGCCTGCCCCGCTGGTACGTACAGCAACACCTCGGGCAACGTGGAGCTGGGTGACTGCCTCAACTGCACATCCGGAGAGTACTGTGAAGGTAGGATCATAATTTTGTTTGATTGAGAGATAATAATTATATAATATTGGATGGCTTTGAGTGTGATACAAGAATATATTGCTCGAGCTATGACAATATTGGACGAGTCAAAGATGAGTCTAATATTGTCTTAATAGCGAGAGCAATATATTCTTGTATCCCACAAAAACATAGCCATACAATATTGTTATTATTATCTGTATTAGTCTGGCTTTATACAAAATAACAACATTTGACTTACCTCTGTAAATATGTTTTTGTGTCATATTGATATGATATCGATATCGATAGTTGAAGATCCCGGATGACTGAGCAATACAAAAACAATATTGGTCGGTCATCCGGGTACTGCGCTAAAGATATTGAATACTCTGATTTATGTACCACGTGAGATCAATCGATGGATGGATGGATGGGTGTTTATCAGAGAGAAGCAAGCGTCACCCACCTTCTAAATTCTCTTAAGTGGAACTCCCTCCAAGACAGACGCGAAGCTCACCGTCTAAGCTGTTTCCACAAAATGTCACATGGCCAGCTGGACATAGATGCCCGAACCCACATTAAACCTAAACCAGATCGTAGCAGACGCGGGCACTCAAGTCAGTTTGAAATACCATTAGCCAGATTGGATGTATACAAGAACTCATTCTTTCCTCGCACACCCGGAGCATGGAATAATCTCGATCCGACCTTAGTATCCCTGACTGACTCAGCAAAGTTTAAAGTAGCACTCCTTCCGAAATAAGTCCACTCTCTGCCACCACGACCTCCAGTTTAAATTCCACTAGGAATCTTTTGGAGGAACAACAACCAAGTACCAAGTTATGTCTAGGCAGGGTTTTCTGCATACTTTCATGAGTGATGACAGAGAAAACAGGAAAGCTGAGAATTAATAACCCATTGACTACTGAACTCTCTTAATCCTGTAACTCCAATCCGTACAGGTGAAGGCAATGCCGAACCGGACAATGACTGCGATCCCGGCTACTTCTGTCCCGGCGGCCAAACCTCGTCCAACCCGGTTGGTCTGGAGTGTCCGGAGGGTCACTACTGCCCTGGGGGATCACATGACCCAATCCTGTGTGAGAATGGAACGTACCAGGCCAACACGAAACAGCCTTCTTGTGACCAGTGTCCGGGCGGATACTATTGCGATCCAACAGAATGTGAGTTTGCATCTCATTGTTTTATGCAGATTGTTTTAAAGGGAACCATTATCTAATATTGTTTGTTTTTTTTCCTTCAAAAAGGAAACAATGCACTTCAATACACCCATAATGCAAGGATTTTGTATTGGGAGAGGGGCGGTCAGATCGTGCAAGCTTTGCATGTGTCCCGGTAGGGGGGCTGGAGGTTCCTGGGCTGTCCCACTCAAAGTGCATAAGCTTTAGCATCTGTTCAAAACAAGGTCCCAATGAAATTTCCACCTATAAATTCCAGTCTATAAATATAATTGCTGTTTAGATACTCTTTGTTTTTTTTAGTTTTGGTCTGAAAGCTCAAATTTTTCATTTTTCATATTCATGCCCCCCAAAATTAGATTAAATTAATTTAAAAAAAAACACACCAGCAACACAAACTAATACCTGTCATTATGATATACAGCTGGACCAGTCATCACCCCTGTGACTTGCCCTAGGGGGTACTTCTGCCCCCCTGGCACTGGATTATCCACTACTAATGCCTGCCCAGAGGGTACTTTTGGTGACAGCGATGGTTACGATGAACTGGAAGACTGTGTACAGTGCACGGCAGGCTCGTACTGTGAGGAGCCGGCGTTATCCACACCGACCGGGGAATGCTACGCAGGGTTCTATTGCACTAGCGGGGCATCCAGCCCAACGCCATACGATGACATGGTACGTTGCATTTTATTTTCATCTTCATCCATTAAATTCTAAATCCAATGATTAGAGGAGGTGCCATGACTCTGTTGTAGAGCAGTGGTCTTGTAACCAAGAGGTTCCAGGTTCGAAATCAAGCCAATTCGCGTGTACCTTTTGGTATAAGCCTCTTGGATAGGACTTAAGTCGCCGGCCCCCTGGTTGCTTACTTACAAGTATATGCATGCTTTCTTAGCAATCAGGTAAAACAATCATGAAACAGATTCCCTCTACGTGGGCAAGTGATAGGTATTTGATAATTCTGTGTTCCTTACATGAATAGGTCCTTGTATAATGAAAGTAAGGCCATGATAAACATTAAAATCGCAGGGTATACTAAAAATTCCCTTACATTGAAGAATTTGTAAATGCAGATCTTGTCAGTGTAGTCCCACACATCAATTCTCATGTGAGAATATTTTTTTCAATCAAACTATGCTTCTCCAAATCTCCAAATCTCAGGTCGATTCTGACAACAGTTCATTCACCGGCAATGATATCTGCCCCAAGGGGTACTTCCGCACAAACGGGACTGACTACCAGGAATTCCCTTACGTTAAAGAATTTGTAAATGTAGATCTTGTCAGTGTAGTCCCACACATCAACTTTCATGTGAGCATTTCCTTGTTAATCAAATATTTCCAGGTCGATGCTGACAACAGTTCATTCACCGGCAATGATGTCTGCCCCAAGGGTTACTACTGCACCAACGGGACCGACTACCCTGAGCCCTGCCCGCCTGGGACATTCTCAAACAACGTTCGGGTGACTGAGGAGGAGGACTGCGATCCGTGTCCCGCTGGAAAATACTGTAATCTTCAAGCTTTCATCAGGGTTAATGAGGCGCCGGACTGCGATGATGGGTAAGATTTGACCTCGTCATGTATTTATAAATAGGTGTCGTGTTCGAGTGGATACGTCGACGGAATGTCGATCGCAAGGTCTGCAGTTCAAATCCCGCCTTGGCACTAATGTCCTTTGGCAAGACATTGATCTACATTTGCCACACTCAACCCAGGTGATGTAAATGGGTACCTGGCAGGAATTAATTCCTTGAAATGCGGCAGCTAGGCTAAAGCCAGGAGCGTCACAATGTGACGGATATGTGCGCTATTAAGAAGCCACCATTATTATTATATACTCATTGATAACAGTGATTTGAAAGTTCTGTTATCACATCCAAAAGGGAAATTTACCTGTAACACTTCCAATGTCTAGAGTTCAGACATCTTCTCAGACGTGAATTGGCACACTGAAGTCAGCCGCCAATTTTCTAATCGCCAGTACTTGTTGTTTTGGTGATTACTTCGTCATATAACAGTGTTTTTGACTGATGTTAAAAACGCAAGTGTTTCAAATTGATTTTACTTGTACATGTACACTGCAACTTTGCACATTTTAAATTTTTAATATAGACAATTGTATACCAAATTGAGTACTTCAACGTGTATCGAATGCGCATACAAAGAGCTATCCTGTGAACTTTTTTATGAACTCCATAGTTCAAAAGAGATAACACTTCAGAGAGATCGAGTCAAGAGGTTATACATGTATGAACATTGAACTTTTTAACACATATAATTTACTCGTAGATTGCAAATATTTTGTAAATTGCCCACATTGGCTGTTTTCAATGTAAGAAACTTTTGGAAGTTGCACTTTGATTCACTTGTTTTCAGGCAAATACCTGTAGTAACATTAATTAATCTTTACTTTCACTTATCTGCAAAATTGTTATGCATGGAAATCGTAAAGTTTAACAGTACAACAATTAATTTTTTGGTTATTCCCCCTAACAGCTACGTCTGTACAGGTGGAAGTACAACCGGTTCCCCCTCCAGCGACAGCGGGATGGGCTACCCTTGCCCGGCCGGTCACTACTGCCCCTCGGGGGTGACCAGTGAGCTGGGTTGCCCCATAGGAACGTATCAACCTGATGAAGGCCAGGCTAACTGTACCACCTGTCCCGACGGTCTGATGTGCTTGTACACCAATATGACCATGCCAGAGCCGTGTAAATCAGGTACGAAGAGTTATAATCACTATCGAGACAGGGCTTTTTTTCTTTTTCAAATTGGCAACACTGGTGTGTTTTTTAAATTTTTATTGCCCCATTAGGTTATAGTAGTAGTTAAATTCTTTATTTGAATAATCTTAAACAGACACTGTATTAACAAGATTTAACCTGTTGACTACTGGATTATCTAATTTCCATAGACTTAACACAGGGACCACCAGGTTCCAGTAAGCAATGGGTTAACAAATGAAGTTTGAGTTTCTTCTTTCATAAATTGGCAGCACTGGTATTTTTTTTTTTAATTGCCCCATTATTCTAAAATAGTCCTGTTTCTGAATCGAATATTCTGAGAAACTGTTAACAAGTTCTAAAATTGAGCTTTTACAATAATAAATATGAAAAGTTATGAAAATAGACATGTTTTTACTCCATGTATGCATTTGATTAATCATGCAGTTGCACATCATAATCTTTGCAAACATTTTCGAATTGATGCTCAATTTCAATTAAAGAAACAATTTGTTATTTAAAGAAATAATACTTGGATATTTGGATTTTGAACATTGGAGAAAGATTAAACGCCAATTTCTTTTTTAGGGATTATTGATGAATATAATAATTGTTCCCACATGTACAAGCATTATTATAATTGATGTTGAAATTACTATCATTACATAAATATTCTTTCTTTCCTCTAGGTCACTACTGTGTCTTTGGTGAGCAGCTGCCCATCCCTTGTCCTCCTGGCCGATTTAACAACATCACTGGTATCAGCTCAGAGGAGGAGTGTCCATACTGTGTGTCTGGGCAGTACTGCGCTGGCTATGGTAACGTCTGGCCTACAGGTACGTTTGTTAAATTGCATGTTTTACAGTAGTCCCAGTTCTCAGTTCAGTTCATGTTATTCAAAACCACACAAAGCATGACATACCGGTAATAATAATAATATTAGCTAGTTCTTATACAGTGCGTCCCAGAAAAAACGAAACCGAGAAGTATCGATGTTTTATCATAACTTAATTACAACCATAATTAATGAATGATATATATTTGGAAAGCTTAGAGTCTCCTCTTTCATTTGATGCTACTCACGTGATGCATATTTCACGCATGAGTGATTAAAATTAATTTGAAGGAAGGGAAACAAAAAGTAATTTGGCGGGCGGTATCTGAATTTCAAAGAAAAATTCATATTTCTAGAAAGTTCATTTTCTGCTCTTTCATATGATACCTCAATCAAGAAAAATGAGCCAGGAATAACAAAGTTCTGTTTGCTTAAAGTAGCCCTTACATTTTCATAATTTTAACAAACAAATTCGTTTTCATTGGGTGCCTGCCGTAGCAAAAAGCAGATTTGACAACAGACTTCACTCCGTTTCGTTGACAATCAGCCATGCATGAAGACTCTCGTCTACGGCTGATTGTCAACGAAACGGAGTTAAGTCTTTTGTTAATTTCGTTTATTGATACGGCAGGCAGCCAGTGAAAACGAATTTGTTTAATAAAATTATGGAAATGCAAGCACTACTTTAAACAAACAGAACTTTGTCATTCCTCGCTCATTTTTCCTGATTGAGGTGTCATATGAAAGGGCAGAACCTCAACTTTCTAGAAATGTGAATTTTTCTTCGAAATTCAGATACCGCCCGCCAAATGTCTTTTTGGTTTCCTTCCTTCAAATTGCTTTTAATCACTCATGCGTGAAATATGCATTATTTGAGTAGCATCACATGAAAGAGGAGACTCTAAGCTTTCCAAATATGTATCATTCATTAATTATAGTTGTGATTAAGTTATGATAGAACATCGATACTTCTCGGTTTCGTTTTTTCTGGGACGCACTGTATAGCGCTGTTCTCAAAGAACTCAAAGCGCTTTACAGATATATATATTATTACCCCGGTCATGGGATTCAGGCTTACCTGCACACTGTTACAATCTGTTACATAAAAAAGAGACTGGTAATAGTACATCAATCAACATATTCTAACTTGATTACATGAATGGTTTTAGGACCCCTTTAGAACCTTTCTTTAAACCAACAAAACTTTATATCAAGAGGGAAAATTATAAAAATCCTGTTCTTTTCAATTAATTTAATCCACGGGACATTGTTCAGGACATCTTCCCACACCGTGACCCATTGTATCATGAAAATTATGCTAAAAATCGATGTTCTTATAGTTGAAATGACAGGCTTCATTTTGGACACTTGTCATATTACACATGTGCATGCACATATACATGTTTGGGTACATACCTTTGCTCTCTCTATGACTATATTGAGGGGTCACAAAGACGTAACTCCGTTTTGGCCATTTTGAGAAAAAGTGTTTCATGTGTCACTGAGCACTTGGGCCTTAATGAGTTAAGTCTATGTTTCACTAGCCATTGACTTCTATGGGTGTTGGATGGAGTTAAATCTTGTGTTTCCTGGAAAGCCCCCATTTTTCTGAACATTTTGATATCAAATTCTCATTTTGGCAAAACATGGAGTTACGTCTTTGTGTCACTGAACCCTCGATATATTGTACATTATCGTGATATGTCAAATTGTCATCAATTATCTTTGCACCAACAGGACCATGCACTGCAGGTTACCACTGCCAGGGTGGAGCTGTGGATCAGGTCCCAACGGCCACCTCAGAGTTTTCTGAGAACGGACTTTGTCCCGTCGGCCATTACTGCGACGAGGGCACACCCGCTCCTGAGCAGTGCCCTTCAGGAACCATCCGGTATACCGAGGGTGCGGCGGGCGTCGACGACTGCCTGCCCTGCCCTGGTGGCTTCTACTGCGATACTCCGGGCAAGACCAACGCAACGGCAGAATGCACGGCCGGATTCTACTGCCCGGCCAACGAGACCATCACTGCCCCGACCCCGCAGGAATTCCTGTGTCCAGTCGGTCACTACTGTCCCGAGGGTAGTCCAGCCCCTGTACCCTGTGGGGTTGGTAACTACCAGCCGGACATGGGAAGGGATTCTTGCATTGCTTGCCAGGCCGGGTACTACTGCCAGAGCTCTCTGTTCCCGGATCCGAAGCCGTGCCCAGCTTATAACTATTGTCCAGCAGGTATGTAACAAACACTTCACATTTCAGCTCAACTCTCTGCCACACAGATATTTATCATGGGATAGATATACAGTCAAACCTGCTTTAGTGACCATCTGTCTACAAAGACCACATTTTTTGTTTCCCTTGAATTTGGTTTTTCATTGAAACATGTACTACTTGTACTTCTACGACGATACTCAGCAGGATCCATAAGTCAGGATGTATAGTGCCGAGGAATAAACTAAAGGAACCTGTCTACAAAGACCACTTTTTGTGTTTCCCTTGGGTGGTCGCTATATACAGGTTTGACTGTACCAAAGAATTCAGGATTATTTAACTGTTCCCAGCATAAGATTAATCCATATTGGTTTAAAAAGGTTGCCATAGAGCTAATCAAGACCAGATATCTGTCATTTTGAAAAGTCATTGCACAAATCAATCAGCGCCTACTGTTTTTGTGCAAAAGTGCATGTGTGACAAACGTGGTATTGTGCAGAGAGGCCGGAGAAAGCATCCAAAGTGTTGTTGTTGTTGTTTTTATTTCCGAAATCAGATAAAAATATTATCCATAGTAATATATACAAAATGAAATATTTATACATTTTCATAGACAAAAATTCGGTGGAAAGCCCAATTCAGCAGTGTTTATAGAACACTACTGTTCTTCCTTGGGTCCTTACACTACAATATTAAAATAAAATCGACATAAAGCAGAATAGAAACAAAACATAAATACATGTTTTTTTAAATACAAAAGTAACACAAATTTAAAAAATAATAGTGTTAACTTGCATCAGTGCAAGGTATTAGCATTTAGGGTAGGGTCAGAGTCACGGTCCTGGGTGGGATAACGGTGCTTGTGTGGTTCGTCTTTCTCAGTTGTGCCTGCATTTCTATTCAGGAGTTGCCAATTTAAGGGCAGTTGATTAAAATAACTATTCTTCTCTCAAGCCGTTCGCTAATTCATTATTCTTTTTGCCATTACTTTACATGTCTCTTTACTTTGGATTTTATACTGCGTATAAATCCTGTCTTTTTTTTCTTTTTTATGTTTCTTGGATAAACCTAAATTTTTACCTGAATTAATGTAGTTATTTCTCTTTCACCGTCTCATAATTTGAACAGTTTATTAGCTTGATAGTAGATTTGAATACACAATTTATTCGTCTGTTTTTTTTTTACAGCTACACAGACACCGATCCCTTGCCCTGATGGAACTTTCACGTATCCGAACGACACAGGCTTGCAATCAGAGTATGAGTGCTTGCCCTGTCTTGCTGGGCAGTACTGCCGGTAGGTCAAGTGTTTGGTTTAGCTTGGTTGTTTGTTTGCCTTGTGTTAATGTTTGACCATTAGATTGATTAGTTAGTTAAATGATGACAAAATATTGGTAATTCACTAATTATTGATTGCTATCATCAGACCATTGTGGTTGTCAGTTTAAGTGTAAAGTTCTTCGGCAATTTTGAAGGGCGAAAAAGCCAAAACTAACAAGAAAAGGCCATGATTAAAGGTAATCGTATTGTGTTCATGGCTGAATGCAATGTGGCCTCTTGATATTTTGTGAAAGAACATTCAAACCAGTTTATCAAGGTCACAAAACAAAAACAAAAAGTGGCCACTATAGAGAGGTAATCTTCCTAGACATCCTACTCATATTTCTTCATCAATGGAGACAAAACAATGACTTTAGTAAACATAGGGGGGGCCATTCCTTGAAGTCCTCATTAGTCTAACTTCTCGGACACGCCACTGACACATGGGGTAAAGAATTAAAGCAAGCTACCTATTTAGCAACTGGGTCGAGAGTGGCAGATTAATGTCTTGCCAGAACATCAGCTGCGACGGAACTTTAACCATAAACCATGTGATCCATGTGATCTACAGTCCAATCTGGCATCCACTAGACCACGACACCTCTACTACATTAAAGCCCATCTGTACTAGTGTACAGGAGTGATTAGACCACCCTGCAAGGTCACCGGACAGGTGGTTATCTCATCAAATCAGCTCTCAATTAACATAAGAAAAAAAGGATCATGGGGGACCAATGGTCACCGATTAGGCATTGTTGTATAGAGGACGCAAGTAGCTTTAAGTAGTGCAGTGGGGCTTTAATAGCTAAATAACTTTGACCTTTGACCTTTGACCTTCGACCCTCTTCCATCCCTGTACAGAGGAGGCCAGCTCCAGGGTGACTGCTCCCAGGGGTACCTGTGCTTGAGTACCAGCTCAGAGTATACACCCAACGGGACCTTCCCCTCCTTGTACGACGTCGACAAGACCCAGTGCGAGGCCAACACCACCTGTGCCGGTCCCTGCCCCCTCAGCCACTACTGCCCTGAGGGAACAACAGATGCGATCCCCTGCAGGAACTTCACCTATAGGGCCGATTACTTTGGGAGTGTGGAGGAAGACTGCTATCCCTGTGTTGCTGGGAGCTACTGTCTTGAAGGTAGGAGGATTGGTGCAAAGAAACTAGTCCATTCAAAATATTATAGTCCATTCCACACACACACACACACAACAAAGATTTGATGTGTGCACGGTATCTTGTTGTCACCTTACTACTGAATACTTCAGTAGTGTGGAGGAAGACTGTTATCCCTGTGTTGCTGAGAGCTACTGTGTTGAAGGTAGGAGGATTGGTGCAAAGAAACTAGTCCATTCCAACACACACTCACACAAAAGCAACCTTGAGGCAAGAATAGACTACTAAATACAAGTAATACTAATGAAACCAAATAATGAATATGATAATTAGAATGGTGAGAAGCAATAAAGACATGAATAAATGAATTATTAATTTAATGAGTATGAAACCCTAAAATTCACTTCTGTTCTGGTTTATTACCCCTTTTGGTTAGATATTGTTAGGATAACATGCATCTTCCATTAAAAAAGGCCAACCTGAAAAATCTTGTGCACCATCGCCAATGGATTTGACAAAGATTTGATGTGAGAAAGTTTTGTTGTTGTCACCTTATGTATTCAGTCCTTTTGATAGGACTCAAAAGCCATAGGATCCTGATAGCTGTCATTTGTTCATTGAAATACAGTACAATATACATGTGACTCTCAATCATTGAGTTATTAATGTAAATATGTGTTGAAATTATGGAAATAAAAACCTTGCTTGAGGATAAGAGGGAAAAAAATACATGTGACACAAGCTTTGCTAATCGCTATTTTAGTTTTTTTTAATTGTTTGATGACTGGATGAATTCACAACATCATAATAACTCATTTCTTTACTTCTCACGCAGGCGACCCTACCCTCTACCCATGCCCCCTGGGCCACTACTGCCTGGAGGGGCTCGCACCCATCGTGTGCCCTCTCTATCATTATCGAGACGTTGAGGGAGCTCCGAGCATGCAGGACTGCTTCAACTGTGAGCCTGGCTACTTCTGTAACGAAACAGGTAAAATGCCATGTCCTATTCTGTCACAAGAAAAATAGACTAACGAGTTGAAATTTCATCCTTTTTTGTTGTTTAAAAGACACAAAATTTGTTTCCTAGCATCTGGTGAATTCTTCTTAATTCTTCTGAATTTGTCCTTAGACTAATGGACACCATATTTCATCCTCTTGAAAAAGCAGCATATAAATCCAATGAATATTTATTGTTTTTCTTAATGAATTAGTTGTATGATAATTGATAAATTTTCTAGATTGATAAACTCCATTCAAATGGTCATTTTTACTCATCATCTCCACAGATTTTTTTTTTTTTAATCCTAGATTTTTTTTGGATTTTTTTTGTTGATTTTTTTTTATAGATTTCTGCTTACATTTTTTTCAGAAACCAATTTTGTGTCAGATAATCATGTAAATATACATCATACTGCATGTTTAAATGCTTTAAAAGTACTACCAAGACTGCATACTAGTTGAAACAGTGAGAAGCAAGAGCTCTTATTCCTCTGAAAGAATCACATGGTGTAACCCTGAAAACTTTACCTACAAATCGGTATCTCCACCATGAACAGTATTGTTGATACTTCACCTATGTACAGTACATGGGGGGGGGGGGGGGGGGGGGTTCACAAAGATCGTAAGTTGAACTTATCTCTAAGTTGGACTTAACAATTACCGGTATGGAAAGCATCTATGGAAAATTTTTGTTAAACGTTATTTTAAAAGGCATAAAATGTTGATTCAAATCTTCATAGTTTCTATTATCAAGAAGATTTCATGTTCTTGATGTGGAATTTATAAAAAGTCTAAAATACTTAAATTTTTGCTTTTTAATATATTTTATTGTAAGGCTACAAATGGCTCTCCATAATTTTTAAGTCCAACTTAGAGTCAAGTTCGACTTAAGATCTTTGTGAAACACCCCATGGTCTTCTATGGTCCTCTTAACTATCCATTTTTTTATTGTCCAGGAATGACTAACTACACCTACTACCCATGCCCCGTTGGTCACTACTGTGAGGAAGCCACGACTGAACCAGAGCCATGCACCGGAGGACGCATGAGCACCACCGAGGCTCGCGTCAGCAACGAAGACTGCCCTCTATGTACGCCGGGATACTACTGTCCCAACGATACTATCAACGTCCATGGCATACCGTGTCGACCAACGTATGAGTGCCCTGAAGGTTAGACCAAAGTTTAATTGATTGTCATTATTCCTCTTTAGGTTTCATAGAATACCCTTGAATGAAATTAGCTGTTTTGTTTTGTTGGGTGTTTTTGTTTGGTATAATTTGAAATGACTGATTATTGGATTTTCCCCTTTTTTTCGTCATATTTTGTCCCTTTTTATCACTAAAGAGCACACTGTACTTGTACTAAAGCCATGTATCATTACCAGTCATTAATAATTTTCTGTAGCAAATCTCATGTTTGAAAGATCTATTCGATGATATATGTAGTAACAAGTTAATATGATCATGTCTGGAGGACATTCTGCAGTGATGTTCTTGCGTACCTTAGCTACGCAGGGCCAGCTAGTTAAGTATTCACCATGCACAATACCTGGAGTTCCTAGTGTTGTGCAGGGTAAATAGATAATAAGCTAGCCCTGTGCAGCTACATGTAGGTGGGCACATACATTAATGTTGAAGGGTGTCAGATGGTCATAATCCTATGTGTCTTTAAGTGTAATCATTCTTATAAAGTGGAAAGAATTAACTTTTTTCCCTATCTATATACATTTTGTATCTGTGTTTCTTATATTTCACCCTCTCTGCTTTCTGTATTTCCCACTTAGGAGCTGCAATTGAAGTGACATGCCGAGGAGGATACTACTGCGAAGGAGTGACTGGGCAACCCCCTATCTGTCCAGGAGGCTATTACTGCCCCATCGGATCATTTGCACCAACCATGTAAGCCCCCTCCCCCCTTTACTCTAGTTGTAGAACTTGTACCCTTAGGACTATTTTTGACACAAACCAAATCCCCAACTTCGACCCTTGACAAAACATTGTACCTACTCCTACTTTCTTATTTCTCAAATATGTATAGTGTCAACTTTTTTTTGTATCACTGCCTTTGATCCTCGGGAAAAGGTACCATTAAAAAGCAATTATAATTTATATTTTTGATAAATCATTATTATTCATTACTTATTATTAATTCATTATTTATATAATTATTACTGTTATCATTATCATTATTATTATTATTGTTATCATAATTATTTTTTCTAGGTGTTTCTACCCGAAATACTGTCCAGAGGGTACTGAAGTACCCCTTGCGTGTCCCCTAGGCTACAAGGCAGTCAATCATAACGAACTACGTAGCGACGATGCAGGATCTTGCCGTATCTGCCCTGCGGGTACCTATGGCAACCACACGGAGCGTTTCTACTGCGCTGACTGCCCCGAGGGATACTACTGCCCCGAAGGTAATGAGATCTGGATTGCGGTTGAAAAATTGTGATACTTGTTTAGAGCTGCTAACCAGTCTTATTTTTGAGGAATTATTCCTACAAATAACATCTTTGGAGAGTGCCAGAATGGTGTTAAGTCTTTGTTCAATGACATGGTTTGGTTTGATGGTTTGTATTACCTGACTGCTATTAAAGCATGTCTATGCATGTAAGGAAGCAACCAGGGAACTGACGGCTTAATTGATATAAGGAAGGTTTTTTCCTAACAATGCATGTATATTCACAAGTTCTCAGTTAATGGTTCTTCCACGTAAAGCCTTGAAGGGAAAACAGACATCACTCTGGCGGTTCAAGTAAAACAAGTTTTGTCCAATATCTACTCCAGGTACTGGCAACCCTCAAGACTACCCGTGCGAAGAAGGCTACTACTGCCCGGCCAATTCCTCGGCACCGACACCCTGCCCACCGGGAACGTTCGGAAACCAGGTCCAAGCGTACAGCGAAGATCAGTGCGTGGACTGCCCCACCAACACCTATAACAACTTGGGTGCTCAGATAGCCTGTAGGCCATGTGGAAGTGCCTCAAGTGCTGAACCAGGTATGGCATTGGGCTTGGAGGGCTTGTTCACAAGTATAGGAAGTTCTACAATTTGAAAATGCCCATAGTGTATTAAAAACAAGGATTGTCTTGGTTTAAGTACAAGTCGATTAGATTCTTGAAACTGTCATAAGTCTAAGTTCGTGCCATAGAAAAGTGTAATATAGAATGGACACACGTATCAGTGGGAGGTTCAGGTAATAGACATATGACAGTTTTGAAAAATTTTCCCGTGGCCTTTTACAATAATTAAATATTCTTCCATAAATGTGGTTGACCGAAATACATAGCTGCCAACCATTCTAACGTTGCAGTAGGGATTCCTATTTTTCTGCCTTCAAACCTGTGGTATGCAACCTCTATTCCTCTTTGTTTCTTGAAAACATCTTTATATAAGCATTTATTTACACTATATTCATCATTTTGGCTTCGGAGATACCTAAATTTCACTGTGGAAGGTTTAAAAAGTATGTAAATACGAAAGAAAATTGGGTGAAATTTGAGATCTATAATTATTCCTTACAACCTTTGATTCCCAGGAAGCGCCATGTGCACCTGCAATGGCCTCTACCGATCCTTCCAGATCCTTGATGGATCCTGCGAATGCCAGTCGGGTTACGTCTTCTACGACGAGACCGATCAGGAACAGCAGGAGGGCAACGGCGACGGTGACTGCCAGCCGAGGGTCGACACCCGGTGCGAGCTCTCGCAGACCCGTGATGCGAGCACCCGCGAGTGTGTGGACCCGGCAGAGGCGGACTGTTCGGTGGCGTGTACTCTTGGTAGCGGTGGAACGTACAACGTAGATCTTGGAAAGTACGTTATCTTGCATTTGTTTTCCATGTATACTATTTATATGTACTGTTGAAGTCTAAAGCCTCCTTCTTGCAGGATGTAGTAAAAGACATTGAAAAGCCATCAGGGCAAAATCGAATCTTTTCTTGAGTGAATGATTGACAAATGGTTGAGAAAAACGTAGCTGCATGCAAGAAAGGCCAATACTTATCTACGTAGAGATGCAACCGAAGTAAACTGGGCTTTTGTTAATTTATTTTGCTGCTATGTTTTTTTTTTCTTCATTTTTTAAATAACTTTTAAAGGGAGGGGGGTGTTCATATCATGATATGTAAAAGAGACTGAAGCTTGAGTTAATTTTCAATTTAGTTTATTCGAAAGAAGGCAACAACAAAAACAACAACTTTTAATGAGAAAATATGAGCATGCAAAAAGACATTGTCTAAATCTTGATGTGATATGGTCTATGACAAGTCTTTACTCTCATTCATTTATACAAATTTGTAAAAGCCTCAGTTTTCATTACAACGTGTCAACAGATGAAAGCTGCGCACAACAAAGGTCATATGCATATTTGCTGACCTCTGTGTCGTATGGTACGGAATTGTGTAGCATACTCCATACTTTTTGTACATCATCAAAACTGCAGCAGTTTTCTGCATCGTATTTGAACAAGGCTTTTTAGAGAGTTGCCAATTTGATGTTTCCATCCTTCATTTATTTTCAGGTGCGAATGTAATCAGTACACCACCGTGGCGGAAATTTGTGATTCGAACTGCACGGCTAACATGCCGACGACCATGGCTTCTGTCGATGTCAATGGCGTCCTAAGTTTGAGCTCCACTGATGGATATGGTAACACTATAACCAAGGTAAGAATGAGGATAGCCTCTGTTCAGTGCCAGAAGGGTGTTAACTCTGTGTTGGAGGTATATGAGTTAATGCCCTTCTGGCTCCAAACAGAAAACACTGTTTGGGGGTAGAGGAGGGAAGGGGAATTAAGGCACAGTTATCTTCCATTCTGTCAAAAGATATGGGGTATGGATGTCACAATGAAAGTATAATAAATTGCCTTGTTTACCAGGGTAGCCATATCAGTGTTAATACCCGTTTCCTAGAGGGCGCTGCAATCATATTCACGCCATGGAAGATGATTAGATGTAGATGATTCAGAAATTATAAATGTGGGAGAATTTTAAAGTTGGTGGTGGTAGTGATGATTGTGACGAAGATGAAAGTGACGCCGATTTGCTGATGATGATAACAATTATGACTTACTGTAGATGGGGATGAAGATGATTCTGATGGTGGTCATCCTGATCACCATCACCATTATTATACTCACATGGTGATGATGATGAAGATCCTGATGGTCATGATAACGTGGTTAAAATGACAGTGATATGATTATGGTGATGATAATGGCCGGTGTAATGATATTAGTAGTGATTTCTGATGAAAGCGGCATGGGAATAATGATAAATCACCATCAGTAATCACACAAATACTGATAATGAATTCCACTCTCCAAACAGTCCTTGTCAGGAACCATCGGACCCAACGTTCATACAACGGGTCAGAAGAAAACTGAGATGTGTGAAACGTCTCCCACTGGTACCACCTGTGTTATTCCCAAAGATGTGACCGATGTCGATGCTTTTACATCAGAAGGTGAGTATTTAATTAGTACTTTATTTAGTTTTTGAATTAAATATAATACTTATCCAACTTTGGTATCCAGTTGAAGCTTTTAGCCAAGTATTTTACCCTAAAATTAAGACTTAAGCCAATTATTTTGGAGGCCTCGATTGGTGCACATATAATTCTCAATGGTGAGATGTGATCTGAATACGAATTAAGACATATTATTTAGTAAGTAAAATGCTAAGCGAAATACTTAGTTAATCCACATACTGAATTGAATATGGAACAAGGACTCAACCTTCTATCTAAGTAAATCATCGAAAAAATTCTGTAAATACGAGTTTGAGAAAGGTTATTTTTAGCACCTTACACTAGGAAAGTTTTCTGTTGGTACAACTGTTGATCAAGTGGGCTCTTATTAAAAGTAAACATGTAGTTTGGTATTCACATTTAGGATAATAATAATAATAATAATAATAATGGGTCCTTGCATAGTGCTCATGTCAGTCAGAATTGACCCTCCTGGCGCTCCCGATTATTACCCTGGCTTTAGCACGGCACTGTAGCATTTCAAGGAGAAAAAATTCCTACCAGGTACCCACTTAATACTTCACCTGGGTGGAGTGTGGCAAATGTAGAACGATAGAATTGACTGGACTGCAGTTTTGCATCATAATGTTCCTTAATTGCCTTTGTTCCCTGCAGATTCCACAGTGATTGTGACCACGCCGTTGTACACCACTTCTGACTCCTACACCACGATGAACTACTCCATTGGAGCCACCAACTCATCCCGACGTCGCCTCCTCTCCACCCAGTCAACCACCGGGGTGAGCGGTATCGAGAACCCGCTGGTGTGCCTTGAGCTTGAAGACCTCATTCTCTTCCGTGTCAACATCGACCACAATAACCGCTCCCTCAGCAACTACCCCGTCTACCAGAAGGACCACTTGTTCAACACCAACCCGACCTTCGACTACAGCGAGTTCCGCGACCTGCGCTTCTACATCCTCAACACTAACGTGTCCATCTCGTTCTTCGCCCATGTCTTCACCGAGCCGGGACGTTATGTGATTGGCGATGCGCAGGAGCCGAGCTGGGAGATCATAGTGGCCGTCCAGGAGCAGGATGTCTCCTGCGATTCCATCAGGATCGGACCGTCCAACCCGGCTAACCTGGTCCTGCAGGACGTCAGCAAGACCAACAACGTCAACGAGGAACCTGACTGGGGTCTCATAATCGGTGAGGCGGAATTTGAACCCATTGCCTATGGGAATGAAAGAATAATAATGATAATAGTGGGTTCTGGGGGATGTTTCATAAAGCTGTTCGTAAAGTTACGCATGACTTTACAAACGACTTGTATATGAAGTGCCAGAAAGGATGCCCAAAGTTTTTCCTGATGTTTTAACAAAGTGTGACTATATTTCCAATAACCTCAATTAAATTTTGGCAAACAAATACTTTGCATTAAGAATGTTTGTTATAATAAGAATGTTAATCTACATCCGCACAGTTCAACTTTAGTTGATGCAGTTAATAATGATTGAGCATCCCATTTGGCTGTTCATATTTAAGTCATTCATAAAGTCATGCATAACTTTACGAACAGCTTTATGAAACACCCCCCTGGTATAGTGCTCATGTCTGTCAGATTTGACACTCCTGGCGCTCCACAATTATTACCCTGGCTTTAGCATGGCGCTCTAGCATTTCAAGGAAACAATTCCTGCCAGGTACCCATAAGCCACACCTAGGTGGAGTGTGGCAAATGTAGATTAAGGTCTTTAAAGGACATCAGATGTCATTTAATAATCAATGGGTTAAGAAGGTAGAGTAAAGGGCTTTTGCTACCTCTTCTATAATTTCTATAATAGCATTAAAGACATTTAAATCAACCACCATTTTGAAGAAGAAAAAAGTTTGTGTGATTCTCTCTCGTAACCAAAATATTTATTTGGTTTATAGTTGTATCTCACTTATTTATATTTCCCAAACTTCTTTTACCATGAATATAACATTGCAAATGTCGTTTTAGAGGAAGATAGACTATCTGGCTTAACCAGGTGGATACTGAAGACAGGAAGGCTTGGACAAAATAAATGTCAGATTTAACACCTTGGGAAAAACGGGATGGTAAACAGTGATGATTGGGGACATACGTGTAATCTTTTGTTTGTTTATTGTTTGACAGGTATGCTTGCTTTCCTTGGTGCCTGTATCATCATGCTGGTGATCGCTGTCATCGTCTGGAGACCCATGGATGCCGGCATCTACCCGATGAAGGCCTGGAAACCCAAGTACCGCGCCCTAGGTGCCCCACCCAAGATCCCCACCTATCTCCAATACAAGGATCACGAACGGTCAGTGGATAAAGTTTGACTTATGTGGGAGAGTTAATCATTTGGTGTCAATGCAAACAATCTTTAGCTCCAAAATTTTAGCTGTTCAGATCCAGCCTTCCTTAGTAATATGACCCAACTTGACCTTTCTGACTCGATTGACAATAATCAGATTGTAGACATAAAGAAGTTATCCCCCCCCCCCACCCCCCTTCGAGAGAAGGTTTGAAGGCACTGATGTAGAACAGCTGAGAAAAGTTGAAAGTAAAGAGTTGTCTTGAGACCAAAGTTCATCTCTCAAACATACATCACCAATACAGATGAACTTGCATCGAATAGTAATGTTCCATTTCTCTTTTTTTTCATTACCGATCAATAGCTATTGGTCATAACATTTGTCCTACTATGCTAAGACGGCTCATTTTATATATATCATATAATGAACCCTTTGCCTGCTTTGGTACACTAGTGGAATGAATGCTGGAGTTCCCCATTCAACTTTTGGTACATGTACAATGTGTATATAACATCACATTTCAAACAATGTGGCAGTCTTAGTCTGAAGATTAAATCCGTAGCAAGTAAGGAGTGAGCTTTTTGCCCACAGGGACCAGAAATCCCTGCATTTAGACTTTGGGAGATTCAAAAGTCGGTTAGGTATGAAGAGATGGTCCTGATTTCAGGTTGAACTGTTGCCATCGGCGCAGCAATTGCAGCATCCAAGACTGACCTCTAACGTTTTCTCTTGTCTTGCCTCACACAGGGAGGAGCTGATTGCAGGTACCACTGTAGCCAGCACCTCGGCTGTTGCTGTGTCAGGGATGGCCTCAGGCAATCCCACACTCCTAGAGGACTTCAATGTGCGGACACTGTATGACAAACTGGAAGATCAGACGCTCTATCTCTCACAGCAGCTGGCAAAGCAGCAGGAAGATCTTCAAGGCTTCTATGAACGCATGTCCAAACAGACAGATGGACTGAAGGTACGATCTTTCTAACCTCTATGATGCTCTTTTCAGATATGTCTATGGATCTGTTCATGAATCTTTACTTATCAGTTCATCTTTTTGCTATTATAAACTTCTGTGATGGTAATACATATTTTTGTCTTGAGATCATACATTTAAATTTTAGTCTCAAACACAATTTCTTTCATCGGTTCGTATTGTCACATACATAAGAGAATTGCATAGTGAGTGATAGATTGAATAAGCCAGTTCATGGTTGCAGTCTGAGCATGAGCAGATAAAGTTCATTGCAGAACAAATTGTGAAATACATGAAGACGAAATACTGGATGTGTGCTCACGAAAGTTATGTATTCATTATTCATTAATGCACAAGCAGTGCACTCCATGATACACAGGTGGAAGGGGAAACAAAGGCTATTTATGTAGCACCTCCTTCACTGTAGGAGTGATTATTTCAAAATGTACAAAGTGGGACCTCTTCATGTATTGAAGATCTGTGGATATTTGGGGTCATTGCAGACATGTGCTAACTGTGAACTGGTCTATTAGTAGAACAGAATATCATACTGAGCCTAAGTATCTATTGTCGGGACTTGTATGCACTCCTTTCAATCTTTCTGAATTTTTTTGTCTAAACCTATGTAGGATCTCCTGGTCAACTTGGATGTCAACAAGCTGGAACGTCTCTCCGGCCACAGACGAGGGCGCCGTGGTAGTGGGTCAAGCAGTGACAGCAGCAACAATGGCCAAGATATACGTGTCATGAATTTCTCTTCCAGCCGCACCTATAATTTCTCAGGTAAGAATCTGCCTGTATATTATCTTTTTGGAGGGGAAATCCCAGCTAAAGCATCAATGACCTTTAGCAAGGCATTAATCAACACGTACATGTACATGTACCTCTCTTGTGTGTTGCAATCAGACATGATTATTTTTGTCTGGGGACCTTCCTTTAACGTCACCATCCAAAAGACTTGACTTGGTTTTGAATTTGGGGTTCGTCTGAGCCAGTTTGTAGGTGAAGACAGAGAGCTGACCAAATAAACTTACCAACTCATATCAGATTTAGATTCAAATTTTATTGTCCATGTTAATTAAACACAGAAATTTGGTCTCCACTGGCAGGAGATAACAATGAATAACATGAGAATACATACATGTGCACAAAACAAAAACATTAATGTCAAAAAATATTACTTTCTCATTTTCTAATTTTGTTTCCATTGCAGGATCCAACAGGAGGGAACAGGAGCTGATGGAGGCTCTGCAGCTCCTGCTGGAGAAGCTCAACACCGGCAAGATCCCCCTGAGCCAGGAGATGCTCCAGCAGGCAGGTCTGGCTCCAGGTGGATCCATCTCTGGAGGAGGCGTGGTGTCCGGGAAGGGAGCCGCCGTGGACAAGCTCCTGGCCAAGCAGAAGGCGGAGCGCATGCACCTGGACAAGGAGCTGAGGGAGGAGGCGGAGAACGAGATGGAGAAGCTCCTAGCAGACCATGTAATTATTTAAAGCACATTCATTGTAATTGGGCAGTAATATGCTTACTGTAAGCACCTTCATTGTTTATTCTTGTTAATTTGAACATTGTAGGCATATTCAGTGTTAGGTAAGATGTCATGACCAGTTTTTACCTGATATTTGACCATCAGTATAAAATATATTTTCTATTCACAGGAGCTGTTTGTAGATATTTTTTCTCACATCCATTTTAAAAAAATATTATAATACTATATTATACTGTATTACTGTTTTGGTAGCAGCACCAATAAAGACTTTGGCTTTCCTAGCTGTCTCCACATTCATATACATTTTTGTTGTTGTATTCTATTGTAAATGTTTCTCTTTAACTTGTGTGCTATGATGTTTTTATGATGAATAAAATAAAAATCAATTCAACAAATCAATTCAACTCCAGGATGAAAAGCGTGCCTTGCTGAGCAGGCAGATGTCCGAGAACCTCCAAGCCAAGCTGGAGCAGGCGACCTCCCAGGAGGAAATTGAAAAGATCATGGCCGAGCATGAGAAGAAGCTGGCCGATTCCCTTGACCAGTTGGACAAACAGAAGGCCAAGCAGATGCAAGACTTGACCAGGAGGCTGGCCAACCGACGACGGGACAGAGAGGGTGCCCTCAAAAGGCAACACAAGGCAGAGGTAAAAGCACAAATTCGTATTACACTTTACAGCTCTGTATCTCATATTAAACACGGGCCTTGGTGAGGTACATGCGTGGCCTTTGTTGGGTCGATTGCCATTCGTTGACACATAAGAAAAATGTGGGTTTTGGGGTGTCTTATCTGAACGAGTCTTTATCAAGGGTCTTGCAGTTTGATATGGAGTAAGAATAATACAGTCAATGATCATCATCAATATCGGTAAACGTCAAAGAAATCAATCTCATGCTCTTTTGCAGGCCGAGCAGCTCGGCATAAAGCTGGAAGACGTCGGCGAGACGGATCCAGAGGGAGTCCTCCAGGACCAGGGCCTGGACCTGGACCTTCTGATGGCCGAGGAGAACGCTAGCAGGACCAAGGACCAGACTAACATCACAAAGAACCTAGCCAAGGAACAACAGAAGATGATGTCAGAGAACATGAACACTACCTTGGTATGATTTTGGAACTCCTTCTTTTTATTTTAATTTAATTTTTTGTTGTTGCTCACAGCAGCACCATAATGCAGAGATGATGTAAACATTTGCTTAATCAGGGTATCAATCGATTCAATTTGTATTTTTTCAACAGGGTGTAAAATGTAATTGGAGAAAAGTAGTATAGAATACACTGTACATATGAATTAATACCAACATGTATACAAGGAAGCATTGAAAAGAATGAGTTCATTTATCAAGTGATGCTAAGAAATATTGCAGGAGGGGTAGTTGAAGATACAAAATGATGTTATCTTAGGCTCCCTTTGTAGCAAAGATTGATTTATTTATAACATTGTAAGAAGATATCCAAAATAAGATACTTTATGAGTATTAAATGTCAAAATATGATATGAACAGGGACACAAAGCTTTCACATTTTTTAATTTGATATTACAGACAAGCCTTGAAGAAACAGGTATCCTCTCAGAGTCTGATGTGAGCGACCTTAAGGTAGAACTGGAGAGCTTGGAAGACGGACTCAAGAGAAAGCTAGAGAAGAGGAAGTCAGACCTCAACAGGAACATGAAGAACAAGATGGCTGAAAAGAGGAGGAGAAAGACAAAGAAACTTCAGACGCAGCACGATAAGGAACTTGAGAAAGTGAGTTTGGTCTGATGATGATGGTGATGGTGATGATGATAATTATGATGATGATGATTGTGGTTTTTGGTGCTAGTGGTAATGATGGTGTTGATAGTAGTAGTGATGATGGTGGTGGTGGTGATGATGATGATGATGATGAAGATGATAATCATAATGAAGATGATAATCGTAATGAAGATGATTGTGATGATGATGATGATGATCATTGTGGGGATAATGAAGATGCCATTGTGATGATGATCATTGTGATGATGTTAATAATTCTAGTTATGCCGTTTTGCAAATTTGATGTTAATGCTATTATTTGTATTAAAGGTAATATAAACATGTACATCTGCATAATGTCTATAAGAACATTACAATGATGATCAAAACAACCAATGGAAGAAATCCCAAGCATTTATTAACAAAATGTAACTATGGCAATCTTTTTTTCTCTCGCAGTGTAACTCCAGCGAGGAGGCTGAGGAGGTGGGGAAGAGACATCAGAAGAGACTGGAGACCATGGAGAAATGGCTTGACAGCGAAGAGAATCAACTAGCTCAGTCAATTGAGAAGGAGATCGGAAATCGATTGGCCAAGGAACTTCAAGAGGGACATAAGGAGATCCTTGACAAGGTTAGTAGAAAAAGTGAAGGAGTGCGGAGGAAGAGAGAGGGAGGAGGAAAGAAGAAGTAGGAGAAGAGAAGGGTTATCAATTGGCCGAGGAACTTCAAAAGACGAAATGAGATACTTTATATATGGTTAAAGCAGGAAAATAAAGGAGGGAGGAGACACGTGGCCACAGCTTCAAACTATCGAAAGTTGGAGCCTTCACTTCTATCCGAATGGGATCGTTTTCACAGCGAGTTGTCAATTTATGGAGCTAAATATGACATGTACAACCCTAAAGAAATGTTTCCTTGCTATTGCATTGTCTGAAGCTCCGACGTAGGCGCAATCCCCAGTACATACAGACATTAATCCTGCTGCAGAGGGGCATATAAGTAATTAGAATTGAAGCCCAACATCAAGGTAAATCAAGGTAAATGATGATAATTATACAATGAAAAAGAATGATAGAAGGTGTAGAGTACATGTAGAGTGTGAAAGAGGGGGAAGAGAGAGATTGAGAGAGGGGGGGAAGAGAGAGAGAGAGAGAGAGAGAGGAAGAGATACAGTTACAGAAAAAAGATGGAAATTAAACAGGAAGGTAAGAGGTAGAGTGTGAGAAGAAGACGGAAAGGCAGGGTAGAACAGGGGAGAAAGGGAGAGAGATGAGAATCGCTCCAGTGCTCACGAGATTGTATCGATTCTTGTCTACCACAGCTTGCTGGCTCTCACGGTGTCGACCAAGTCACCCAGCAGCGTCTCCTAGATCAGCTTCGTCGCAACAATGAGGACATCTCCTACGAACTTGGGGTCCAGCGCGAGCAGCAGTCCTCCAACTTCGATGCCAAGATCGCGGCCCGTAGAGGGCGCCGTAAGCAGGACATGCACCGCCTCGCCGAGGAGGAGGCCGCTCAACGCATCCTGAAGGAGCAGGAGAAGGCGGTCGGGAAGAAGGACGATCGGGGCGGATTCAGCATCATGGGCGTGGCGGAAGACACACCCATCAACATGGCAGAGCTCTCCATGGAAGAGCAGGTGAGGGTTTGATCTTATACTGCTTACCGTAATTGATATTAATCAGGCCACACGTTTTGTACAGTACATTAACTTTTTATTAAGGATGCTCTGTATCGAGTCACATAAAATGCATGTGAGACTATGTTTTAAAACTGCTAAATTGTAGCTCATTGACAGTGCCTTGAGCACCCTCTGGGTGGATATGTTGCGCATTATAAAAGTCTTTATTATTATTATTAAAATCAAGTAGTGTGCATTTCTGTGTGTGTCTGTTTGTTTTTTGTCTTTTGTCTGCTTTTTGTCTTTATGATAGATCCATCAGGTTCATAGAAACCATGCAAAGAAAATATAATATATTATTCATCATAAAGCATACTGATAATCCAAGTAGGAAATATGACTTTGTTTTAAGACAGTTCGTCCATCTCATTCTTTCTTCTAGGCTGTGGTCAGGGAGCACCAACGCGTCCAAGAGGAGATGAAGGAGCGCCACGAGCAGGAGAAGGAGGACCTCCAGAAGAACCTTGGTGAGGGAGCCAAGACCAAGGAAGCCGAAGAGGTCAAGAAGCTGGAGCGGGAGAAGTCCAAGGTCCTGTCGGAGACCCGGAACAAGCACGCCGCGGAGCTGGCCGCCCGTCAGGACCTCTCCGAAGAGGAGATGAAGCTGTTGCTCCAGACGCATGCCCGAGAGCTGGAAGACATCGAGGATCGCATGGAGAGCGAGAGGACCAGACAGCAGCTGGCGGTGCGGGACAGGCTGGCAGCGCGCAAGAAGAGACTCCTGGAGGACCAGAGGCGGAAGCAGGAGCTGGATCTTGCCAAGGAGGCGATCGAGCAGAAGAAGGAGCTGAGGGATGTCCACGGGAAGGTGGTGAAGGAAGCAGAGAGGAAGGAGATGGTGGAAGAGATACAGAAAGTTGGAGGACAGAACACGGACAAAGTCATCAAAGAGGTAGGTGGATAGGGATGAGGATGATAAATGGAAAGTAAGAAAGGAAGAGAGGAGGAGTAGAGGGGATTGGGAGGGAAGAGGAGAGTTAGGAGGTGGAGAGGAAAAGGATGTTGCAAGAGATACAAACGGCTGGAGGACAGAGCTTTAAAAAACCAAAAGAATTGAAAATGATTGAAGAAAGCAGATAGGTTGCATATTATATGTTATTATATGTTAAAACTAAATGGATAGTGGTTCAGACGAAAGGAGGAATGAAACAAAGAGAAAAAGTAGAGCAGATTTTTGATGTTGTGAAATAGATTTAGCATTGTCAGTTTTTCTCAAAACATTAAGAATGATGTAAGCATGGTTCATTTTTACATTCACTGGTGGTTAACGTGAATTTTATTAAAAATTCATCTCACTTAACCATAGGTTCTTGCCAAACGCCAAGCCCAGGAAGCCAGGGGCCTCGATGCCCAATTTGCTGCTGAACGTCGCATCGCCGTCGAGGGTGCTCTCGACAAGCTCCACGACAAGTACAACGCCAAACGCGACTCCATGCTCCAGAGGCACGAGAAGGAACTTGCAGATCTGGCCAAGGAAGACCTGACGTCGGACCAACGGCAGCAACGCAAGGCTGCACTCCTCAACAAGCAGCAGATTGAGCTGAACAAGCTGGAGCGGGAGCTGGCGGACGAGAAGAAGGGCATTGAGAAGGGCGCCCTCAGCGACTGGGAGCTCCGATACGCCCGAGCCAAGCTCCAGATGAAGGAGAGACACTATCAGGTACACACGATGAGAATGAAATTCAGGAATTTTATATCTGTTATGGAAAATTATACTTTTGTCTTCTTCATTTTTCATGTATTTCTTACATGAAGTTGGTACATTAAATTTTGGGAAAGACATAATATTCAACTCGATGAGAATCATGCAAACTTTATTATACATTATGAAAATGTTCAAGACTATAAATCTAGATTGCTATTTTATAGATAACAGAAAAGTAATGACCCATGCTATTTAATAATTTATTTAGTTATTCATTTATCCATTTATTCATTCTTCCATTCTTTCATTTATTCATTTATTCCTTCATGTAGAATTTTTATTTATTTAATTATTCATTCATTTCCTAATTTTATTTTTGTCAATAGGAGTATGCGGATGCCTTGAAAGAGTTAAGCTCAGACCAAGACGCTAACCATGTGGTTAATGCCGAACAGGCCGCCAAGGCAGCTCAAGAGATTGAAGAAGTCAGGCAGAAGCTAGAATCTGAGAGGATGGCCAACGAGGAGAGGATCAGGAAAGAAAGAGAAGGTAAGAAGACAGGTGCAGTGGGTGAGAAGATTATGGTGGTGGTGGTGGTGGTGTTGATGGTGATGACGGTGATGTTGGTGGTGATGACGGAGATGTTGGTGATGGTGGCGGCGATGATGATGATGATGATGGTGATGATGAAGATTTTGATGATGATTGTGATGATGATAATGATGAAGATGATGTTAATGATAGTGATGATGATGATGTTGTTGATGGTGATGTTGATGACGTTGATGTTGGTGATGGTGGCGGTAATGATGATTTTGATGATGATAATGACAATGGTGGTGGTGTTCGTAATGATGATGATGCAAATGATGTTGATGGTGGTGATGATGATGATGATAATTAAATGTGGAGGAGCAGAATTATATAGGTATTTGTATAAAGTTAGTAAGAGTTAAAAAATAATATGAAAACAATGACAATGTTTGAATGAATTTAGAATTAACCATGATCGAAATCATTAATATTTTCTCTTGATTCCCTATTAAAAATCCTGTCTCCAAACATTCTTTCATCTCCAGACTTTGAGGAGAACGAGAAGAAGAAGATGGCGCGTGAATTGGAAGAATACGAAAGCAAACTAACTGATGAAGAGAAGAAAGATAGAGAGAAGAACGAGAAGAGAATCAATGGTCTCAACAAGAGAAAAGATCAACTCATCAAAGATAAGAAGAAGAAACAAGAGGTGGGTTTCCTTCTCTATGAAATAAAAACAAGTATACTCTGTCAGTATATACATGTACATCAAAATTACATCTGTTCCGCGATATGAACTTTGGTGTTTCCACCAAGTCTAGTGTCAGCGAATTATGACCTTCTGCACATGGAAACTGATGACCCACTCCCTGTAAACTACATGTATCACTTACGTGCTCCTTTGTTCTTGTTTGCAGGAGAAACTGTCGGCCATGAAGGATCAAGGAGCAAGCCAGGAGGAGCAAGAGAAGATCATTGCCGAGTTTGAAAGAGATCTTCAGAAGGTCCAAAACCAGATGGATGCTGATAGACTGAGGATGCAGAGTGAACTAGAGGTATGTATCACTAGAAAGATAGACAAATTAATAGATGGATGGATGGATGGATTGATAATTGCCGAGTTTGATAGAGATGTTCAAAAGGTCCAAAATCAGATGGATGCTGAGGATGGATAGAAGAATTGATAACAATGAAATATCTGATTAATGCATTGAAATGGATCAATGAAAAGATTAATTTATAGAATTAATGTTCATCAATGCTCTAAATTCATGATTTAATTCTTCGACCCACAGGAGAGAATCCGAAAGCGGAAGGAGGAGAGACGAAAGGCCAAGGTAGAACAGGTGCAGGGCCAGGTGGAGGAGAACATCAAGGAGAAAGAGGAGGAGCTCAAGTCAGAGGAAGAGAGGATGAAGGCGGAAGAGGTAAGAAGAGAGAATGAAAGAAAGGGAGAGAGAAAGAGAGTGAGCGGGAGAAAGAGAGAGAGATAGAGTGAGCGAGCGATGGGGGTTACGTAAGATACAAGGAAATAAAAGAGGGAGAGAAATAGAGATAAAGAATTATAGAGGAGAGAAAGAATAAGAGAGAAAAAATTGTAAAAAATGGATGAGCGAGGGAGAGGGTAAGAATGAGAGAAAGTAAGAGATGAAGAGTGGGAGTAGTAAAGGAGAGACTAGTATACATTTATTATGTAAAGCAATACAGAAAAAGTGGCTGATATTGAATAAGTTAGACAAGGGATTCATTTTATGGAAGGATGGAAAGATTTATGGAAAGAGTTATGGAAAGAGATATCATACATGAGAGACACCAAAGAGAGCCAGGATGCAAACGCAGAGTTCTATTTTACATTTTCACTCCATGATATCCTCTTAAACAGGTAATCCTGCTGCGTAACAGTGTAGAATCAGACCACCTCCTTTCGGATGCTCCCGCCCAACAAGAACAAGCCTTCCCGACGGACTACACCATGGCTGCTGCCCTCAGTGATGCAGACTTGGCCAACCTTCTCATGTCATCACCGCTCTACCGCAAGCTGGGCGAGATCAAGCGTACCATGGAGGATGGTACGCTGCCTCAGCGCAAGCGTGGAGAAGGTATGTGTAGTCCCACTAACCGTGATTGGTGTCTTCAGTCCCGTAAAATGATTTTCATGTTAGATATTATTTATGAATGCATTAGCTAGGCCAGTAGGGGTGTGCTTCCTTATTTCCTCAGTCATATCAATAAGACCACCGCCAGACCGACTACAGACCTCATAAATAATAACATTAGCACCAATGGCAGAAATTCAAGCAATTTAGGGTCAGTCTTGACTTGAGTTTGTATGGCGGTGTGACTGGGGCATAAAACTGAAATTCATCTCCCAGTACTAACTTTATTTCTAATTTCTTGAATGAATGTTGTACAGTATTAAGCCCTGATATGAAAGTTCTTGTATCACATCCAAAAGGAAAATTTACCTAGTCGTTTTGGCGGTTACTGCGTCGTATCTGCCAATTTGCTTCTGAGGAAGATGTCTGAACCTTAGACGTAGAAACTGTTAAAGATAGATCTTCCTTTTGGATGTGATACTAGAACTTTCTAATCAACTGAAACTCTTTTATTCAAACCCCATTATGTGATGTCCTAGACAATATTGACTATTGGTGATATTCAAATGACTACCAACCTTGCTTTGTCTCACAGAAATCTTCACAGACAAGAACGACACCGAATGGACAAACGACCAGGAGCTCGTGCCGATCGACCTCAACAAGCTCTCACCCCGCAGCTTCGTGGCTTACCGCTTTGGATGCTTCGTGGTGCGTCTCGTCGCTGTCCACTGCGGCCACAAGCCCGTCTCGCTGCTCATCGCGGAGAAGATCCCCGTCAACGAGAAGCTTGTGAGGAACGCTTACCGGAACTCGTTCCACTACGATGACCTGAACCATATCCTGTACGTGAGGGAGGAGAGGCTTGGTAGCGTCGGAGAGTTCATGCTCGTTATCATCCATGCTCTTGCTCACATCAAAGCAGGTCAGTTATAATAAGAATTAATAATAATTACATTTAAAGGGTGCTTTATACAGGTGTTTCTTAGCGCACAGGTGGTGCTGTCTAACTTAGTATAAGTATTTAACATGTTCAATAGCTTAAAAGCAACAAAATAATGACAAATATGACATAATTTGTTGCATATTGGCATTGCATGATTGTTCTTAGCATAGTACTAGATTATAATGTATAAAAGAATGATGTACATTTATGTCTACTGCAATAGGTATATAGTTTTACTAGTTTTCAATGTGTAGTTTTAATTCATTCATTCAGATGCCCATTTCATTTCTTACTTTTTAACTTTCTTCATATTTGCTAGTAGATCTAGTAGATTTTTAAAACATGTATATCCAATATTATCATCATCACGTTTTATATATCAATTTCTGTTAATTGTGTTAAAAATGTAAATGCTCAAAATCTAAATGTTACGAGAAAAGGGAATGAAATGCTTTGCCAATTCTCTCTTCTTCTTTTTCCCACTCATCCATGTATGTAAATTTGATTTGTTTTATTTTATATAATTTCATTTTATGGATGATGTGCAATATATTAAAGTTTCCATTATTATTATTGTTAATTTATTCCTTGAACTTATTTTTGATTGTTTTCCATATTGATGTATTTTTTATTTATATTTGAACTTTGTAATCTTTGTTTGTATCAGTCTCCTGACTGTTTTAACATGGAATTTTTACTCAATAAACCGAAATGAATGAATGAATGAACATGTAGCAGGAATGCCAGTTTTCAGGCAATAGCATGATTTCAGGCCCTGGTGAGTTATTTTCAGACCATAGTTTAGGCTTTTTTGTGTACAAAATGGCTCATTCTAGGTGATTTCCAAGCCCTTTGATCAATTCTAACTGGCATCCCTGATGTTGATTGTCAGACTCAATTGTACAATGTGATGTAATCGTTACTCTTCTTTGTTATCCTCAGGTGATATGCGAGACGACACCAACGTCGACTTCCTCCGCGAGTTCCACCTTGCGCTATCCGTCGTTTGCAACGATCTCTTCTTCGCCCGCTACCGCAGCAAGAACTCACCGCGGGACACCACCTCTGACCGGGACGGCGAGGGTATCAGCACCCTGGAGGAGCCGCCACTCGACCCCGCCCAGTCCAAGGCCCTCATCGATGCCATGTTTGGTGGAGAGCAGCTGGAGACAGAGAAGGAGGACTCGTTGGAGAGGCTCATGGACGTCAAGCTCCTGCATGGTAGCGATGAGGATGGGGTTCACTTCAACAAGGAGCTCCTCTCAGAGAGGTGAAATATTTGTCTTTATATACCACATGTCTAGATTCTAGGCCTCTGATTGGTCAAATTTGCGGGCATGAAATTCACTACGGACTGCCGGGCGGTATGGTGAAAAATATTGACCGGGCATAGTGTTATGTCTTTGTATGTGTGCTCGTAGCTATGGTAATTTAGATACGTGGGCGCGCGGCCGGCACCATATCATACATGTATAGCACACCGAAAACAAAATTTAGAAAGAGCGATCTATGAGAATTACTTTACGGTACCGTATTTCATCAGTTTTTGAAATTAATTTTTGAGCTAACAAAGGTTGCGCTATGTAAACAAATGTTGACTGCTTCTTTTTTGCATCACAGGAAAAAAACTATGGCCCTCAGTGATCTCACAACTGCGCTATCCCCCTCGACTGTCGTTTCGGGACAAAGAACAGTAGCAAGCCCTCCTCGGGCTATAAGTGTTTACCGTGCCCCTCAAAGCAGTCAACATTTGTATACTACATTGTATTTTTACCTTGTCAGTATTGATGACATATACATCAATATCAAATTACTCATTATGCTACTTCAATCTATTGTGTGTTATTTTACAAATTAGAATGGGAACTCCTCACTTAGTATTTGAAGAAATTGTATTCACTATTGGAAATTTTCTTTTTATTACAGGATGAGCTCGTTCAGTAACTTTAGTCTGAACGACAAGATGAGGAACTTCCTTGGAGCAGTAGAAGATAAGATGGCGTTGTCAAGGCAACATGGGAGCAGTGATGATGTTGACAAACGTCTGGCAAAGCTGACTGGAAAGCCAGCAACATCCAAGACTCATCCAGCTGTAAGTTATAAATGCTCTCTTTCTTACAGTGTTTCTGTCCTGTCTTTTCTTTGCCTTCATCTCTTTCTGCTTTTTAATTTTTCATCCTTCAGTCTCTCCGTGTCTCTTTCTTCACAGACCTATTTGTATGTTTGATGTTGTCTTAATATATTTGTATTTCTCCTCTCTCCCTCTTTCTCTCTCTCTTTCTATCTCTGTCAATGCTTTATTTTCCCTCTCTTTACCTCTCTCCATACTAACCATGTCATTGCTATCTTTTATTTCATGCTTCCTTATCCTCCCCATACTTCTTCCCTCTCCCTCTCTTCTTCTCTTTCGCCCTCTCCTATTTCTCTCTTCTCTCTTTATCTATCAGTCTTTCTATTTTTCTTGCTGTCTATCATTATATCTGTATTCTAACACCCCTTGGATCTTTTAAGCTTCTATTCCCTTATGTTTTCAAGTTCCAATGTTATGTATTGTCCAGGCAGCTTTACAATGAAAGTACATAATATATTTGAGTTCTTGGTCTGCTGTAGTTGCTTTGTCATACATATACAGTCAAATCTGTCTATTAAGGCCAGACAAAAAGGGGCCACTAAGGTGACCTTTCTAGTCAGGTTCTCCAACACACATTTCTCTCTTTGATGGAGACAAAATGCATGGCCACTATAGACAGGTGACCTTTATAGAGAGGTGTCCACTAAAGACAGGTTTGCCTCCTATGCCCTTTGCCTTGTCACAACCAAATAAATCATCAACTACTTAAACCATTTCTTTTTCAGATGAAGGGCATGAAAGGCGCCATTGACCAGCTCCCCGATGAGCTGAGTGGTACCGCACTCTGGCAGAGTGTGTCCCAGGGAGCTACGGCCAAGGAGCGTTCCGGCGGTCGCATCATGCTGGCTGCTAGCAAAGCCCAGGATAAGAACCTACAGAAACAATTCCTTATGGTAAGTTAAGATTTGGTTCAGAGTCTGCACTAGTTTGGCCAGGGGGATTAGAACTCCCTGCAAGGTCACTGACAGGTGGTTATCTCATCAAACAGTTCTAAATTAACATAAGAAAAAGGGGATCATGGGGGACCAACAGGCACCAATTAGGCATTGTTTGCTATAAAGAGGGCGCAAGTAGCTATAAGTGGTGTCGAAGAGATATTGTGGATACAGTCAAAACCCTTCAAACTTTCAAAGCCATACTCAAGACACACCTAAAGCTTGCTTGTTACAATTCAGTTTCCTTTCTTAATCTTTAATTCATTGACTTCATGCATTTATATTGATTACACTTTATAATATTATGATAATGTTTATCCTAATCGTTTAGAGAAAACAACCTGGTGACTGAGAAATCCAAGTTAAAACTTGTGCATATCACTCTCTTAGGCATAATCCTTACATTTAAATCCTGTTTGCACTAGTTTGGCCAACAGGGATTAGACCTTCCTACCTGGTTGGTCAGGGGTCACTGACAGGTGATTATCTCATCAAATCAGCTCTCAACTAACATAAGAAAAAGGGGATCATGGGGGACCAAAGGGTACCGCATAGGCATTGTTTAATATATATATATATATATATATATGTTATATATATATATATATATATAAGGCGCAAGTAGCTACAAGTAGTGCGGTCCCGCTTTAAAACTATTTCCTTCACAATTATCTTTTCTCCTACACCTTCAGGACGAAGTCAACTCACTGACGGAGAAACTTGATAAGCTCAATACCACCTTCGCAGAGCTCAGCACCAAATACGTCAAGACGCAGGGCACGATCAGCGCCATCTATGAAGAACTACACTCTCAGAAGACACTTGCAGAGGAAGAGAAGGAGAAGCCTGAGGAGAAGGTAAGTAAATTAAGATTTAAATTATGCAGCATCCTTAGCCTCAGAAATTCAGCATTTTTTAAAAATGTTGTGTCGTGACATTTAAAGTTAACAAATAGTGGTGGAGAGGTGTTGTGGTCTAATGGACAAGTCACTGGACAGTCAATCACAAGGTGGGGAGTTCGAAACCCAGCTCGACACTAATGTCCTGTTGCAAGATGTTATCTACATTTGCCACTTTCCGGCCAGGCGAAAATGGGTACCTGATATGCTAGTTTCTTTAATGGCTCACCTAAAATTAGGGTAATGATGTCTAAACGCCTCGAACGACACTGATTAACGGACATATACATAAGGGGTCCTTTTTATTATTCATTATATGACATTATTTTTTGTTTTGCCGAAAGAGTTGACTTTCATTCTTGTAAGGTAAAAGCTGTAGGTTACAGGTGAACTTTTTGTAGTATACACTTTTATCTTATAATTTGAAAATAAGTGCAAATTGAGAAGCTAAAGTTGTTTGTGATAAAATATTTAGAAGGTGTGATATCGTATTTGAAGGCAAAACTTCTTTTTTTAATTCCATAGATTTTGCATTCAAAGCCTTACATGTATGCTAAATCTTGTTTTCCTGCATATTTTTATCTGTCTTGTATTAACTTCCTCCTTTTTGTTTCTTTTGTATAATAGGAGAAGCTGATGAAGGACACAACTAAACTTCTGAGCGATGCACAAAACAACCTGACCGACCTTAATCTCAAACGGGACACTCTCTCCAAGAAGATTGACTCGTACAGCAAGCTACTTGAAGAGAGACAGCAGCAACTACAAACCCAACTCAGACGCAAAGATGTCAAGAAGAAGTAAAAACTCCCCTGTTATGCATAATGGAATGGTCACTTAGTCATAGAGTCGTGCGGTATCTGGGTTATTCCATTTAGTCTCTAAGGGATGATACTCGTATAAGATTTGAAAATATTGACCTGTACAGTAAGTTATTTGTAGAAGGAAAATACATTTTGTAGCAAGTACACTGCCCACTCGGATGTAAGGATTCAATAAGTGAAAACTCCCCTTTATCGCATAATGGAACAGTCCGTTTGTTATAAAGTCATGTACCATATGGGTTATTTCACTGAGTTAAAGAGGGAAGTGCAGTCTGGTGAGAACTGTTTTACAGTTATACATGTAGGCCACAACTGGGGTGCCAATTTAAGAGCATAAGTTTTTGGTTTATCTTCCACAGAAATCAAATAGAACAGCCGCAATTTTATAACAATGTGTACAATGAGGGTCAACCCATTTAAAGCAAAGGTAAATACATATAACTATTTCAGATGTTTATTTTAAACCAGTTTTGCACAAAAGCATGATCAAATAATTTTTTTTTAAAAGCTGACTTAATGGAATCTTCCAACATTTCTGCTGTCTTATACCAACTGGACTGCACCATTCAGAAAGAGGGGGTATCTTGATTCCCAACAGAGGCTTATTCCAGACACCCAGAGTCTGTTATGCACAAAATTGAAAAGTCAGTACATGTACAACCTTTTCTTATAGGAGAAAGACCCTTGAATTCAAAAATAAATACTTGAAGAAATCCAGTAAACTTCTGATCATTTATTTATTTACTGACTTTTATACTGATTATGTATACATAGATTGTTACCGCATTGTCTTAGACTTGTATATATATGGACTATATCTTTACAAGAATATATTTTGTCGTAGTAATGATTATACATTTTAAGTTTTATAAAAATGTGTATATATGTGTGTGCTCTTAATCTTGATTCTATTGCAATACTCAGAATGATATGATTGATAATAATAATGATGTAAATATATTATATTACATTTCAATGTTGCTTAATACATAAGGTTCTAAGCACTAGGTTATTGTCAGGATTAAATTTCTGAAATACTGATTTCTGATCTCTTTCTTATGACACGTTGGTTATTTGACTATTTGAAAGTACATTAAATTTGTATAAAAACGTTACTGTATTAATTATCTTGTGCCTTTCAATCATTTTCGTATTCTTTATGCAAAGATATTTATCAAAACTTTGTACAAAGTATTTTTGACATTTGTTCCGTCCAGGATTCTAAAGCGATAGCAGTTTCCAAAGTATTTCTTTTTACGACCGTCCTTCAATAATGTGTTTTTTGCCTTCATTGTAGATCAATAATGTGAATAACCAACGAACGAACTCCTATAAATAGAAATATTTTATTGTTGGCCAGAAAACTTTAGTAAATAGAAAATATGTATGTGGATTTCAGATTTTTAATCGTAAAAAAAGAGGAGAATATTCCATCCAATAATGTTAAGTCGTGGTAGCATTTAAATTTTCCACGCAGTAAATTAATGAATTGAGCATATAAAACCATTCAAATATTTATTCAACAAGTACATATCAATACAAGTTTATGTGTGACAAATTTCTAGTTTGAGTTAGGTATATGATCCGTCCAGTCATAACGGCTTTATAAAACTATAAGCTGTCAAAACAGCATCTTTCTTACTTTGGGTTTTTATTTAACATGTCAAGGAAGATATTCTATGTAATATATTAAATACAATGTTATGCATCCTTTACAGCGTATAATGAATGCACTATTATTAATCATGTTATTTGTGACATAACAAAACTGCAAAATAATTATGGCATGCAAAAATGAATATCATTTATTTACCAATTCCATCCAATTGAATAAATAAATCACCTTGAAAAATGTATTGAAAAGCCTTTATTTGAACAAAATTTGTATTCACCTTTGATTCTGTATTGAATTGAAAAAGTATTGTTAGATGTTAAATGTGTAAATCATGACTTGTAAGAGTTATTTGTATTGATCATATTTATAAATTGTACATTAATTTTCTGATGCTGTACATTAATTATTTGAGTGTGTCAAATTATTTATCAGAGTCTTTCAATGAACAATCAGTGTATTTCCTTTCAATTAATTGTTGAATTTAAAAGTATATTTGTACATAAGAAGAGACACTAGAAGCTTGTTGAATATTATGCTATACTTGAATTACGAACAAAATCATTTTTAATGGTTGTTTTATTAGCATAATGTGTACATTTCTGATTTGTTTTTTAAATATATGTTTTGTTGTGTTTTCTGTGTATTTTGTGAAACTATTTTGAATAAATGAAGTTTAGATTTTGTAGACTTAAAGAACTGTCCTGATTTGATTTTTTTTCGAGTTAGATTGCTCGGCCAGAAGGCCTCGCGCTTCGCACACACACTGAATTTGCACCCATGTACGTGGTCACACCCAGGTCTGTGCGTGCGTCGACATTTTAAATTGTTCAAAATGCTTATTCGACCAATTTGCTACACGTTTCAGGCCTTTATGAACATATACAAATCTTGCATGCGCTCGCATTTTAGCGTGTGCTATCTGTACTGAATGTATTGATTCAGTTTTTGCACTTGTATTGTGTTGCTGACACTATTTTTTTAGCGATTTCTAATCACTTTTAGCCATCATTGACCTAACTTTAGCTCATAGACATTCGTTCTATGTTCTGATAGGGTATGAATTGGAGATGCAATTTCGTTTATCACGTTTGCTGTTAGAATGCTTTGACGTCAACATACAGTAGTGCAATTTAGAGAACAACCATTGAATTTGATTCGATTAGGTAATATTTTCCTTTGTTGTTTTGAATATATCTCGTCTATCCGTACTCTGATGTCTCTCATATTTTATTATGTTGTAGCCGAGACTTTACTCTAAAAATTAATTGGGAAGTCAATTTTGTATCAGGAGACGGGATCGTGGTCAAAATTCCGATTCAAGGTGAAGGCCGCAAAATCTGCCATTATGATTTCTACTTTGTACTTGTTATATGAATAGCGGCTGGGATTTTTTTTCTAAGTCCGAGTTTCTCATTGATTCTGTGTTATTAGATGATCGGCCGATTAACGCTCCCTTTATCATCACCGATCCACCCAAACCGCCGTCAAAACATGACACTTGGCCGGTATGGGTCGTGAATCTGAACATGCAGTCCGGCCTTTTGGTCTCACAGTCAGATTCGGCGATTGCCTCTTGATTCTTACTATTCTCCATCGATACTTAAATTATCTCTCTGACAATTCTCATCTGCACATTTTCTCTTCACGATTCTCGACCGTCAATATCGCTTTTCTTGCTGCTCTAGCTGTACGATCCGACATATTCGTGTAATAAATATTCATTACTTTAACTTTACGAACGAAGTGTTATTTGGTTGTTAGTTCGCCTAGTATTGTCATTAATTTAATGGTAACAGGGTTGTTCTAAACAATAGTAAACACAATCATTTTTACTGTTTATACGTCCTTGATTACTAAATGAGCTTGTACAGGCGTGTTATGAGTGTAGGGTGAATTTTTGTTGAAGACCAAATCTCTCATTGAGTATTTACATTATGTCCCGATCACCTAAACTGTTTCCGTGACGTCAAATTCAATTTCTATTTTTGTAGCTAATCTCATAATGAGAGTAGTATTGCAACATTCTTTCTCTCTCTATATCTCTCGATCCACGTTTATTTCCACAGTGTCATTCAAAATATATTTTGTGAGGTCATTACGTCCAATACAAAGGAAAGTGGAAGATAAAATTTATGATAATAAACAAAACCAAAAAACCTAAACAAAAATAGATTATGACTATAAGTGGACTTCATCATTCAATACTTGTATAAAAATAAATTATGAAACAAATCTTGGCAAAAGGTTTCGATGGAAACAGTGAAACCCTCGAAGGGATGCATGGGTAATCTGCCAATGTATAGGGAAGCAATCGTCAGAAGTATATTCTCTAGTTTTCAAACCCATATCAATTTCAAGATAAATTCCATCTCCAAATGTGTAAACTTAAACATGTGTTTTAAGGTTTAGAAATCTTTAATTAATGTTTCAACTCACGAAACGTGAGCCACCCCCGGGAGCCATATACCCGACCCCGTGTCTTATTTGATTGTCATTAATTTATTCAGTTCATTCCTATCCAACGCAGCAAAGCCATTCTTATCACTTTCTACGTACTCAAATAGCTTTCGCACACAATACGACTATAGTCACCGGACCACTTTTGTGGAATGAACTCGGCTCGCCACCTTTCTTCAAAATGTTCTTTTTAAAGATTTACGTTATGCACCAATGGCTCCCTGATATACACTGCTCTTCTTTGTTATGATCCCTTCGACTTTTTTTCGCTTCTCTCTCGCCTTTTTCCTGTTATTTTTCTTGAATTTTGTATTAAATATAACATACATGCTCAATAGACTGTTCATATTTATACAAGAGAATATAACATTTACAAGCTTAGCTTTTCATTAGATTTCAAGTTATTTCATTACGAATGTAATTGTCTAATTAAAGTTTAAATACCATGTATATATCCGTACGTTATTTCGACTTTATTATCACTTTAATGGCCTGATATTATTGTATGTATTTTTACACATATTGAAAGGTAAATTATTTTCAATCTGTTTATTGCTTATGATTTAGGTACTAAATGTGAATGTGAAATATAACTAAATCTGAAAACTAAACTGAAACTAAATTTGTCATTTTACTATTTTGATGAAGCTTAAAACATTGGACACAACTTTCATAGCAACGTATTTTTACTCAGAAAAATTATAATGGTTAATTTCGTTAATAACTATAAATTCAAATATCCGGGGTTATCCATCTCCACCCAAAAAATCTGATTCACCGGTCAATACCAACAATGATAGTTAATAAGTAATTCTATGGTATTGTGAATTGCGACTGAGGCTAAATCTAAGCTCCTCTTCCCGCCACAAATATTGTTATCATGAGATGTTTAGCTGGTAGCTTTTCGTGAAACGGTTTAGGAAGATCAGAGACTTCTCCGTGGTTGGCGGATAAAGTTTAATTAGTTGGTTTCGAGAAAGATGAGTATTAAAATGCCTTTTCCGTGTTGGGGGTTTCTGAAAAACTTTGCTAGAGTCAGGGTCGATTGAATGGTATAAATAAATGGAGATCTAATGAATGGGGATGACGGACACACACAAATTACAAATACAAATTACATTACAACATCAAATAAAACATCTGTAAATGCAAATCAGCCGGATATTTATTATCAATAACACCTTCACCCACATTGAAAAGACGAACACCCAAACGATTAGAAACATGGCATATCATCAAGGAACTGAATTTGTTATAACCATCTTCTCCCGATTAATGCATTGTTATGTGTATGTACTAATTGTATGTATGTATTCGTAGTTATCTTGCTGGAATTTGGCAGACTGTTAGAACAGTCTACCAAATTCCAAACTGCTTTAATAATCAGACGGATTAGTTTTGTCGAGAAATGTTAAAAGTGATAATTGACGAGTTTTAAACAAACAACAAAATTCTTTTTTTTTTTTAGGGGGGGGGGGTTGTTTTTGTTTATGCTTCGTTGATGTTTACATATTGTGCATCTTCAAGAATTTCACGATTTATTCATTCCATTCAATAAAAAGCACATTTGTGAATACAAAAATATTGCAGGTGTCAAAAAAAATGGAATACGAATTATACAAACATGAGAAGGTCACTGATCAATACATGCACAGGAAAAGAAAGCAAATGGAATTTTGGTCAATGCAAAAGTTCAAATAAATTTGAACTTGTCGAAGCTGTGCCAAAGATTTGAATCAATTTTTGTTTGCAATTGGTAATTATGTACATAAATAATATACTGAATAATTACAAAACATTACAAAACTAAACAAATATGTATAAATTAAACATATGTTATAAGTAAAGAAGGAATAGAATAGAATGGAATAGAATAGAATATAAGGTTATTGTCTTCTTCCGAAGAATGAAGAAACTTTCCTTCCAGGTGAACATACATAAACAATTACACAACTTATACAAAATTTATAATATAAATACATACATACCAAAATATCAAATGCATAAAAAAGAATAAAAAGTATGAGTTAATGAATAATACATACATATAATACAAATAACATAAAACATAAGGATAAAGGGAAGAAGATAAAAAGGAAGAGATAGAGAATAATATAGAATGATGAGAATTAAAGGAGAATGTAGCCCCGGGGTTAGAAAAAGTAGGAATGAAAAATTGAATGTATTTTTATCACATAAAATTGTATACAGGGGTTCAGTGTTTGCTAACGAACAAGATTAGATTTTCCTTTTAAATACATTTAAATTTAAATGTCTAGTTTGACATATTTCCTGAGGAAGTGCATTCCAGTCAAGAGGTGCAGTATGTTTAAAAGAAAATTACACAAAGTTTTTTGGTACATTTTAGTATATGAAATTTCTCTCTATGACGAGTCTTATAGTTATGGATTTCATTGTTGAAAGTTGATGACACTTGCTGATTTTCGGGCAGTGATGTATACATTTTTTCGCTTTAATAATCAGACGGATTAGTTTTGTTGTGAAATGTTCAAAGTGACAATTGACGAGTTTTAACCAAGAAACGTATTAAGTCTATGTTTAGAATTATGTATGGTTTATACTTCGTTCATGTTTACATATTGTGCATTTTATTTATCAGCATTCGCAATTAATATGTGAATAAACATGTCCTGCTCATATGGCAATATATGAATGCGCACTGGGATTGCATTAACTAACTCTATTGATTGGCTTCTAATTCTACTATTTAATTTTTACCTAAACACCCACCCTTACACAACACAATGCTTTCACGTTTACTTTATTATGCATAGTCTATGTTTATATTCACAACTTATAGTTTCACATGTCATCGTTCACATCCTAACACATCATCGTTGACCAATTAATCAAATTGAATTTCACTGTTTAGTCATAGTTGTAGTATTAATAATAATAATAATAATGATAATAATTATAATAATAAAGATAATGATAATCCATTATTCATTAATTTTTGTCTAAACATTTTGTAATGTTCACTAGTATTTACAGGCAAAAACACTCGTATCCAATACAGAAAAAAAGTACAGTAGAACACTATGTGTTTCCTACTGATTTATCAAAACACGATTAACATGATGGAATATATGCCTTCGTAGTTTATGGCTTATATACACTGTTGGTCATAATGGTGGAATTTTTATTTTTACCCCAGTTTAGGGAAGGATTTTTAAACATTATTTATTTCTAATAGATCTAGATAATGGCATACATTCTCAGATTTTATTGAATATTAATTTGCAAGTGTTTGTTTTGCGTGACTGCTTAATCATGTGTGTGCTACTATGCTAATCAGCTAAGGGACCTACGTCCTTAAGTCATAATTGACAGTAATGAGGATTAATGCCTCACAAAAGGGCACTGATATATAGCTGATCGACACGATTTTTATCCTGGAGCCTCACAGTAACGAGGCCATTGCTTAGCCCCTGAATCATGACTGTACGCAGTGTTTGCTAGGGTACGCGGCCCCTTCCAGAAATCCCCCAAAACGAAGAAAATGCAATAAATTGTCAAAAATTCATTGCATTTCCCCCCGGCCCCCAACAGGAAAAATTCCTCTGTGTGGCCATGCCTTGAACCATAATGCATGGCCCTACAGAGGAATTTTTCCTGTTGGGGGCCGGGGGGAAATGCAATGAATTTTTGACAATTTATTGCATTTTCTTCGTTTTGGGGGATTTGTGGGGGCGGCCGCGTAGCCTAGCAAACACTGCGTACAGTCATGATTCAGGGGCTAAGCAATGGCCTTGCGACTGTGAGGCCCCAGGATAAAAATCGTGTCGATCAGTTATATATCAGTGCCCTTTTGTGAGGCATTAATCCTCATTACTGTCAATTATGACTTAAGGACATAGGTCCCTTAGCTGATTAGCATAGTAGCACACATATGATTAAGCACTCACGCAAAACAAACACTCGCAAATTAATATTCAATAAAATCAGAGAATGTATGCCATTATCTAGATCTATAAGAAATAAATAATTTTAAAAAATCCTTCCCTAAACAGGGGTAAAAATAAATATTCCACCATTATGACCAACAGTGTACATGACTCCTTAATTAACATTTATATTTTCAGCTGCATTGAATCATGCGAAACAAATGTCATATTTATATTATCGTTTACATCAGATACCTCAGCGGATTAAAAAAATATATACAATTTTCGAAAATAGAATTATATTTTGTTGCTCCATGATGTAAGAATAATTTTCTTATGCATCATTCGCATTATTCAGAAAATGACAGTAGGAAACAGACTTCAATAAAGGAAGAATATTATTTATATATATATATATATATCCATCTAAAGAAACTAATTCCATACCCTGACTTCATGTAGTGATGGGACCTAAGGTCTACAATCTATTTTGTTTATCCAAATTTGTCAGACATGTGCAAATCATGGTATTTCAAAAGGAAATATTTCAACTGATCCCCGATATCAAAAGATTTGGGAATAACGCGAGTAGACATGGTCAATGAAAATGTAGAAAGAGGAGCACAGGACGAAGAAAAGAAAGCCATGATAGTTGCTGACAATTTTTCGTCATGGTATTCTAATTGGATACATGAAAGGAAACGCCCGAGTCCATCATCATAGTTTTTCTTACAGTGATTAAGATACATTTTAATATTTTCCGATAAGTTTTAAAGCATGGTTTCATCTCCATGAAATGATTGATACATGGACATATATATATAATAAATTCAGACCGAAAATATTTTTCTCTCAAAATTATGTAAACCCTTTTTTCTTGATTACTCAAAATCATTGTGAGGACTTGGATGTTTCTTCTTCTCATGTATTCAATTCTTAATCAGGACATTAAGACTGTATTTACTGCTTTATCATATATAGTACTGTTCAAATGCCTGGTACGTTGACATAATCTCTCTTCGTGGCGTCGTTCAATTCTTCGTAGTTAGCTTCTTGATCAGGTTTCTTAAGGTCTTGATAGGTATGATGGTCAGTAGGATTCGCATAGCTCTTAGCTACGGGATTCAAATCTTGGTAGGTATGGCCGTCTGTCTCTGACTGATCAAATACAGGGTCCTCATGCTGCGGAGACGAATCGGACTCCCTTCTTTTAGACTTAGTAGTGGCTGATTCATTGCTGAAAGTTAATGTTATGAAAACATAGATAAATTGCATTCATTTGATGAAATACATAATTAATCACATAGTAAAGTCCCAATAAAAAGAAATATACAAATATGTCAACATGCATGTCATTAACATAATAACATTTTTACAGTAATGCACTTGGACAGCAAAATAATTATTCTGCTTTATTTACTAATGTAAAGCGCTTTGAGCATGTTTATGTAAAGGCGCTAGATAAATATCAATATGTATGTATGTAATAAGTCTTCAAAGCAGGTTGCCATAACATTTAGAAAGCGTTGTGTTTTAGAATATCTCAATTGAGCCCTAATAAATAGGTATATACTGTATTAACATGTGAACATGACAATTGGCATGTTGTAATTGGTATGGTACTTTTGAAATACATGTCATTAACATTAACTTTCAAACTAGTTGCCATAACATTATGAAAGCGTTATGCTTGATAATATTAAAATTGAATAGCCTTTAAAACGAAGAAGAAAGTAATTAAAATAACTTTGAAGACTACAAAAAACACAATCATAATTCAGCTTGTATTTTCATGACCGTATGGTTTTATCATCGTGCGTGAAAGGAGTACGATGAGAATGGACTGTTGAGAGGGACAAGTTAAGTACAAGGTGTCTCTCTAACCTTCTTCGCTTGTAAACGAAGATGATGAGAATTATAACGATAACAATCACAAGAATAGCACCAACAGCGCTTCCCACGGCAGTTGCTATGGAACCTGAAGGAACTTCAGAACCTCCAGCTAAAGTTGATTTTGAGGATGGTGTGTGTTGTCGGATGGTAGTAAAAAGAATTGACAGCGGTTAGAAATACCAAGGTAGTATCAGTGTTAATAAATAGATAATAAATAAGTCAGATACTAGATTAGGAAAACCAAGGTAGCATCAGAGTTGATCAGGTACTAGCATAATCTGGTCATGATTGATTATGAACAGACCGGTCACAGTAGGTTGCTTACTAGCACACCTTAGACATTGATGGTTCACATATGGAAAAATGTGTGTTCGCTCGCAAGAAAGTGCGTGCGTGTGTGTGTGTGATTATTGTTCAATAAATGGAAAATATATTTACATCGTAATTAGCAATATATACATTCTTCATTTGACGAAATATATTTTAACTGTTCAATTTTTTAGTTTGGTTCATGATATTTCAAGCAAAGCTATATAATTCTCATGGGCCGTCATATAACTCGTAATTTAGATTTCATTTCTTTGAGATGCCAACCTTGTTTTGTTGTAAATGTCAATGTTGGTCCTTGTTCTCCTTCACCGTTGATACCATCTCGTATCGCTGCAATCTGAACAGAGTACGTTGATCCTGCTTCAAGTCCACTGACGTTATACATGACCATCTCACTGGCATTCTCAGCAGACCTCTTCGATACGGAACGGTCCGTAATGGGGACCATGCTTGGAGGTTGTACTTCTTCAGCAAACACGACATTGCTACCTGATCGCACATAGACCTTGTAGCCAACAATAGGTCCATCCCCTGTTTCAGAGCTAGAGTCCCATTGTCTCCAACCGATGGCTGCATGGTAGTATCCAAATCCAAGCAGTTCTGGTACACCACTAAAACTTGGTAAACCTGCAGAAGTGAGGTCAAGACGAACAACAAATTAAATAAAAATATAAAAAAGGTAATAATGATAGTAATATAATAGTAATAATAATAAAACAATGATAATAATAATATTATCGATCATTCAGGAGCGCTAAAAACTAAAAGTACCACAGCGTTCACTTTACAAAATGCCCATACAGATAGTAAAGAAGAAATATGAAATACTTAGACTTAACAAATTAAAAACAGGTAAATCGCATTAATTTACTTACGGAAGAAGTATGTTTTAAGGGATATCGAACATGTTGGGTGAAAACCCCGAGCCAACATTTCAAGAAATGAATAACTAAAGTTTTTACAGACTGATGCATTTTGCATAATCTCTATAATTATTTGTTTGATTACAAAAAAAAAAAAAAAACATTTCCACGTAAGGAACCACCCTCTGCTAAAAACGTTGAATGAATAGATAATAAGTTAATTCATTAGGTGTTTGATTTTAAACTGCATTGTTGAGCGGAAGTGCAGAAAAATAATGTTACATATAAATACGCCTTTATTCTTGAGTAAAATGGTTTTGTGCATTTTGATCAACTAATAAGAAATATGTTACCTATATAATTAGCAATAGATGACCATAATATCGGAAATAACATTACCCGATTGGATTGCCTAAAGAAAGTAAGAATTATATAAGTCCCCTAACGTTTGGCATTTACACGATATTCTATTAAGATATTTCAACATTAAAGACTGAAGTAAAAAGGCGAACCCTTTAAGATGAGACTTATGAAGCTGAATTGATGTTGTTCCAGCTTTCTATCTATATATATTTATGACAAAAGGCACATCAGACAGTACCTAGCAATGTCATTAATATTACCTAAATGTACATTATTAATACACAAATATCCCAAGCTGTGAGAAAGAATAGTGGAACTTATTTATCTGAGGAGGGACTGGCATGGTACTATTTTTCGGAGGGACTGGCAATAGTAACTATGTCAGTTACTATTGTTACCCTCAGTTACCCTCCTCAGATAAATAATTTTCACTATTCTTTCTCACGGCTTAGTATATTTGTATATTAAATATACGAACCATAAAAAGCAGCAGACGCCAACCTTATATAGCCGAACTCGGACGATTTATTGAAAGGGTCCCCTGTGAAACAGTAAATAGGAACGTCATCCGGAAAATCTTGGATGTTGAACATAAAATTGAGGAGTGTTGAAGAGATCTTTTGTGGAGGATTTTTGGCCATTTTCCAGTTGTCTATTGAGAAGTCCCGTGTGGTAGCTTTCACATAGTCAGGTTCATTGTTCGGTGGTGAATCAAACGAGAATGCACAGGAAAATATAGCAACACCTGGGTTCGTCTTCTCACGTGCAGAATAAAAGCGATCTACCAATAAAGGAGACAGATAGGGAAAAGCATCTGTTAACTCATCAAATCTTCTTGCTTCAGTTTACAGTCGAGTTTATTATTAAGACTAAAAAGATATAAACGGACCGATGGAATACAAGGAAGAGCTCTGTTCACATGTCTCTCACAACTCACCGAAGGTATTAAAGAGTTACTCAGATAGGGTTGAATGCAAGCGACACAGACAGGGGTTGCATTCTGAATAAGACCACTTTAATTGGGACACGTCTTCGCAAATTTACAGAATTCTTTCTTTTCTTTTCAATTATTGAGAAAGAAGTATTAGGAAATTGTATAAATATGTAAATGAATCAAATGGGTTTGACCTATTAAAAGGGTCTTCATTCTAGTTTCATAGCAAATAATAAATGCTAAAAGTTCTCACATAAAATAGACCGATACAGAATGAGAGATAAGGAATATGGTGAGCTCACAGTAAAGAAACTGTGTGGCAACAAAAACAACAAGATGATGATGATGATAATAATAATAATAATAATAATAATAATAACCTAATGTGAACACAAAAATGTGAACGCATGTTTAAACTACTTAGCATCTCTTTATCGAAGTAAACGATAAACACGAATAAAGCAGTAACGATATATACCTATTTGGCAGCTTTCTCCTGTCCATCGTGGGTGGCATCTACCTGAGCTACATGAACCAGTCACCGAGTTACAATCATCTTCACCATCTCGACAGTGACATGTACGGGAACACAGGTTGTAACATCCAGCAACTAAACCACAAAGGGGAAAGATTGTGCATTTAACCATTTCTAAATGACTTGTAAATTATCAATATAAGTATTCCTAACATGGTAGGACGGATGGCAGAAAAGTGATGAGACAAGTTATGCATGAAACCAACGAAATATTTACAAATTAATTTAATGCAGAAATGGAGTCTCACATGAGTTGCAGCTATTGGGTGTGTCCACTGAGTCTGATGTAAAACCTACTTCACATTGACCTTCTGTTGTGATACAGAATCCAGAGACCTTGTCACAACCAACATTATCTGGACAGTTGCAATGGCCAGTGCAGTTGACACCAAAATATCCCACTTGGCAAACAGATGGCACTGTAAAACAAGCACAACAATAAATATGTTTGCGTATTTAAAAGCTTCAGGAAATTTTTGTAAGGTTCCTGTATTAAATGATATAGACCTATTTAGCTGTCACTATAAGATTGATTTATATTGGTTACGATGTTATTAGTTAAAACTGTCTAGCTATTTGTTGCATTCAGCGGTGTATTCTCTAATTATTTTGTATCTTTAAGAATGCAATAATAATTTTTGATTTTCACAAAGACATCTGTTTATTTATTGCTTTGTATTTGTATATTTTAAATAAATATCTTTAAATTGATTTATATTGAAAACCTCCCCTGTCTCTGGTTACGACCAGTATGATACTTTACCTTGACAACCTTCTCCTGACCATCCTGGCTCACAGCCCTCTTCACATCTCCCAGTAAACACATCACACGGCATTCCATCTTTACAGTGACAATCCTGGAGACAGTCAGAGCCAAACTGTCCATCGCGGCAGGCTAAAAATATCGAATAATGTAATTCCAGGTATCAAAGTCTTTGAAACTAAAGATACTTATACAAATTTGGAATAAAAATAATGAATCAGAACAAAGACCTAATTCATTTAACATAAAATTATTTAACTACAAAAAACACCTACATGTTCCTTCAAAAATTACAAAGGTAAATGTGGACCCTGAAAGGAAGGAGAATATATTTTGCAGTATGATGTATTCAGTCTTCTATTTTCTATTAAATTTCTGTCTACTTGTATATTCGATTGAAAAATTCCCAGAAGTTAGAGATTATGTCAGGCTAGATACTTAATAACAAAGGAAAATGCACACTCCAGTAAGAAGACCCCCAAAAATATATATTCATCATAAGTTACGAAAATAAACGAGAGGACGGAGAAAAGAACAAAGAAATGGATGGAAAACATATTAAAGGTAATCGAAATATTTTCAAAGGATTCTGATTAATTATAAACTATTATTTTAATATACCTCATGTAACAAAATGTTCAAGGTTTATACTTGATCATGCCACGTTGTTGCAATGTAACTGACAATGATCATAGTGCTATTCTACAACCAATTTCAAATAAATCACACTTTCATACTTGATTACTTTAAAAACAATACATTGTGCTACCTTACTTTCACTACAAAACGCCCCTTCGTAGCCAGCTATACAGCTGCATTCATTTGGATCCGAAGAGCAAAACTTGTTGTCGCTGCAAGAAAAATCTTCAGCTACCACAGAACTGCATATAAGTTCACACTCAGACCCAAACCTTTGGTCGCCACATGCTGTTAATGATAATTGATAATTGATTATCTTTTCAAGCATACATACTGAAAAACATTAATATGCCATTTACATTGGATTGATTTACATTTGATACCTTTTTTTGCAACACATTACATGAAGTTGTATTGAGGAGGTAATACATTTTTTTACACACTTAATGCCTAATCGCTGATGTTATAAATAACATAAAAATGGTTAAGTAAAATATCAATATAAAAGGGAAAAAGTGACTTGCTATTACGAAAGATAGAACAGGGGCGAAGAACGCTGGTTTCCTATCTACAACAATAGCTGAATGGTAATACCTTTCGATATAATGAGACGTAGGTTTATTAATTCATGATGCCAGATAGATGTAGATATAATACTTTACATTCGCACGCTGAACAAGACTGAACAAGTAGCATAATAACGCATAGACAATGATATTTCCTTGCAAAGGGTTAATAGAGTTTACAGCAATGGTTTGGGAATTTTTTGACATGCGAATTGTAGCCAGAGATTAAAAACAAAAACGTACTTAGAGAAATAGTAGAACGGATACTTGGTAATGTTTTAGATAATAACGTAGGGGTATGTATCAACTTCTTTGAGGTTATCCTCTATTGATGCCCGTTTTTCTAAAGAAGTGCCCCCCTTTTTTTGTGTGTGGTTCCCCCACACTTTGGAAGGCCTTCCGCCGCTCCTGGTGATATCTAAAACAATATATTATGTTATGTTATGTTTTATTTATTTCAATACGTTGATTAAAAAACCTGCTTCAGCCGCAAGCCTGTTTTTCAGCAAGTCCGTATACAACAGAAGACAACATTACACAAATTATATCAATAATAATTACAAATTGTACAAAGAATAAATACAAATTACAAAGACTAAATACAGGTTAAAAGGAAACTATATTTTTCAGAAAAAGAAAATAAATAGTAGGGATAGCACAGAAAGTAGGGAAAATAGAATAGTCAAAGAAAACTATCAAACAAAAATTATCATGATCAAATCTTTGTAACTTTTTATAAACTTTTTAAAAACTTTAACAAAAACGTTACAAAAGATAGAATGTTAACGACTTACCTGTAAGGCAGTTTTTACCAGTAAACCCAGGATTACAGATGCATGCTCCTGTCTGTGTGTTACAAATTCCTCCGTTATAACAATTATCACACAGACGATTACAGATTGGCATATTCCATTTTCTTGGAGGACACCCTTTATGAAAAGAGAAATATTATATGGTCAAAATACATAAAGAGAATTTTGTGAACGACGAATGTTTTCAATTCATCATTGGAGTTTTAACAAATCTGACACTTTCTAATTTGTGATAAAAGGTAAAATATTCCTTTCAGAATTGCTCTCTTTTTTATTAGAAAGTAAAACTTAATAACAATGTATGTCAAACTGCTAAGCAGGTCAAAACAATGTCCTTAAACATCACTGTGCCATTGCTGGAGTTTGTCATGACTCTACACACAAATCCTATTAAAAGGGATGTTATAGAATCAACGTTTGCAATATTCCTCTGATTCATTATTAATCAATTGGTTCTAAGATGTATTGAGGTTATTGTTAAATCAACATCAAAATTTTTTTAAAAATATAACCATCTAAAACATTCACTTGTACAAAGTTACAGAGCACACTTACCCTGAGGCCTTTCACAGATGTATGGCATTGATCGATTCGAACACGCGAGATCATTCCACTTCCCATGACGTACATGTGTTACAGACACGTAATCGTACATGCATGCGCAGTCTTCATGCGCCCCGTTCGGTTCTCCTGGAGCCCAGGAAGACTCATTTCTTCTATCATACCACATGGCATGGTTGAGTTGGACAATGATAAAACAAGTTAATCATCGTTCAATATCACAATACATTAGTCTCAACACTCAGGGACACTGGTATATCACACCAAAATCAGCGGGAATAGGGGACCGTTTCTCGAAACCGTCATACTAACTTCTTGCACATCCCACTGAAACATGTGTTATAGAATTTACACGCCCTTTTTAATGGGACTTTCACGAACTTAGAATGTTTCGAGTAGCTGGCCCATGGTCTTTACTGCTTGTATAAAGGTGTATAAAAGAGCAAATTATTTTGGTACAATGAGGAAATAATAATAATAATAATAATAATAATAGGCATGTGTATAGCGCCGTCTATCTAGACATTGCTATTCCGAGGCGCACAAGAAAAATAGAAAAAATGAGAAAGTTTGGACAAGAAAGTTTGGATAAGTGTCATAGTACCAAGTACAGGTATTGTTAAAAAAGATAAGATTTCAGCTTGGATTTAAAGGTCTCTAAGGACCTTATGATTCTCAAATTAAATGGAAAATTATTCCAAAGACAATGTGCTGCAGATGAAAAAGCTCTTTCATCACAAGCTACTCGTGTCTTTGGGATCTTAAGAAGATGCTGGTGTGATGATCTTAGACTACGAGCTGGTGTATAAGGCATATAAGGTTTTGTAAATACTTTGGTGCCAATCCGTTTATAGCCTTCCATGTGAGGAGAAGGATTTTGAATTCTATGCGCTTGCGGATTGGCAACCAGTGCAGCTTTTTGAGAACAGGAGAAATGTGATCATATTTAGATGTCCCTGATAAAACCCTGGCAGTTGCATTCTGAGCATGATGAAGTTTGTCAAGATTGCCTGAAGTGATATTGAAAAGAAGAGCATTGCCAATATCTAATCGAGATAAAACAAATGCATGTATAAGCATAGCAGGAGACTTATTGTCAAGGACTGCATTAGGCTTCTTAAAGTAAACACAAAATCTCTTTGAATCTATATTTATTGTTTTTCTATTTTAGAGAAAGAAAAAGAAAAGGAAATGGCTCGTTGTTAATGGAAACTAAAGGGAAATGAAATACAACCAAAAGGAAGGAGAAGAGAATGATGTAAAATTACCTTTCCGCTGTGCCATCTACCCATATAAAACTATCATCTTGTCCATATTCTCTATTAATTCCTAACCAAAAGCAAGCTATCGTCGGGTTTGAGATTGGTAGGAATCCTGCCAGGAAGTTCTTGAAATGAAACGTGGAAAAAGAATACAAAACAGAATTATAAATGGGGACAATTTTTTTCTCCCCATGTCGTCTTAAAATAATATCATAAACGTTGTCAAAGGCCAGTACTTCCGACATAGCTTTGCCATTACCGGAAATTTCCACTCGAAAGAAGTGTTTACATGAACAATATTTATTGGATATCATAACATGATATGTTCCAATCCAAACATATCACTGATATTCATTTTCCAAATCTGAATATATGTTAAAAGCTTGGCTCCAATATAAATAACTGTTATAAACTGGGCTTAATATTCTCATTAAATGATTTATATTACCTACGGCTAAAGATAATTCACCAATGCCGTGACATGGCAATATGATTATATATGCTCCTTGAAAACGAAATAAAATTTAATTATACAATTCATACAGGTGAAAGCGTAGGTTTTTTCTCTCTTACATTGAGTTCTTTTGATTTGATAATGGCCAGGTCACCGCCATTTCCCATGCAGTGTGCTCTAGCATCATCATAAGACATCTCTTCGTCGAAGAACCGATATAACGATTGGCCGAAACGTTGCCACATACAACGGGAAGCTGACGATGTAAATATGACACAAGTATAGTTTAAATTTCTTATTTTATTTTTAAACAATTGTTTGTATCGTTTTTTCCTTCATTATTATAATTTTTTTTATTATCACTACATTGATTTCATTGATTGATTTATTTATCTATGTATTTATTTATGCATTATTCAATTAATCTATTCGTTTATTCATTCATTGCTGCATTAGGGTGGTGGTTAGAAACTTTTCAGTGACCGAACAACATAAATGAAAGATGTATTGGCAAAGTTACTGATGTCGATCACCGCTGATGTTACCGTTGCATTGGCCACAGAAATATTAATATATCATGAATATATTTACCTTTCGGACGTTGACATATGTGGACGCGCACATATAAACAATTAGTTGTTTGCCATCCCCCTAGATTTAACATGCTGTATGTAGATCTCATGCCAACACATCTATTGCGCCCTAACGGTTCTGAAGGTAGCCAATTTGAGTACCTATCCAGGAAAAAGAATATTCATAGTGTACTATTGACTTGTTCTTCACAACCGAATAAATGCCTTTGAATATCCCGAAAATGCCTTATTTTACACACATTTTCTATTCGAGAAGGGCCTAGTTCTGTACCTTATTGTACATCCCCCTAAAATTCATGTTCAGATTACGTAATGCGTCAATGTAATGTAATGTAAAAATCTGATGGACAGGGTTATTGACATGCATAAGGTTGATTTGTTAAAAGTAGATGCGGTCTTTTTTAAGTGATTTCAAAAGTTCAGTAGAATTCCTAGAAACATTTTAAAAGAATCTGAAGTCATATATGTTTGCATGTTATTTTAGTTAATTATACGTTTGTTTGATGTACATCCATATTATGTATACTTCTTCTTATTTCTCTATGTAACTCATTCTAATACTATCCCTCTGCGAGACAAATTCGGAAAACAGTAAGATTGCTGTATAAGACTATTATTTCAATTTGTGTCTCAAAGGGTAGCATAAGACCTAGTTGTGAAGTGGTTATGCAAATATTATCAATGCAATCATCTTCATTCACATCACCACCATTAGTATATTGATTTTCAAAATAATCATTATCATTGTGGATAATTGTTTTTGATTTAATCAGGTCAGGCCTGAATAGCACATGGGCTTTTGTCTGGCTCTTTTACCAGCCAATATTTGTATCATTTTATTATGTAAATATCATTCCATAATTATGATGTTGATTATGATGACGATGATGATGATTATTATTGGCCATATCATTATTATTATCTTCAGTATTATTATTATTATTATTATAATTATCATTGCTATCATTGTTGTTATTTGTTTTGTTATTATTATTATTATTTCTATTATTATTATTATTTCTATTATTAGTAGTAGTATTATTTTTATCTTATATAATTGCTATTGTTACTATTATCATTAGTAATATTTGTATTATCCTTATTGTACATTAACTCTGGTTGTGTGCTGTTAATCCATGTGTACTGTCCATCACCGTCTTCGTCACGAAGTCCTATCCAGTAGTTATATGCCTCATAATATTTCGTTGAGTAGGTGACGAGAAAATTCTGAGAAGTGGGAAAAAGGGTGATTGTTAAAAGAATATAATTCAAGGAATACTCTTGCAGGGTTGTAATAAATAAAGTGTTATTTTATTGTTTTAAACGTGTTTTATTGTTTCAAAAGTTTTGTTAGGGAAACGGGCTTCCACTGCGGTACTCAGTAAGACACTCATAACAGGCCTTGTATGTTAAAATAGATTTCGAACCAGTGATAAAATACAATAAAAATTGATTTTTGTTTAAATGTTCACATTAAAGAAACCGTTATGGAAAGGGTTTAGGAAAAACAACCATATGTGTGAAAACTTACCCTGCCAGTGTTCTGAGAAATATGGGAGACATAAATGTTACATGTTCTTAATTCAACAAGACTCATATAAAAGGTACGAATACTTAGAATTTTTAAACAGGAACATGCCAGCTGATCAAAAGTCCACAAGATTGCCAATGTTCTAGGAATTGTGCAAAAGGCAATTGAGACCAATATATCGATCTCGGGGGCATTTTTTCGATTGGGCCGTCGGGTTCGTGTACTTTGATTCTTCAGATAATATTTCATGAGACCAAAAGGAAGAGAGATGAAGTGGAGAAAGATATGACTCCACTGGTATTTTGATAAGCAGCTGTGGGAGTATGTATATGCCAAAATAAATACAAACCAAGTATTATAATTCAATGCTTGGTGAAAATGGTATCAAAAGCGAAAAAGACCTTATCAGGAAAATTAGCCCCTGGACAATCACCCTCCAGGAAAATGGGGAAGATGGGGACCTTCCCCAATTATGAAATTTTGAGCAAAATCCGATTAAAAATAGGAAGGATATGAATATTCGAAGTTGTCATCATTCAGTGAAACACAAATTGGCAACACTGATTGCATCTTCAAAAGTTCATCTTATTTTTGATCGGCGTAACTTCTTCAAACTATAGGCTAAATGAAAGCTAGAAACAAAGTAAACGCAAACACAGTCATCCAACCAGGGACTCGTGGTACTAACTCCCATAGGCAGTTCTCATCCTTCCGCTACTTCCACTACTTCCGCTACCTCCACTTAAAACCCATACTGGAATATTAAATCCGAAAAGTTTACACCTGGCATTTTACTGGGTTTTTCCCCCTTGGAACGTGGTCATGGGGATTAATATAAACAGAATTCAATTGACAAGCTGTCGTACTTAATACGTTTCACAGAGAGCCCCCCCCCCCCCCAAAAAAAAAAAACGACGCTATAAAATAGGCATTATAATTCATGAGCTAGTCGCGGCTCGCCGGACATTTTGCATTATTCAGTGCGGCCCCAAGCCCCCCACCCCAAACGTTTGACTTGTCATGACTTCTGGAAGCAAATGGTTAATTATTGTGCCTTCTTGGAGATCTTAAAGTTAAAATTTTGCGAAGATAAATCAGCATACAAGAAGCATATTTCAAACTATTTACATTTTATGTCACATGCCAAGTTTAAATGAGATGCCAATTACCAACAAATTACAGCATTTAAATCAGATAAATTTAACAGCATTTTAGAAAATGTTTCAGTTTTAATTTTTATTTTCATTTCTAACAGAAAAATCATTAATAGACAATTTTCCTTTCCCCATATTTATCCCTCCAC